AAAAAGCTGATGGGGGGGGGGGGGGGCAAGGGACTCTGTGACATTTGTTCGCCCAACCCCCCCCCCCCCCTCCCCCAAAAAGAAATAATAATAATAATAATAATAATAATAATAATAATAATAATAATAATAATAATAATAATAATAATAATAATAATAATAATAATAATAATAAATGAAATAAATACATAGAAATAGAATAAAATAAAATTACAAGTTTAAAAAAAAGATAAAAAAGATAAAAAATGGTCCCCGGATTTATTTTTTTTTGGGGGGGGTTGCAACCCCCAACCCCCCCTCTAGATCCGCTTCTGGTGTAGTGACCGTCTGAACGATGATCGTGATAGCTACACCTGAGTGTAGCTATCTCTACCCCGACCTATTACTCCTAGCAAAAGCCAGAAGCAACTCGCTAACACGACTAGAGGGTAGCGTAAGTTGACCGTGTGGATGCTCTCTCAACTTACACCCGGGAGTAACTGTGACCTTCCACGAGCCATCTATACACAGAGTTTGGCCAACGGCCAACTTAGTTTCACTGGGTCACAACTAGGCGTACATTTTTTTGTTTTGTGCTTGCTCAACAAAGCAGCTTGACAAACTCTGTGTATAGATGGCTCTGCTCCATCGAAATCCAAGTAAGGTTTGAGTTCGTTGCTCTGCTCTCACTTACACCCGGGAGTATCTGTCTCTGCGTAAGTAGGGACTTTTAGATTCTGCACGACGAGAACGTGGACTGCCCTTTTAAGGTAATGTGACGTCCTTTTAAGGCACTGGCAGTGACGTCACATTGCCTTAAAAGGGCAGTCCGCGTTCTCGTCGTGCAGAATATAAAAGTCCCAACTAAGAGCGTGTGGACAAGTATTGGTGTTAGTGAAATATACATGAGGTATTTACTGCTGCCGGGATTAACTTACACCGACTAGCAAAACCCCGTCTGAACAAGACTATTCAGGGATAAGAAACAGACAATCAAACTTTTTTTTTCAAGCAGGAAAATTACAAAATCCTTGACAAAGTCAAAAAATAAAAAGCATCAAGTGAAATTTTCCTAGCAATGAAGATGTATATGAATGTCACATTTTATCACGTTGTACTGCAAACGCATAATTAACCAATCGTTTGATTTTTACAAGAGAAATGTGCTGGAAAGCTTAAAGGGATTAAATTGAAACTTTAGTTAAGACACTTAACTGTGACCCCATGAAAGAACAGGACCATTTTGAAAATGGTTCTGAAATGGGCTATCCAACCGTTTGTCTATACTTTACACATTTACTTACTTTCTTATCGTTTGAAATGAGTTTTATAAGTATTTTTTTTTTAAAACTTGTATGTATATATGGATTTCGGAAATAAAAACAAACAAACAAACAAACAAGAGAATTCCTTGTTATTTTGTATTATTGGGAATCAATTTTGCAAGATTGTTTTAACATGTACTTAAAAGTGTTCACAGAGCTTGCCATTCTCAATGATCTGTCCAACTGATTCCATGCCATAATTGAAGATACGATGGGGCTATGTTTAAAGCATTCTGTTTTATACTTTTGCCCTCATTATCAAAAGAAGCACATGAAAACGAAACGCTCTTCATTTAGCCTTGGTGGGTAACGTCTCTGTGATGTAGTGACGTCAACTTTCCCATTTGTTCCGACACCCAATATTATTCAAATTTGAATTTGTTAAAAATGTGTGATTCAGAAGGCTATTATCTCTTTAGAGGACTTATAATGATATGATATCCGTAATATATTTTGGGTAGTGCCCAAAGAGTGAAGGCGCTTAGGAGGAAAAAAGATACACGACCGACAGGAGAGTTATCCGCGACCAGGTCGCAATCCACTGCTACTTGCAATTCGCAGAGACTTTGTAATCTCACATTTCATACATTTATGACTTTGTTACTATCAGTCCGAGTCATTTTAAACTTGTGCAATTCCGTTCATCTTATTATTCTGCTTTCATGAACATGAACATATTATAAGGTTTGAATTGGCCTTCATAGTAAATCATGTATCACAAATTAATGGGATGCAATAAAATGGGTATCCTGAAAAACACTTTCCTTGCTTAACGAAATTCACACGTTTGAATTAATTACAAGTCTACAATAATCAAAACCTATTTTAAAAAAGAAAGGCAGATGGAAATCAACGTGTAGATCTATCCATATTTTTCAATAAAAGAGCTAAGGCGATAATAGCGACGTGTTGAAATTAGCTTCTGTTTCTAAGGTATGAAGGCAATGATTTAGATTCCAAACTTGCACTTTGCAATGTCACGTTCCTTTAGGTTTTATATAACCAAACACAGCAAATTTATTTCAGCACCAAGCGGTACATTGGAGTAAATTATACAATCATTATGTTGTAAAAAAGAAATACCACATTTATATACCAATGAACACAATACACTAAATGTACTTTAAAGATTACCAATCGTCTGAAGAAAACAATCTTTGTGTAGTAAAATGTATAAATCATACTCAAAAATCTTTAAGTGGCATTCTATATGTACATTTCTACAGTTTAGGAGTATGAAGAAAAAGGAAGGATAACAAAAACCCTACACAAAGGGCGTACACAGATCCTCAGTCAGACTTTGGTTTCGTGTGCGCCCTCTTCTTTCTGAGTGTGTACGCGTGCGAAGTAGATGGAAGGAAGAAGGGGGAAATAAAGAAGGAAAGGGGAACAGAAGCTAAGGGAAGGGAGGACTGACAAGGGGGAAATTGAGAACATTACAAGATAAAACAGACATTACCACAAGAACGGGAATCCACGGATCCACGTCGCGGCACAGAATACAGACTGATATATATACATATATATATATATATATATGTATATGTACCATTTCATAATTATGAGTGTATACATGCAAGATATCACAAGAGTATCAAAAGCTGCATTATATAACAGATAATAGTTTGTATACAGTATATGTTACCCCTTACACCAACAACAAAACAAGTTTCGGTCACTGACACACTTAAAATACTGAAAAAAAATAATTAGTAGGTTTATTTAGAAAATTCAGGTTGATGAAAATCCGACCTCATATAAACCGGAAATATCACAAAAGATATGAATATTATTATCTTGGACAAGCAAAAAAGGGCTTAATTTATCATTTTCTCTCTGTCCACAAAAGACAGATATACTAACATATTCAAATATTATGTATACCCATATAAAATTTGTTCTTGAAACCCCCCCCCCCCCAAAAAAAAGCAACAAAATATAAGTGGCGTGGTCAAGTGGATACGTCACCGGACTGTGAATCACGAGGTCCGCGGTTCGAGCCTCGCCGCGGCACTAACGTCTTTTGACAAGACATTAATCGACATTTGCCACACTCAAAACAGGTGAGTTAAAGGGATACATGGTAGGATTATTCCTTGAAATGCACTGTGCGCTGACAACGGCTATCAAAGCTAAAGCTAGCTGGGTAATAATTTCCAAAGCTCTTTGGAAATGCATAAAGATGCTAATTCATAACGTATTATGCACTATACAAGAACTGAATATTATGCATACTGGATTTCAAGTATTGTAGTTCATTCATTAATAACAGGTTGATGGAATAACTCGTTACTAGGTCCCCAGGAAAGAAACATCCATACTTTTGAATATGTTAGTACACCGGTATATTCGCTGGTAGCTGCCCCAAAACCCCTACTGCATCATCGTTTACAACGCTCAATTCACCCCCTGCAGCACCCGAATATATTCTGACAAGTAAGCATATCAACAAACAATAGCAAACATACTAAAGTTACATAATCAATATAATAGTTTACCCACCATACCAATATATCTTATTTACTTCACGGCTACTTAAAAGTTCTTGTTTTGGAATCAATTTCATCGTTGCAGGCATACATTTCATTTCACCAATTGTCGAATAAAAACAAATTATCACATGTACATTTTACAAATAGTAAGGATCAATCGAGATACAAGCTTTTATAATCCCCATTATTATAAGGAAAATAAATATCATATTTCTTTAAAGGAAAATTTAACCCTAAAACATTAGCTGATAATCTTATTCAAAATTGTCAGCCAGCTTTAAACAAATCTTGACATTAATCTTTATATCTGGGAAGGAAAACTTACAGAATATCTCAAAAGTTGCAGATTTATTGCTAGTCATTTTGATTAAAATAGTGATATGAGAGTAATACGTCTAACTAAACGAGGTACCCACTGGCCTGTATTTTACCTTCAATATCGGACACACACTTGTTAAATGCAGCCATAACAATGGTTTCCTAAAAATAGACCATTGAATTTTTTCATAATTGTGACAAGATATTTGGTTCAGCCATTTGAGCAGTTTCTTTTGTTAAGCAACGTTTGGCATGCATTATTTGTTTTATTCAAAAGACGAACATAAAACTGCTCACAGAAATCACCTGTTTGAGAAGCTGGAGTAACAAGAAGGTTGTTCTTTGCATCAATGGCTTTGGTTGCACAATAGCCAGTTAAAATACAACAAATTTTCTATTGTATGCAGGTCCATGAAAATGTACTACTCTGACATCACTATTCAAAGGGATAGGGTATCTTTGCCTCAAAATCTAAACACTGAAATCCTGGATTTAGCTCATGCTGCAATTATAATTATAAACCTTTAGGTCAGTCAGGAATCCCATGACTTTCACAAGCCGATCGCCTGTCTGATCATCAAGATATTTATGATTGGAAATCGAAATTTAATTTTTCGTTTTCCTAACGGTTTTTATAACACGACATTCTAATGGCGAAAATGAGTATGGTAAAACCGGTCACTCAAAGATTTTTACTTTTTTAAGGCACTTCATGATCATTTTGAAGCGCAATTTTGTAGGGCTTCAATACTACACCATATCACAGTCACTGATAACACGTAGGGCCATGCATCTCAGATTTAACATTGTTAATCGATGCCTTTAAAGCAAGATGGCACCCCCCCCCCCCCCCCATGGGAATATTGTTATAAAGAAAACTGTTAACTTAGGCGTGCAACTGGTTGCCGGCTTCTGACAACCAACATTTGGGACTTTTATATTTGCACGACGAGAAGTCAATGTGACGTCCTTCTAAGGCATTGCCTTAAAAGGACGTCACATTGCTTTAAAAGGATGTCACATGTAGCAGTCCACGTTCTCGTCGTGCAAATCTAAAAGCCCCTATTAGCTTCGTCCATGGACAACCAATTTGCAGGAATGTCTAGTTGGCGATCAGTTGCATACGAATTGTGTGATCGTCGAAGATTTTTGTTTTTAATTTTCCTTTCATTGAATCAAGTATGTAATTATCAAGCATATCTACCTCTAGTATATATATTTCTTAACAGTAAAGCATCATATTGAACCTTTCGTACCTCCTGTCAACATTTATCCAGGGCGATTGGCCATATTGCTCGTCGCAATTTTTTTTCGACCCAAGTGTACATAAAGGTAATAATTGTCCGTTCTGAAAAAGATCTTGGTTTAAAACAAGATCAGAAATCCAGTTTTAAAAATCAACATTTACATAAATCACTACATCAAAAATATCATAACGATTTATTTTAAGCTAATGATCATAATTATTAAAATCATTAAAAAGCAAAGCTTCTGCGAATCTACCAAGATCCTCTTATTTTGTCTTTCATCAACTTTTCTTTATCCGGCATTTATCTGAACCCACAAATAAAACAAAGTGCATGTATATATATTGCATGTCTATATTGGCTATAAGTCCAGCTTCGGTTTACTGCTTAATTTTTTAGAAACTGACAGTCCATGAAGCCAACGGCCCATGCGACCGAACTATCGGCTGCCTGGGCCTTCTGTCCACTTCTCCGAGGGTTCACTAGACTGGCGGTCTCATAGGCTGTCGGTCTACTGGGCTGGCGGTCTCATAGGCTGTCGGTCTACTGGGATTTCCTGGATCTACTTGAAAAGGTTTTCCACATCGGTCTTGGTAAGGTTGTAAAGGTGCATCATGTTCGAAAGATGACTGAACTGGCCCTTAAATTCCTGTACATTAACGAGAGCAGACAAAATTGAAATGAACAATCAATTCAGAATTCCATACATTCAATTCTTAAAGTTCCATTTGTGTCTAGTGTAATGGGAATCCCTTTAAGTTCAAAACATTGAGTTCAGGAAAAAAGGATCAAACTGATTGTCCATTTTCATATTCAGAACGAACTACGTTAATTGTATTATCATGCAGATTATGATGGGCCATTCAGGCATGGTAGACTACATGACATTTATCAATTTATTTTATCCACAAATTAAAATCTCTTGACATTACTACATAGTCAAATCAAGATATTTTTAATTTGTGGATGAAATTATTGAGAAAATGAACATATGTCATACATGACACATTTCACGGGTTCGCCTTGATATACAATTGTTTTACATACCTTTGAGATGTTTGAGCAGGCTCTATTCAGTTTTATTGGACGAAGCTTTGGCTGATTTGCTATCTCATTACAGTAATCCGACACCATTTTTCTTTGCAAGGGATGTTCGTTGTAGTAAGGTAGATGATCTGACTCGCCCTGTATTGAGCAAAAAAGACGGAGTTTATAATATGTGTACAATATTCATCTTGTATTGTTATCGTCATCTAAAATCTCCTAACATCGAAAGTAATAATCGAATTAGTGGCCATATGATTGATCCAACAATTGTACACATATTTAGACTTTTTAAAACAACTGAAATATTAATTGTAATCGTTTTTAGTAAATCGATACATGTGTGTATGATTTTTTCGCTTTTGTTTTAAATAAGTACTTTAACTTAAAAACTGTCCCCTCTACTCTTCAATTCAATTACTAAATTGTGTGACGTAATCGGTATTAAAGATCACGACATAGGCTTTTACTTTTCCTGTCTCATTTGACTTTCTTAATTCCTTTGTTGAAATCAAAAGGTGACCTTGGAACGAAAAAGAAGAAACTACTGGGGATGAATCTTGTTGTTACACTATATTGTGATATAGTTAATGAAAACATTGTCACCTGTCTCAGGGAAATGGTCCTGGTCGCATGCTTGAGAGCATCAGCAAGAATGTCTACACAACTATCAGCTGTTTCGGATCTCGGCATCTCAAACAACGATGGCAGGTTGGTGAGCACTGAACGCCAGAAATTTGACAAGCTACGAAAGGAAGAATTTACATAGGATACGTGTAGTTTTAAAAAAGAGCTTAAAGGTGCAGATATGCTTCTCTTTCAGGTTTTCTTTTCACATTCAACACCCTCGAAGAGCACATTTGCCCCTCTCAAGGTTCAATGTTTCGCCTATCTCATTCAGGGTGCAATTGTGCACCTTTTGAGGCTCAGAAAATTGCTATGCATCCTTTCGTTGGCTTGCTGGAAACGTATGTTTGGTGTTTTGTTCTAAACCTTTATCTCTTAGAAATGACACAAAGGCAATACACAGAGGAACTGTCATTATAACACGATTGATATATTAGACACAATCAGTGGGTATAATAAGTACAAAATCACGAGCTTTAATAGTATTTTAGTTGTCATGCTATAGTGAATATCATAAAGTAGATTTTGTTAAACAACGAAATTGAGCGACACATATGTCAAACTTATACCTTAAAATTACATTAACCCTACTCACCAATTTTTCTTCCAATCTTTCGCGTAGGCTTCTCCATACTTCACAGCAAGTCCGTCAAACGTATCAAAGAGAAGTTTGATTGGTAGAGGTACCTTTGCTGGCATCTTGAACATTACTTCGAAGATACCATCCACATACGGGCTGATCGACGCCTTAATCGTGAAAGAGATAGAGCTTAATCAGCGTATATTAAACCATGTGGATAAAATAAATTCTATCTGAAACTGGCGATCAAGTGCATTGGTTAATACAATTCTTAAACTCGGATGAGATCTGCAAGCCGGTTAAAGTAAAACAAGGAAAGAGGAACTTTTGTTTCTTGTTAGTCTGTGCATTGAACACAAAAAATCAAACGAAAAGTTAACATTCGAACAAATTACCAAAGTGTGAAAATACAAAAGGCTTTCCAAAGTTATAAAGATGGTTAAGACGATCAACTGCATTGTCTTCGCTAGTGGTTAGTTCATTATTTCCCTTATTATACTTATGAGTTAGAATGTAATACTGTAATTAGGTATAATGTCGACGATATTTCTTTATTGACATCACGACTCACTTTCATTGTCAGCATGTGAGGAAATGCTAGATTACGATCAAGGTCTGCTCTCTTCTGTTGGATGTGGTCGGGCATAGTACTTTCCTTCATCTTAGATTGTTCAAGGTCCTGCAAAAAAATAAGCGTTTATGTATTTTGTATAAACCTTCTCGTTCTCAATATTCTTTATAGACCTACCTACCAGAAGACCTATCAATACAATCACTCGATCGCAAAGACTTTCAATAAATCAAACTGAGGCAATTTCTAAAGCCTTGTGAATCAACTGCAAACATTAAAATGGGACTTTTCGTAATCCGTAGATAGCCCATATGGGATTTACAAATAGGACAGTGATAATGTCCTTGAAATTATTTTCAAAAGTTGTTGTTCTTGTTTATTTATATTTCAAAATTATTTATTAAAATCGAGTTGCAGAATATCAGACAATCTTACATGTAAGGATGATGCCACTACCATTACCAAATTTCAAAGTCTTTTCACTCCATATTATGAGTATATGTCAATCCTGTTTAACGTCTGTTTTTTAAATTTCAAGACATATAGTAAAATAATGACAATTACCTTTCACGGATATGTAAAAATATTAAGCAATTCCTGTTCATTAATCAGAGTAGAGATTGATCTTAATACAAGAACAAATCCAGCATAAATCCTTATCAAGGGTTGTATTAACATGGTATTCATCGATGAACTGAAAGTATCATACCTTCAGATGAATGATCTTTGAACCTTGTTGGGGTAGGTGCGAATCGAGAACATCTTCAACAGTCACGTACATTAAGGATACATCTAAAATATGGATGAAAACATAATAAATATTACTCTACTTTCTTTCTCTTTCCATATATTCATGTATTAGCCGGCTAAATCCATTTATTTCTGTTTCATCTTAATAATCATCAAAACTAAATAAGATGAATTAAAAAGGAATTGAAGATAGTCAAATGTTAAAGAAAAAGAAATGGATTATTTGGGGTCACAACTATTTTAATTTTGAACTTGATTTTTTAAATTAGATTACAAATATTTGAGATAATGCATCTTTCAAATAAACCAACGATTTCTTACACTTGTCTGAAGCAACTTCCTTCAGATCTAGAGCTTGATACCCATCACCTTCTCCATGCTGCTTCGGTATTAGTGCCACACGATATTCATCTTGAATCTTAAAGCATGAAAGTCACAAAACGCAATAATAGAATAGATTGTGCTTTAACTGCATTTCAAGAATTATGTACGGTATATGCATCCATGTGCACGTGTTCTGGTATATCAGGTACCAGAATAATTGCTTACGTCTAACATAGAAACGATTTCTTTGAATAGATGTCTGAGCATGTTGCGCGCCGTGGTACTCTTTCTTTTTATGTTTACACCTCCACGTGTTTCCTATATCGTCAGAACGCAAAAATTCGAGTATCTAGGTATTCTAGATATATCTGAATTTGTACCCAAAGACACAATGTTAATAAACATTAATGATAATACAAAATAATAAAAACGTTACTTATAAAGCGTTTAACACCGAAGACGCTAAGCGCTTTAACAAACAAAATAGACTGATAAACAATTATATATTAAACAAAACAAAAAAGTGCAAATAAACCCTACAAATGATATGGAATACACGTCAAAGTGAACAGAGTTTAATCTTCGAAAGCAATTTTGACTTACCCCGTAGCTATTCATTGTATTGGCAATTGTTTTTCCCTGAGCCTCAGACGTCTCCCGAAGCAGAATGGACTGTTTATGAGTTTGAACCAACACTGTGAATTGATGGGAAGATTCAAGAAAAAGTCAGAATATATATATATAAATATAAATATAACTCAATATATAATCATTGATATATATGTATATTCGTATACAGTTCATGAAGGTAATATGTTGGTAATTATAATTCAATGGAAGTATATACCATTCAATGGAATATATATTATTCATGCTTTCATAAGGATTTTATTTACCCAATTGTAGTATATGATTTTACAACCGTGATTGAATATTATACAAATAATGAAAGGTTATGAGTTCAATAGTTCGAATATTTTCATGAGTTGAAAGATTAACATTCTATTCAACGAGGCGTCAGCCGAGTTGAATAGAATTAACGTTAATCTTTCAACTCATGAAAATATTCGCTCTATTGAATGAATGAAAAGCATTAATTATTTGTTTTATATAACATCGAAAAAGATCGAATAGAACGTTAATCAACAAATTATGCTTTACTCCTTATATAAAAGATGATTTAAAGTTGGAGTCAAGCCTTCTCGATTACATTCAGATTGCCTTCGCGTCAGATACAAGCAGGGATACGAGCACGGCAGAGAGGTACGCAGTCTGCATATAACCAAAAATGCACGGCGAATATAACCAAAAATGCACGCCCGTGCAATAGAACAACTATTGAATATCATGTGACCAACAATCCTCCAATCAAATGACAAGGATCCACGTAGGTGTTGTATAAACTGTGTTATACCCCCTTCACATACACGGATTTTCCTTACGAGTCCTTACGGATCGCCAACTCGTAGTCATTCGCAAGCATCCGTAAATAACTCGCTGGTATCCGTAAATAGCTCGTCACAACTCGCAACAACTCGAAGACACTCGTAAGGATCCGTGAAAGGAGAGGCAATTTTTTTGACATGTCAAAAATCTTCTTACGATTGTCCACGGATTTATTTTTCCGTAAATAACTCGTAGATAGGTCGTAGCAATCCGTAATCATCGTTAACAGCTCACAACATCACGTAACCATCCGTAAACTGCTCGCAAGAATCCGTAAATGACTCGTAACAGTTTTTTAAACGATATTTTACGGTTAGTTTAAGATTTGTTTACGGATTGTTTACGGATTATTACGAAAGCTTACGTGTTGTTTACGATATCATTCAGGGTCTTGTTACGATGGCTTTACGGATTGTTCCCCGATATTACGAGCATTTAACGTGTAGTTACGAGTGTGTTACGAATAGATACGTACACTTTACGTATTCTTACGTATTGTTTACGATTTGGGGAAAAGTATAAAAGCTGCAAAATCCGAAGGACTCGTAAATACTCGTAACTAACTCGTAACTATTGGTCAAAACACGTAAACAGGTAGTTATATGCCCGTAAGATGATCGTAATTATCCGTGACAACTCGTAATAACTCGTGGAATTTTGCCGTAAATACATCGTAATAACTCGTAATAATCCGTAATAAATCGTAAGTAGCTCGTAATAACTCGTAATAACTCGTAACAACTCTTAAATAGGTCGTAAAAGTGGCCAAATCGTAAGGATCCGTGAAAGATCCGTGAATTTACGCGATCCGTAAGGACTCGTAAGGAAAATCCGTGTATGTGAAGGGGGTATTAGTATTAACTCATATGAGGAGAACATCATGCGTTTGAAGGTAACACAAATCACTTATATGTGGCCCTCTTTCTTTCCATCTGATGTAAGCTTGATATAATATCCATTATATTCTCACCAAGGTCTACTGCATCCACATCTCTGGGTAGCAAACAGTAGCCCCTTCTCCACGCACAATCTAGAACTTTCTTTTTGACCTGTTTGACGCTGTCAACATTCAGGACATTCACATGAAGATAAACCTGACCGTCTTCATCTACAACATCTAGACCCTTTATTAAACAAAATGTTTATTCAATGGATGAGAGAAGTGATACAAAGAATAAAATTGCAAGTACTGCCGAAAACTCAACCTAAGGCAATTTTAATATCCATGCCCACCCCTATTGAAATATGCGAACTTTACAATGATATATTACGTAATCCAAACATTGTTTCAATGTGCTACACAGAAACACATCGAAATTGACCTTGAGTTGGTTTCTCGAAGGTCTTAGAGATTGTGTTAAAGATATGTTAAGTGTACGGAAAAAATATTATTTATTTAGCCTCATCCTAACAATTAACTTTTTACATAAAGAATACATACATGTACCTGTATGTTAAATTGTATTCTTTTATTTACACGCAAGAGGTTTACGTTGAGGAAAGTTTTCAAATGTGAACACAATTATAAAAAGACACTGAAATAGAAATCACACACAATTAAGTTTGCTTTGCCTAAACCGTTCAGCACAGTGGTAATACGATGTGACCTAATCATAGCTTTTTTTTTGTTATTGGAATGCAAATATAACATTTCAAGGCAAAGCCAGACATTACATCTACTTACGAGAGAATGAAATTCGACCGTCTGGTCAAATAGTTTGTTGTACTCAAGCGTATAGTATGCTTCTCCTGACCCTTCGTCTATAGGACCCTTCTCGGCCTGGGTCTTTATTGCTTGATACAACATGTACAGTGGGTAGAAGGCGTACACCTGTAGTGTAACAAACAAATTATATATTGAGACTGCGAATGATGCGCAATTCAGCCTCTGACTGCAATGCATCGCCAAAATAAAATCATCAAAGAATTGAACTGAAATTGAATGCGTGTATATTACGTAATTAAAAAATGATTTATATGGGATACACACAAAAAAAAAGATCGAAATTGTCAATGGGTTGATTTCTTGAAAGTTTTCGCGATGGTGTTAAAGATATTTACTTCTTACTTTTTACCCATGTCACAATAATTGACTCTTTACAGAGAGAGGGGGGAGGGGGGCTGAGAATACCATTTTCCCTCTTCCAAACGAACTTGGCTGCTTCCATTTAGAAATTTTTCTTTAAGTTGGGGCACAATAGTTTGGATAAAAAAATAACTGCTAGAAATGGTAGGGATTAGATTATTTCCATAGTTATCTCTTGTTCCAGGCATTCAATGTTCTTCCTATTGTACACTTAATTTATATCCAATTCCTGGCACAATGTGCTAAATACATGATGTAGATTTACCTTACAGTTAGGTGTACAACAGGTTGAATATTCAACATTCTAACAATGTCATATTTGTAATTTCAGAAAAAGAAACCTTTTAATTTTGCTTAGAAAATATGAATATATTATGAAGAACCTAGAACTTTGTTCAGTTAATGGGATTAAGATAGTGAAGTCGTACGGAGAAGGTATTAAAGCATACGTGTACAAGATTAGGATGGAGCTAGAGTAAAAATGAATTTACAACACAAATAAAAATACCCCCCCCCCCCTATATTATAAAACAAAACAATCCGAACAATCGTAGTAAGATCTTCATCTCATGTAAAGATTATGAACATTACCTTCAAGTAAGAGAACATGAACAAGGTAAACCAGCTGCTGACCAGTTTCTCTGCGATTGTTTCCGTGCTGAACACATGAAATAATATTATAAGAATATCATATACAAGTTTATCAAAGATGTACTTTCTTGGAAATTACATATGTGTAATATGAGTTTCAGTGGCAACGTTACTGACAGATATGAACCATTACAATATATCATTACATATATTTGATTAGCGTACTATATGCAGTAACAATTGTTAACAAAGCTCTTGAGCCACGATAACCCCACATTCTTAATTCAGTCGAAAAATGTTGGCCTATTATTCGTGTTTAATTTATAAAGAACCTGCGATTTGGCTTCCTGCCCTCATAACAAGCCTAGTACGCTAATATACTTTTCAACATTGTGAGAAGCCCGGCCCCCCCCCCCCACTCCGAAAACGGACGGACCCCATGCGTGTTGCCAAAATGTCCTTTTCGTAACAAAAGAAAAAGGTCGACCCGTATTGACTTTACACACCGGACTTTTTCTGAAAGGGGGGGGGGTGCTGAAAAAGGCTCGTATACAAAAGAAAAAGGTCGAGCCGTATTGACTTTACACACCGGACTTTTGCTGAAAAGGGGGGGGGGGTCGGTTGGAACACACATATGCGTACTCTAAATAATACTGAGTGGGGGGGGGCGGGTTGAGAAGTCAGGAATGTACTTTATAAGACGCATTAAGAACCACAAAGAACAAGTGCTAACTCTAAAAAGGGATAATAGAGATGAATTTAAAACGTTACTTGGTGAATAGTGTGTCCATCTCTCTACTAGATTCGGATGCCATTCTGACTTCATCTTCAACAAGTGACATTACGACGCTGAAAAGGAAATAAAATGAAAGAAGTGCCAAAAGGTCATACTTTAATCTCCAATAAGAATTCCGGTGTGTAAAAAAAAGAATAGAATGATGTATACAACTTGAATGATCAGTAATAATAATTTCCGTACGAAAAGTTCCTTGGGATGATCTGATTCTCCCAAGAGTAAATATAGTGTTTTGGGTATCACTCTAATCATTTCGTCATCTTCACAATATTTATCTTTTACAGGGAGTATCGGTGTATCCTGCAGAATTCTACTGCACATTGATCTATTCTGTCGATTCATGGAAAGAAATTACCGCCTCTGGTCGAATGTTCTACATCATCATTATTAATTACTTTATTAGGCATTCCAACATAAAAAATAAATTTCAACAATAAAGTACACCATAAAGAAAAGGAATAAGGGATGTTGACCGTACATGCCCAGGTTGCCTGGGAAATGAAGAAAAAAAAGTAAATCTAATTACATCGACTGGTCACCTTTGTCCTATGTCAGGTCCCTGTTACGCTCTGCCCCACGACACTTTCCCCTCCCTGCCCTACCGCTAATCTGTCCTACCGCCAATCTGTCCTACCGCCAATCTGTCCTACCGCCGATCTGCCCTACCGCCAATCTGTTCCAAGAACCCACATGTCTTTCGTACCCGTTAGTCCTATATCCGACAGTCTAATGTCCTACCGGTCCTTCGTCCCTTAAGTTATGCTACTTCTTCATAATCATATAGGTTTGCATTATACAATTTTTGATGTTTGTAAAGCATTAAAATGTTCGGTAAACCATGGATGAAATTATTGGGTTTATCGGCACTGAAATTATGATGAAATGAAATCGCACTTAATTCGTTTGTACAGGCAATATGTGATCAGTAAAAAGAATTATGGCACTTCATCTTTGAGCTGCAGTGAAAAAAGTGAATATATGTACTTTGGCATATATAACTAATGACTTACTCTGTGAAGTGGATTGATTTTCCCTCGCTGACAAATGTTATTGCCAAAAGAGAGGCGATGATTTCCCTAAGAGGTGGAAAATGAAAGCCATATTAAATTTGCCTCGCGGCATGAAAGTAATACAGATGCTCTACATCACAAGATTTTGCAGCAAGATGCGAGTACGAAACTGCATAACCATATATAAGTGAATTTATAATCAGTTAATAATAGTCCTTTGGCAAGTAACAAAACTACATTTGCCTTACTGGCAGCAATGAATGCCTTGATTGCTATGAATGAGCACCGAAAACGGTGGCCACAAGGTCTGGGTAATATGAGAGCGCCTTGAGAACATTGCGTGGTGAATATGTATGAATAGTAGTATCATTATCATGAATCGTACTTATTTCTGTTTAAGATTTTGACCACGAAATATCGATTCAAATAATGGTGTTTTTAAAAAAATGGTTAAGGTCCTTTAAACTACCTTTCACGACCACGTCCTTCCTTCTTCCTCTCTAGTTGTCTGATGAAGTCTATCAAAACTTCCTTCTTCTTTAGCATACGGTAGAAGGATATCACCGAGTGTTCCATAAAGTCTTCCATGTACTGGAAGTAAATATTTTAGGACAGGCATAAGATCTTTATGGTGCACAAGTTAAAATCAAGAATGATCTTTTTTTATAAATACAAGTCAGTTATATGCTTTGCATTTGGCAACGTCTCAAATGTCCCCCTCCCCCTAAAAAAACACACTAATCGCAATGTAATTAGTCGTGAAGAACAAAACACATTTGTTTCCAACTAGTGCAGTTTTACTATCAAATCATGTATATACTCTATTGATAAATTCGTAGTTTAATGGGACTTATTCGGAATAATTACTCCATTATCTGACATGTTTGAATACCATATCCTGACTTAATCTTTATTACCTCAGGGTCCGTTGTTTCTGGGTGCACACCAAGCCCATTAAACAACATCATTGTCAAATAGTGGACGTGTCCTCTAAATGGTATCCCTTGCTTCTGTGTTCTGTCGTCAGCTTCGGATACATCTAAGCTCGTGTTACCAACTATCAGCAAACAGGTAAGATAATTTATTGTAATTAATGAGCATTCCATATACTATATATTAAGTCAAGATAAATCACAGTGTTAACCATGAAAACAAATTTTGAGTAAATTCTAAAGAATAATAAATGATTAAATAAACACCTCTAATTTGTTTTATAGAGAGAGAAAAAAAAGCTGAAAGAGGCGCTTCTACACGCTACTAAACTCTTTCTTCGACAATGTTTCCTTATATTACTATCATTTTAAAATCTGAAAATCTGAAGGGGAATCCTATCACATACACTGCTGAAGGTGTTTGATTATCTATAATGACTACTTTCTTCCAGCTTGATTGACATTATTGCTCCTGGTAATACAGCATTTTTATCATTGTCTGTATTAAGGACTTTTCTTCATGACCCGCTTTCTACTGCGCACATTGGCGTATCGATTTTGTATGTTTTGGTGTTCAAATACCCCCCCCCTGGCAAATTAGGGGTGTTTTAGGTGTGTTCAAACACCCACACATACCCCCCCCCTCCCCCTTGGCAAAAGGGGGGTGTTTTAGAATTTTAAAGACAGTTTTTTTATCTTTTTCTCAAGGGGGGGGGGGGTAGAAGGGTGGATGTTGAGGGGGAAAGGAGTACTTCCCCCCCCCCCCCGCTCATTCACCGGCTGGCTGATTCGTCGCTAAATATTTCTCACGAATTTGCCCCCAAAACACCTCCCCTTAAAAAATCCTGAATTATGTGATTGTAACAAGTGTGGTATCACTTCAAACGGATGTAACCAGGCTTATGCATAATTATGAATGTAATTGCAATTAATGTCCTTCCTATTATATCTTAAAACACACAGATACAAACAAGCGAGTATATGTAGGAACATTGGTGCACGCAGCTTTATCTTTTTATCGATTATTCATTAGTACTTACAACAACAAAAAACGCCGCCATTTACCGCGACATAATTATGTGAACGAGCCCGAACAAAATCACGTGTAAAATGTCCCAGGTACATTAACAAATAAAGCCAATGCAGAGCAAAATGTATTCACACACACGCCCGAAACCCACATGCTCGCACACCCCACGCGCACACATACACACTTACATGCATTACATCTACAAAACATAGTTTTACTTTTTGTTAGACCAAAGTGCTGGTATCTCTTTGGTTAGACATACCTTCTCGTATTCTATTCATCATGTTGCTACGGACCATTTCTACTTCTTCCCTAGCTCGTTGTAAGTGACGCTGTTCCTTCCTTGACCACCAAACCAGAATGATTATCAGAGTAATGATCACAATGAGTCCCATCATCATACTAAATATTATGATGGGTAATATTGCACTGTCACTTGTAGCCGAATATGAAACAAAGCCTGGGTAAAATCGTAAGTTCCCATGCAAAACCTAAAAAGACAACAGAGTCATTTTAATATCATGTTATTGTGTTGGTTAGGGTGTGGGTTAACAATGACATGCACAATTATTCTTCTCCATACCCTCTCCAATTACACAAACGCCAGATAAACGCACTTTAAAACTAAAACAGGTGATTTACCGGTTTTTACAGCACCGTTATTTGTTAATTAATACTAAATGAGCCTTTTCAGCAATATGTTGTCCAAGGGTCGCGTAATGCTCATTTCCGAGTGAGATGGAAATTAAAATAATATATCTGTACACGTCAACTGTGCTTTCCTTACTGTAGCAGCATTTATAATCTCCAATAAATTCAGAAATGGTTAACAGCCAATAACTGAATTATTCATACTCCGAAAAGTGGACTGGTTGAATTAGGGCCATGGTTAATTACTTTTAGATGTAAACTCTAATTTGTCACATTCTCACTATCTCAGGATACATAAATCGGAACAAATGTATATTTCGCATATTCATTTTAAAAATACAAAACTTTGAAAGAGTCTGAATAATTTAGTTATTAAATTTATATCAAAGAAAGCTACAATAGGGATTACATGTATGTTTAAGGTAATCGTTATAGGTGTATGACTCTGTAATAAAGAAGCGCCATGCAAAACAGGTCTTAACAACCAATACGAAATCAATACGAAATAATTGTTGAGTTTTAAAGTATACGATGATGATAAATACTTTATTTTATATTCATGTATATATACTTACGGTCACAGCTGGAAGATTTTTTGCATCTCCCTGACCTAGTGTTCCATTTAAGTATCCTGCTTGAGGCTGGTCATCCGGTAGCTGACAACGCAGGACATTAATTTCAAGATCATCAACAGTGCATTCTCCATCAGGCCCTAACAAAACTAGTACATCGTCTTCTGTGCTTGCCAAGGTTAAATCCATGCCCTAGAAAAACATAAAAGCAAAATTTACAATTTTAGCTTCAACCACTTTAGTCATAGCATGTGTAGTCAAGCCTGTGAATACTAAACAAGATACAATAAAACAAGAAAAAACAAATCAAAGTCCTTTAATATTCCATTGAACCGAATAATGTTCAGTGTAAATTAATTTACCTATTTGAGATAACCAATAACAAAAACTATACAAATAATAATAATAATTATAATAAGTTACTCAAAATATTTAAATACACTTTGCATTAGACACAATAATAATGATACATAATTATGAAATACATTTGACAAATATCCACATTACATTAATTTCACAGCTATTAAACATTACTTTACAAATAGTATTGTATTACATTACATTAAAATTATATATAAGATGTAGTCTTATATAAGGGCAGACATCATGACGTAATACAGAGAATATGGAAATTAATATAGCAGTCCACAACTATAACATGACATCTTATTTTCCAAGTGTCTATTAAGCCAGCATTTACATTTAATGATAAAGCATATGACTATTTCTTCACTATGTAAAAAGGTAAAGTAATTGAGTATGCTTTCATTTTTAGAAGGCAAATTTCTCCTGTGAATTTACAAAGAATCATGACAGTCATTAATTCAGTATCAAGAATAGTCTACAGGCAATATTTCTATTACATGGCAGAATATAACAGTCTATAACAACGTCTACTACAGTAATTCAAATTTCAATTAAAAAAAAAAAAAAATACAAAATTGATCATGTACGCGAACCAAAACGTATCTGCAAATACACAGTAATGTTGACAACATTTTTCGAAATGATTGATCAATACAAGCTAAATTACTTATGTCATAAACAGAAATTTGGTGTTGCAGGTGTGTATGAAGAAAACTCCTAAACTTACTGTAATCTCGAGTCGTTTATTAGCACTCTTATAAATTCTGGTGTTCCCACTGAAGTTTTCATACACAGGGTCTGGGAAATATTCAATAGTGCCGCCATCAATCACATATCCATCAAAGTCAAAGAATAAATTCGCGATCATTGCATCGTCTGTTGATCGTCTTCTTCTAGCAGGGATAGCATCATTAGGAAAATTTGGCGTTGGACATGTGAGAATGGTTTCTGTTCCATTGCAGAGCTTTAGGACATTAATGTCAAAGCATTGATAAAGGATAAAGAACAAATGATATAAAAAGTATTAAAATTCCATTTCCATTTCATGTAACTGCACTATGATCACATGTTTGAATGCGCCAATCTATAAGATCCAATCATTTATGAACACAACCAAATGTGATTTCAAAGAGAAAATTTGGGAATAAACCTGTAGATTAACAATTACATGTGCAAATGAAGATTCTTTTTGCATGGCAGAACAACTCATTTATTTGTATATACAACTGACAAGCAAATACAAAGTATGCTAAGCAGTACTGTGTCAAATAAATTGATCTAAAGGTTACTAAATACAATGTAAAAGTGTATGCATGAGAAAGAGCATACAGGTAGTTATCCAATCTTTTACAGTCAATAGACATATCTATGGTTATTAATCTCCTAAACATATATGGGTTTAATTAAAATGTATAATATCAACAACAACAAAAAATGCTTAACCCAGCATTCTACAGGCTATTAAACAATTAAGGAGTATGAAAGAAATAAAGGATAACATAATACCCTACACAATGACTAGTATGCCTTCTACAATGCACATGTACTATTAGAGCATGTACAGGAAAATCAAATAATCTTCTCATAAGTTGCATCTATGTTTAATGGGTGTACTTAAAATTGCCACATTTCTTTGTAGAAGTAATAAATGAAGCTCGTATTTTTAAATTACTATAACCTTACATACAAAGCAAAATATTTTTTGATAATCCGATACCTTTTACTGGTAATGGGACTTGAATGAAATATAGAGAATGGATATCATACCTCAGAATTGCTAGCATCAGTTGTGAGAGATGTAACTACAATCCTGGGTTCTTGGATCAGATCAAATCTTACGCCAGTTAGTGTGATATCGGGACCTCCTCTGTTGAAATAAAAAATTAATTCAAGGTAAGCTTCAAATAACACCTATATATAAGAAAACAGTCGTATGTGAAAATTACAGACAGGGAATACTTTATAATATTAGACAGCTTAGAGATGTGATTGGTTCAGAGCTCGCCACGTGATATCGATTGCGAGGATCGTAATTGTTACGTAATAAATATCTGGATAACATTTGGTCAATTGTAAAAAGAAGAAAAAATTAACAAATCGTCGAGCTATATATTCTTATGGTATGTAGTATCTATGAAAAATATTGATACCTTTATAATTTACATGTTAAGATGTTTGTTTGGGCCAAAGCATACACAATTAAAGAAACAGTTCAATAAAAGCTTCAGAGAAATAGAACAAAGAAAAAGAGGGTTAGATTTTTTTTTTCACTGTTGAACTCACTCATATGAAAAATCTTGTAATAGTGAAGCAATAATGATGTATTCTGTCATACCATGGATAACTCATCCAGTTGTTTTATACAAAGTGCAACGTAGTGAATATAATCCCTCTTCTTGAATCAAAAAATATATTCTATTGATAAAATGAACAGGGATAGTTTTAATGATTTCTGAACAAAGGTACAGTTCTCTATGTATAACATTACATATTACTACTTTGCCAATTGTTAATTTTCAATACCACTTGTTATCTCTACTTTCAAAAATACCAGAACTTCCAATTTTTTCAGAAACTTACAAGAATCTGTTTCTATCTGAGTCATAATTCTATGATAAAGTAATTCCCCCAAATGCTTATCATGACTGCGTAAACCATGGTGATTCTTTATAAACAAGTAAATGAATGACAATTAAGGATGAAAACAGAAATACAAATTTATATTCCAAGTTACTTACGACATGATAGATGTTGTTCTATCAATATTTTCAATCCTTGGATTCGGCATGTAGGTAAAGTCGTAACCGCTGAATTGTCTTTCTTCTCCATCAAATGTCATGGCCAGGGTTACGGAAACCTCTTCATTCTCCGGTATGCTGCTTGTGATGCAGGTTGCGATTTCGTCTTGAACAAAACTTCAAAATAGCAAATAATTCCCACTTTATATTATATGTAATTCTATTATAATATTTTCCTTATATTTGTTTGAATTTATGAAGCCTTTCATGAATGGATATGATGGAGTTAACATATTTAATTACAAACTATTCGAAAATGGCATCAATGAAGAAATGTGTACACTGAAATATTTCTCAAGGCCCATTAGCTATACAAATTCTTCTCAAAATTCAATTGCGCTTCATTACTTTTAATAACAATTAAAGTTTAAACAATAAAGACTTATAGTGGACTTTACAAAATTATTACATCAAGCATTAAATGCAAAACATATTACTTACATCTCTATGCAGTCTGCATCTCTGAATCTTGCAGTAATGTCCCTTCCAGTGTCCAAGTACATGCCACTGATAGTGATTTCTGTACCCCCTGCCACGGGTCCTTCTCTAGGATTAAACCCTGTGATCACAGGATCCTATCAGAGACCACAACATGTTATCATATTGTATATACTTGTATTTCAAGGATGTGAAATAAAATGTATGGTCAAACAAATCAATACATCTATCCGTTACATCTTGACAATGAATTTAGGATCAAATTGACTTCCCTTCCATGAAAGAATTAAACATGTTTTTTTTATAATATACATGAACGTGTACTAAGAGCTTTAACCGGTGCAATAATAGGAAATATTGCTGAAAAATCAGACTATGTAAACATGTCTATCGTTCGTATGCTATATTTCCATAATTTGTTTCACTCAATAATCATATTCCGATACCTCGGCTACATGTATGATAATCAATATTAAAGTCTACATGCAGACTTTTATAACATCATTAATGCATTTCAGCTGTTTTCGTTTTGTTTTTGTTTGTCATGTAAACCATTCGATTCAATGAAATTAAATTCAAACATACACCACATTAAAAAAGAAAATAATGCATCTAGCAAGTGTCGTAGAGATAACAACAAGACTGGTTTTCATCTTACTTACCCTATACTGAAATTCTTTAGTGCTCTGTCCTGTCTTATATCGTCCCCCTGACGCCACCGTGATTTCAATGCCTCCCGATATTACTTCAGTAGATATCGCTGTCATACAACTTACACTGCAAAACAAAAACGAACGAGACAAATGCGACTGCGTATCCTATATGCCCCCGCCTTTAATTCAGTACAAAAAATATAGAATTATTTGTGACATATCATAATGAAAACAAAAAGTCAATCTCTTATATCTCTTTATATATCGCAATAGCAAGGTTAAAACCTGTTATATGATAAATTGACCTCTGTGACCTTTGACATTCGAACCCAGAATCTAATCAGATCATCTGCCCATGTTGATACATAATATCTCCGAGTTTGAGCCTCATATCTCAGTGGTTCTTGAGATATCGCGACTACGAGGCGAATACCTGGAATTTGATAAACTGACCCCTGTGACCTTTGACTCCAAAATATAATCAGACCATCTTCCATGTTAATATATATTATCCCCAAGTTTGAGCCTCATTGCTCTATTGGTTCTTGAGATATGGTGATAACGAAGAGAATACCTAGAACTTCATAAGTTGAACTCTGTAACCTTCGACTTAGTTACCCCATAATGTAATCAGAATTCCTTCTTATAGTGATACATGCTTTCATCAAGTTGAAGTTCATATCTCAAGTAGTTCTTGACACATCTCGTTAAAAGGAAAGTTAGAGATAAAGACCAATTATGGTCATGCGATTGCATTGTGAAAGAAACGTTGTGGAATCGATCAGAAAAGGTTGATCATCTAGCATATAAGTATTGGTGTGTACTGCAAGGTTCTGGATTCATCAAAATGATAAGAAATTTGGCCCAGTCTTCGTAAAGTTACAAGCACTGTACATAGAAAGATGTATATGGGACTACGCACACGTGCGCGACACGTGCGTTTATCTCTCACAGACCAATAGATAAACTAATTAACCAAATATATCAATTAGTAGGCGGTTTCCCGGCAACATTTTTATCATCATGTATTAGTCAAAACATACTCTTTCACATGATTGGTAATAAGAGCTTCCATTTCATTTTTTGAAATTGGGGTGTTTCCAATACTGGTCTTTACCTTTAAGTTCTGTTTTCAGACCGCGAATGCCTTCAAAGTGCATGATTGCTCTTATATATTGCATTTCTAGTGCCCTTTGAGAACCTTAAATTGCTATAAAGGTAGTTTTAGACCCCAAAATGTATGAAATTTAGCAAATACGATCATACCAATTCAGCTCCACTTTAAAAAAAATACGGTGACCGTTAATTAATTATTTAATTAAAAATAACAATACATGGGCCAGTTGGTTGTGCGTAATATAACCAACACGAGAATGCCAACAAAAAAGTCAACATCGGCATTGGCTGAAATATGACTTAAAAGGCGCTATTTCGTTTTTTTTTCAACGGCTTTTTCAAATTATCTAATATTTGTGGTGGTACACAAGTATTAGAAATTATTATATTTATGGATATTTCAGCCGTCTCTGAACCGATTTTGATCAAACAAAGATGATTTTGTCACTTAGATTGTACTTTCTTTCAAATTTGACACTCAGTTTTTCATTATCTCACAACAAAAATATCTTTTGTAGCGCCATGTGCAACAGAACTCTACAATCCTTTTAACGAGAAAGCGGGACATACGGACAACCCGAAAACATAATGCCTCCGGCAAAAGATAGACAATAACATATTACATGTGAATACACGGTTACAGTGTAATTTAATTGGAAAATACAGCCCTGTGTCATTTGACCGACACCCTTGTGACCCTAAAATATATCTTTTTACCTCAAAATTTCGTTATATAATCTTGCCATACACAAGTCTTCATATATATAAATATATATATATATATATATATATAGAATATTCAAGTATGGAAACTATACAATAGGTGTTTTAGGCAAGTGGACAAGTCTCGTGACTGCGAACCAAAGGCTAGGGGGTCTCATTTATGTAGAACTACTGTAAGCATGCGTGACCACAGGTTTTCTAGACTCCCCCTAAACGAGGACTTCTGAAGCCAAAACACACCCTAAATGACGATTTCGCGTGTTCCCCCCCCCCCGAATTCACAACCTAAACGGGTATTTAAAAAAAGTATACTCCTAAACAAGTATTGTACCATTGTACCCCTTGAGAATTTTGAAGTGCGACAGGGATTAACATTTAAGTTGTTGTAAAATTCGCACTATAAAAAAATTGTTGCAATAGAAAAGCAATAACGTCAACCTGTACACATCCAAATGGGTTTAATGAAAAAAGAATTTCAAATTTGATCTTTTTTATATAAAGTACAGTTTGTACACAAAGTACACAATGTACAGTTACTATTCTACTATGCAAAACAAAATATAAGGGATCAGCTATAGGCGTAAGACTTGGTAGGTCATCTGGATCGGTACCGTCGGCACCCATCTTGATCTACTGAAGATCTTAAGATCGTTTCAAACCGACTCGCGCTAGATAAGCTACCTCTTGCGGCCGTCGTCCACACTATGAGCAAACACGAAGAATTATTACCCCTTCGACCACCCCCCTCCCCGGTCTGGACCTGAGGGCTAAATAAATATCCCTAAACACGTATACCGGCGCGTACAAAAGGATTTTGCATCATTTTGAAACACTATTATATGCAGTTGTATAAATGGTGAAATGCATTTTACGCATATCATTTGCTATTAACAATTAGTTACTCCTTGTACAAGATTATCAAAATTAGATTAGTACGAGATGAATTTGTATACACGTATATATTTTGTATAATGTTAAAATTCATTCTGAACATTGTGTTATATACACCTGTCAGAAAACTGAAGTAAAATTGATAAATAAGAGTAAATATAAGATATACCTCTGTCCTGGCTGGTAATATTCGCCCATGTCTGTCAAATCACACTGCAAGTCTTGAATAAGAATTTGAAGTACATCATCAAATACCACTCCTATGTCGGTTCCGATGATTTCTAATCTTGTACGGCCATTGATAGGACCTGACAAGGGGTCAAACTTCAGGAAAAGACAAAAGAAATTATAAATTGATCCCATCAAACCTCTTTATATCCTACTGCTTCAGTCTATCACTACCGTTAAAAGGAATAATTCCACATTTGGGAATCTTGTTGTCTTGTTTGTACTTATCATGCGTCAAATATAAGATTCCCTATGTGTACATGTATAACACTAATAATGAATATCAATTATATGTACATTTATATTAAAATAATTCTTAACATTACAACATTTTCCAAAGATTTAAGGCTTGCTCAGATATGTCGCGGTAAGCCACGCCGCTTTTTAAAACGTGTATATGAATGAAACTGGGCGCAACAAAGGTCGTACGAATATTCCCTTCATAAGCTTTACATGTGTTAAAACATACAGAAATGGGAAGCGTTTTAGACTTGCTTCGTTATGAAAAACAACGATTGCGGTTTATCGTGGCATATCTGAAAGACTTAATAGTTTGGATTTATATCCTGTACGAACAAATATTCTCTTACATCAGTGATAACTGGTGCTAAACATAACTGTGTTTCATTCTGATGGATAAACAGGTTGTTCTGACAAACTTCACTTTGCATGACATTGCAGTCATCACCACACCAACCACACTTCAAGATTGATGGAGTTGCATCTCGGGAAAGGCATCGACTGCAACTTCCACTGTTAACTGAACACTTGTAAATGGTGACTGCAATTAAACAAATCAACAAAACAAAAAACCTTCATCAAAAATATTCATTCGATGCAGCTCGGAAGTCTAGTATTTCTTCAGACTAATTTGTTACCGATTTTTATGACATATTAGACAATTGTTTAATTTCACAATGACATTTTTGGAAAGACTTTTTAAACATGCAAGAGCATTCACAAGAATACTGCTGCCATTAAAATTGTGCCAGACTACTACATACCCATACTTCGCCTTATTGTAAGAATTTCAAAACTGAATAATTAGGGTTCATCATCAATCCTTAAGACTGACCATTTTCTCAAATATTACAGTGATAAAGAGTAGACATAATAATACCCTCAGGGAACGATCACAAAACAGAAGAAGTAAATCCATCCTTCCAACTGCATGCACAGGTGTAATTTTTATGACACATTCAACTAGTTTTTAATTACAATATTTACAATATTCAAAAGGAGTATTGTTCTAGTGAAAAATAAATTTAGATTGGCATTTGGGCTTACCTCACTTTCTTTACGTTTGTCTACTGGTTTACTCACAATTTACTTTTTCGTGTATTACATGTAATATTACATGTAATATTTGAAGCAGAAACTTGTGAATACTTATTTTTAGATCTAATTTTTTTCACATGTAGCTAACATCAAATTATGTAGAACTTTGCAGGAATTATGAATATGTCATGTACGTATCTATGAAACTTAAACATTATCAGTGTCCTAGTATTCACATTATGCAAGGAAACCCGTCTAACTTCCAGACTTCACTGTCAGACACTATTAAGTGACTGACTGACATCTGAATAACATATATGACATGAGCTGTAACAGGTTTAAAGCATATTTCTACATCATTAACCCACTACTTGTAATGGCCAAAATTAAACTGATTGAATCTTTTTGCAGCACAAAACGTACTACCATTCGGTTAAAGGGTCTGAAAATCAGATTATTACTTGTGATTGCAATCACTTAAGTCGATTCGACAACTAATGGTCGTTTTCCCCCCACTTTAAGCCATTTTCAAGGCCTTTCGTTTTGAGTAAAGTTCTTTCAAATGCCGTTTGAATTTAACCTTTTCATTTTCTGGCCTCTAAATGGGACAGATTACTTTTAAACTATGATGTAATACTGTACCAACCATGCGTTTCTGACAGGTCATCTATGCTGTTCTGTCCATTCCACTTTACAGAGACACTGATATTATTCTCGAGGATATTTTCATTGTACATGTACTGAAAACAAACAATAAAACACAATTGTATGACAACAGAAGGAGAGAGAAGATGTCTGGAAGTACATGGGACTTGCAGTCCAAATCTATCCACATGGTTACAAGCTGTTCTCACTATGGTCAACTATAGTGGAACAAACAGTGAACACCACAGTTTACTTTGGCCAAGTAATATTTAGCTGTATCATATACTCAAACAATGTGGTGATCTCAGGATTTCATTCCGTAACAAATAAAGACTTTACAAATATGTATATCATAGACTTTGGATATACAAGTAGTTTACCAGTAAGAATATCAGTGAATAGATACATGCTGAAGCTTTTGGTCTTCCACTCAATCGGAGTAAAGCACAATAAGGAACGGAAAGCCGTAATCAGGCAACATAGATGGAAACTTAAGGAACAATGTGCACCACGAAAAGCTTCAGTATGTCTTTTTGTACTCGCAATCATCTCTTCAGTATAATTTTAGCAGTAACCAAATAGTAGTTGGAAAACAAAAGGCAATATATCTGGTATTTCAGTAATCTTTAATCTGCTACAAATAAACGACAAGAAAGGTTGACAAAAAGATATTCACACAACCACGCAAGGACCTTCAAACTACTCTTTGATTTAACAACATAATCATTTTCTTTTTTCGTATGTAAATTAATTCGCCACACAATTTATATTAAATATACAGGTTAACATTTTAGAGTAGACTTATGACCTTCTATGAATACTTGCACAATATGTCTTCATTTTGATGTTATTTGGAAAGTTCTGAAAGTTCTGAAAGTGCTGTGAGCAACTGAGCATAACTCAAGATTTTACCTGTTTATCATTGCAGAGAATGTAGGTTTCATTAAAAGTGGTACTAGGTACTCTCACTTCTTCTCCTTCAATGTCAAGGATGCAGTCATATGTTACTGGGCCCTGGAAATATACAAACAGTGATGTTTTTGCAAAGATATGTGTAGTATTAAAGGGCCCATGACATCGAAATACAAGTGTAGTCCTGTTGGTGTGTAGTCCTGCATTCATCTCATATTTTGATATGTAAACTTCTGAATTTGTTTCGTAGATTTTTAAATAATTTTTGAAATATTTGTTTTTCAAACTTGCTAAGCTCCATCCCCAAAACCTCCAGATCTCATTCCCCTTGTGACATCATCTGTCAGTCATCAATGAGCTAACTTGAGAAAGTGGTATGTATCTTTGCCGAAGTCGACCACCTGTTACAATACGTAATACAATAGCAACAAGTTGCTATGTCAGACATGCTGTAGCATCACCAGGAAGACAAAGGCAATGATGATGTATTGTACATATGTATGGAAGCATGCAATTATATTATATAAAGGTGCTAAAGGCCCGGTCACACAGAGGGGACGCATGGGCGACGCACAGCCAGCGCACTGGAAATTTGCAAGTTTGGCCAGTGCGTTGTCGTTCGCTAGATGTGCGTCATCATTCGTAACTCGTTCGTCGAGCGCGCTGGACCAACGCTGGATGCATTCGTCGCAATTCGCTGTGTGCGTCGGGATTTTTTGAGCATGCTCAAAAGTGTGCCCGGAGCTCGACGAATGAATGTACACGCCAAAAGGACGCCAGACATGCGCGGAGCGCGCTAGACCAACGCCACACATACGTGGAGCACACGCCCTGTATACGCGCAGCGCGCTAGCAATACGCTATGCATTCGGTGTCAGCTCGCTAGCTTCTCCCAAATCCTGAAAAAACGTCGGGCACACGATTTTTTCCGATTTTCATTGCGCCGGCCGTGCGTCCCCCATGCGTCCCCTCTGTTTGACCGGGCCTTTAGCTGGGGAAAATTACATACTATTGTCTATTCCAGAATATTAGTTTAGTCTGACATGTCTGACATAACAACATAGCAAATTATATGTTGCTATTGTTTGTGGTATTGTAAAAGGTAGTCAACTTTGGCAAAGTTACATGCCACTTTCTCAAGTTAGCTCATTAATGACTGACAGATGAAGTCACAAGGGAAATGAGATATGGAGGTTTTTGGGGTGGAGCTTAACAAGTTTGAAAAACAAATGTTTCAACAAATATTTAAAAATCTTTGAAACAAATTCAGAAGTTTACATATTAAAATATGAGATGAGGACTGCACACCAACAGGAATACAATTGTTTTTTCGATGTCAGGGCCCTTTAAGTCGTGTCTTGTCGTTTCTTGTTCGTCATAATGTATTGTGCTTGTTATAAATAATAAGGAAACTAAGGTCTTTTAATTGGAGAAAATTGAATCACGGTAATGTACATTGCTTCAGTCCAAATTTACTAGTCGGAACTTTAAGATAAATGTACGTGTAAATGCCATATACTATTCATACTGGCAGACCGAAGTCAAGTCTTGTTCATAATCTGCTCGTAACTTAAAGAGGTGAAGAGGTAACACATATAATGTAAGTCCACTTCCAACACATTGTTTTCACTATATGCACTAGTGAATCTCTTGTATCCCTACTAGCTTCATAATAATATAATTACCTTTAACTGATCTGTAGGAAGGTTCTTTGCAGAAAGTGAGAAGCCGGAAGAAATCATGACTGGTATAAGAAACGATTCTGTTGCTCCAAGCAGCTGAGGGCAAAACCCCTGTCCTACGTTTCCAGCACCATCAGGATTCTATAGGGACGAACATACAGAACATGTGAGCACGGAAATCGGTAACCTTGAGCATCCCTTGCTTAGTTCATATGTGTGCTATAAAAATGTTTAATAATATAATTACATGTACATAATTATAGTAATAAAGCAAGCAAGATCTGCATGCTTAAATGAGCAGTAGTCTAATTTATTACTTAAACCTGTGTATTTAGTCTATCGACTAGAGGTGTTGTGGACGAGTGGATAAGTCGCCGGACTGTGGATCACAAGGTCCGTGGTTCAAGTCCCGCCATAGCACTAACATTGATCAAGACATTGATCTACATTTGCCACTCTCCACCCAGGTGTTAAATGGGTACCCGATAGGATTTACATGTGCGCATGTAAAAATGACGCCTGGCTGGAATGCTCCCCAGGGAGTGGAGAATGTGCATACATTGTGTGCGGGTAAGCCTGAATCCAATGACCGGGATAGTAATATACTTATCTGTAAAGCGCTTTGTGAGGGCCCCCGGTCCTGAAAAGCGCTATATAAGAACAAGCTATTATTATTATTATTATCTATCTATCTAAGTATTTTCTCCCGGTTCGGAGATTGATTGCAACGTCTCTCCATTTCACTTTTACCATTCTGGTGCACTCTTGCAGTTTTAGTCCACTCCAGTTCTTGACATTCTCTTCCCAGTGTAATTACTATTTGACCAAGAGACATTGACCTTCGTGTCAATAAATGTACATTTCATTCCTTTAGGATGCCAGACATAATTTATGCGAGGGCATGAAAACCATATACAGTGATCTATTTGCACCATAGGAAAGCTGAAACTATGGCATGAAAACACTTTCGTTTGAAAACTGGTGTCTCTGCATGAATTGCTTACATTTACTCCAAAAACGACTGTATCTCCCGTTTGACATGAGTTGCTATCGTCTGTGCATTTGTTTTCATAAACACACCAGTCACATGGGAAGCGGGTCATAACACAAGATGAACATCTGCAAGAAATTGAAAATGACTGTTGTATTAAAACTAATACCAAACTATTATTATTACTATTCACAATGATGCAAGTGAAACCCTTTCTACAATACTGCCAGAAATTCAAATTTGTTCATTATAAACAACCCCAATACCAACGAGAACTCATAGATAAAATAGCTTGCTGAAGTTTAATGAATCCAAGAACTTACGATTTAATGTGACTGCAGTCAAAGAAGAAGTAATCAGTGGTCACAAAGTCGACACTAGTTTCAGTTGAGACAACAGACAGAGGCAAGTTCAAGAAGTACACTAGCAAGCAAATGAAAAGAAATATTAAACATACTAATCATTTTAATGCAGACAAAATCATGTATGAGTGAATGAAGATGAACCACTTTCTGTTTTTCGTCTTATATCAATAATTGTTGAGGGTCAGTGGTACTGGTAACTGTCGACGAATAATCAAGCAGATTATTAAACGACAACTAGATAGAGAAAAATATGATGATTACATCTGTCCTACGTGTACCTTTATACGATGGGAAGGTCCCAAATAAAAAAACACTTCACCTTGTGTTCAACGCTCAACCCAATATACTTCGTGGATTCCTGCATGTCTCTTGTGCTTTAATGAGTTGTCTTTCAAAAATGTCAACAACAGCAAAATAAATAACTACATTAGATAACAAAAGATGTACCCAATTTCAATGATTTTTTTAAACAGGTATTGGTATTTTAATTAGGTATCAATAGTCAGCACATGCTATTTATTCAGATGGATGTGATTAGATTAGCTAAGACAATGTACGTGTACATGTACGATCCGCACTGATACACATTTCATCTTTACATGTACTTACTTCCATCTGGAATTGAAGGTATGCTGTTTGCAGGAGGGGATAAACAGGTTACAGTATTACCGGTAGTTGTAGCAGAGACCTCATAAGAGTTAAAGGCACACATGTATTGAAAGCTACTCCTAAGATCTGGGAGCTGTTGTACTGTGATGGTAATCTATAACAAGAATGGGCAAAAAGAGTGTGATTTCTCAACAGGACTCACATGCACAGGAAATCTCACATGTCATTCTACAATTTCCGTTTCGGTTTAATAAAATTTGGAGTGGACTATTAGGCTATTATTATTATTATCAGGTGGGCTGTATAACGTACAGACCACCTTATAATTTCGTTAGAATTGCCTTTATTTATTTATTTATTTTTCTTACATCTAACCACTTTTTTGTAAGCACGATTACTTGAAAATGGCTCAATCAAATGCCTTCAAATTTAACACACATGTGTATAGGCATATGTACAAAGCACAATAATGTTTTCAACATTGACCTTTACTGATGACGTCATCTAGGCGCCATTTTGTAAAATTTTACGAAAAACAACTCATGATCATATCTTCATAACCAAAAGCTATTTCTCATTCATATTTATCATGATCAAGGTCAATATCCGCCCGGTCAATTTCAGGTCAAATAACGCGCGCGTCAATGCGCGTGCAAAATGTTCAAATGCTCAAAATCGTCTCAAAATCATTTTGCATACGTTTTAGGCCATTCTAAGCATTTTGAAAAAAATCGCGCACACGCGCATGCGCGCGCGTTTTTGCGCGTAAAACTATTACACAACATAGAATCGCCATTTTTTTTTCTTTCATAATATTCCACATATTTTTACAAACAAATTGATACCATGTTTGTCTCTTTATGACTATTAATAATGGAATGATCGACCGTTGAACGAAAATTTCCGTGCGCGCGAGCTCTTGTAATACATAGCATATAGTGGCAAAAACATGCCTATACAAAATCCATTGTAGCTCTTTAGGATGCACGGTGACCCCAATATTTTTTCATATTTTAATAGAGTATGAATCAGAGATATGATTTCATGTCTCATTTGACCCTCAATTAACTCATGACGTCATCATAATGGCCTCTGAACTCAAAATTTCAATTTGCCTATTATGACGTCAGCATATTTTTGGAAAATTGATTGTATCTTTCTAAAAATTGATCGATTTTCTTCAAAATTGTGATATGTTCTAGCTGAGTCAATTCTCTACAAATCCAGTTTCACAATTTTTCATTTTGACAAAGGCATCATGGCGTATTTTTGCGATGAAAGGAGGCATGTCAATTTTTCACATTTTGCGTGTATTCTCTAGGGGACATGACTTTTTCTCAAAACTTGATTCTACATTCCCGTCTTTCGCGAGCAATATCTACGTTGTTTTAGCTTCATTTACGCTGAACTTCGAGTATGTTGTAGCTGAGACAAAAAGCTATCTCAAATTTACCCTTCATATTGTCTCAATTTTTTGTTGGATCAGCCCACCTATACTTGTTCCAAACAAGTATTACAAATCTAGTTATTATTATGTTATTGCTTTCACTTTTAATAAGTTGTATTTCATTCCCTGGCTATGATATTTCAGACGTTGTAATGAAAATGGAAAACTAATGCAATATTTGTTGTTGTTGTTATAACTGATCATGTCAGCAGTCTCTGCATGGTTTGTCCTAAATCATAAGTAAGCTAGTCAAGTATCACTTATAACTGATATTTACGTATAAAGTACAAAATATATTTTAAACACCTTTAAAGGGTTCAGACCAGCATGGATATGCAGACGGGAAAAGGAAATTTGAGACAGTGAAATTACAATTGTATTTACTTCCTGTTGTGTCTGACGATAAGGCAGACTGTTTGGCTGGACATCTGAGATGGATACACACTGTACGGCATTGTATGGTAACCATCGAGTTGACTCATCACCTAACAAGCATGCCTCATATCTTGTGCACCTTTAGAATAAATGGGAGTGTAGAGAATCAATTCATAAGATTTTATGATATCATCCATGGATGATTTTTACTTTTATTAAACTCTAAATGCAGGGTGAAGTGCATTTAAAACAGACTTTTGAGGGTATAAACTCCACAAATTTATTGTTATAGGTTGCCTTTTTCTCCCTCGCATTTGTTGTTCAGGATCTAGTACTCTTGCGCCCTAATTGGATACTGTTTATATTATACAAAGGGTTCAAAATATCTAATCATTCTCGTTTTTTTCTCCCTATTATGTTTCATCATCCTCTTGTTTAATATACGGTATTGCATCTTCAACAAACTTTGCAATGGTTCAACGTTTACAAGACAACTTAACTTTTGGTTACCTTGCTAAATTCCTTGACTATATTTCTCCTGAGATTTCATTAATTTTGCATCCCATTAGAAGAAGCGAACAGACTATCTCTTAGAGATGTTCAAAATTAGAAATTCTTCCGTTCGATTGCAAGGAATTTAATAATCCAATATTAGGTCGGACATCACCTTATATTCGGGAAGCGAGGTGCCTGCATATATTTTTTGTATCATAATTTTTTATGTAGAGTATTTTTGATGACAAATTAAAATCATCAGTTTCTTTTCCTTCTTTTACAATTATGCACAGGATGGTTTAATAATATTCAGCCAGTGCCCCCCCCCCCCTCGTGACAATACGCCCATATGCCTATAATGGGTAAAAATTTCAAGAAAAATATGTGTTTGAGGATTAGAAATGGGAGTCTACCGCTTATTTAACAGTTGATAGTTTGGAGAGGGGAGGGGAGGGGGGAGGTGCTATTGTTAGGCCCTGGTGCAATAATTACCCAGATATGCCATTTCACAATTTCCACAGAATTCATTCTCTACTTCGTGTGTGTCATGTTTTACATTCATAGTACTTTTGTAGGTCTCAAATTAAAAAAGGTTGAAAAGCTGTTCTAGAGTACGCCATCCATAGTGAGAGTCTCCATCTTTTCCCCCATTTATACAAAAGCACCCACCTTGCGTCTAGAGTACACCATCCACAGTAAGGGTCTCCATCATTTCCTCCATTTCCTCCAATGCATTCATCGCAGGTCTGGTATTGACCACAGTTTGTCAAATCCAATGTCAGGACCTACATTTTGTGTGTATAACATGAAGATCAATTTATCGAACAAGTTATTTGTGTTATGTTGATGAAGCTGATTCACATATCCATGCTCACCATGTATTGTTTTGTATTTGGTAAAATAAGTAGACCTTTAAACGGACCAACACAAAAAAGGATTAATATATTGTTTCAAAACATAAAGTTATCCTCCAAAGCTATACGAGACATTAAAACAGTAAACAAATGAAAATCTAGTGAAAAAAAGGAGGGGGAGATTTATATCATAAGAAGGACCAGACAGGGCTTAAGAGTTCACTTATATGCACATCAAATTCAGAGCAAGCACAATTATGACTTGTCTGCCAACAAGTGCCTTCACCGTTTTGCGCACTCAAACTTGCAAATATTTATTTACATCACTCCAAATAACCAGATCAAAATAATTTCTACCTTTTAAATGTTAATCATTATGAAAGAAGATATATACCTAGCAAGGTTGAGCTCGGTATTTTCACGATAGCATACAGTCATTCAATTTTAAGTAATAACATATGGGAAAAAAGGGTAGAAAAGTCCGAAGATTTACGAACAGAGAGAATACATGTACTTTACATTTCACCTTTTTGATTAATTGTTTCCACTCAAAAGATAAATCAGGGCATTCAAAAATGAAATCACATTGTACATTAAAAAATATATAGATTCTAAGTCAGTTAAAATTTTGTATACAAATTAATCATCATCTGAATCACAGAGTGGCATTATAATACTACACTGACAATTTAACGCTTCAATTCTTCATTTGGAAAGAGACTCTACAAAGGGCAATTCAATTTGAGTGACAAGGTTAATTAATTGGAACTTCAGTACCAGGCAAGAAACATACATGTACATGTATATATAAAGATTTCATTCTAAACATTATGGTTATATGTATGTAATAACCAAATGTGCATACACCAATAGAGTATCAAAGTGTGACGTCATATTAGCCAAGTTGCCAAGGTAGCCGGTTCCAAACAATTGTGTGCTAAACAATGGCGGAGGAATCACATCAGCGAAGCCTGAATGATGTTGCGATGAACCTCATGTAAGAGCTCTGCTGTTTGGAACCAGTAAACTGAACGACATTAGTACATGCATTGGCCAGTGGCTGTACTAGAGGGGGCTTGGGGCTCAAGCCCCCCCCCCCCCCCCCACCCCTTAAAAAAAACCTCACACCCCCAAAATTTTCGATTTTAAATTTAAGCAATATATGTGTAGAAAGAGAATAAAAGAACCATAAGTCGCGCCCCCACTAATTTATCAAGAACCTTGGCATTACTACCTTACTCACACATTGATACTTGTATAACCTACCTGTGAGCCTTGGTCTGAACTTGTGGCCAATGTTATCTGCTCTGTAGATTCATCAAGAAACGTGTCTTGTAAAACAGATCCACTTCCAAGAGGGACAGTCTCATAGACGTAGCCAAATGAGCTATTCACAATATTAACCTGGAAAAACAAGCAAATTAGAATGATAAAATATATCAATTAAAATAATATTCTACAAGTGTGCATGCCCATACATCAAGAACATAATCATATCAATTACTTTCTTCATCAAAATTCTGTACCGTATTATGCTGGATAAAAAAAGGTTAAAAAAGGGTAAATAAATTTGTAAATTTTTACAACTAAAACACAATGTACATGTAGTCTATCAATCAACTTAATATCTATTGATAAACAATCAATCCTCGATGTCTTTTCTGGGTAGTCTTTTCCAGCTATTACTACGATGGGGGCACAGGTGTGTCTTGAAAGAAGAGTGCCATATTACATATTCATCCATCTTCACGATGTTGGCTGGTATTTTGACCAATTTCAAGTCCCTCCTGTAGTCCCCAATTAGAGCTGGATATGCACTATTATCTTTGGAATTTAAGTCCATATTACGGTATAGTTTTTTGTGTTGCTCTAGATAATATTTCACTCCTTGTGCCACTTTGTGATTTTCATCTTATTTCGTTCTCTTTTCTAATTGAGAAGCCAGCTCCTCCTCTTTGAATGTGCTCAGTAAAAGGGGAGTGAAAATATTACTTGTATTCAGATACTTTTCATATTCCCAATCTTATGTAAAGTCAAAACAAGGCCTCCTGAATAAATTTATAATTTTGTTATCTGTCCAGTTAATACCTTAGGACTGTGGTTATCCTTCACCTGTATGCATATGTTCACTAACCTTATGTAGGTATCCTTGTGTATCTCCCATGAATGCCACATTATGTTGTCTCTCTATGGTTATCACAATGGAGGTGGGTATCACATCAGGAATGGTGAAGATGGGTGAGGCAGAGAGGGGAACTGTACCACTGGCATACCGGTATTGAGTCGCAGGAGGTTCATCCCCATCTCTAAAATAAGCTGTACACTGTGCTGTATCTGGTGGAGTGTATGTGTCAGGAAACTGCCAAAAGAGCATATACGGAGAGATAATGGCAATGACAGTGTCACAATGGAGGGAGAAAGATACAGGTAATTTTGATGTGTCAGAAAGGGGAACCATTCCACTGGTATCCCAATATAGAGAAGCATTACTCTTCTTCCTAATAGGCTGTATATGGACTATATAAATATAGAATGAAAGCTTAAAATAATGGCCAGCTGTCTTCCTATGACAGGTGAGGTGGACGTATATGTACCCCATGAAGAAAAGTGGTGCTGGGTTAGGCAGAGAGGGGAATCATTCCACTAGCATACTGGTAGAGATTCATATCAAGCCATCATCTTCGTCATAAACTGTACACCGGACTGAATCCGGTGAGGTGAAAGCCAATTGTCAGCAAAAAAAGATGGAGAATATTTATAACACTTTATACGCGCGTAAACTTTAATAAATCATCTCCAACGACAGTCCTAACATGGTGCCTGTGACCGCGCCGTTTGTCCTACCAGTTTCGTTTGTCCGTCGGACATAATATGCGGGTTTTCTGCTCGCACGGATCGTCCGTGACTCGCACGGATCGTCCGAGGGACAATCCGTGCGGTTTGCTATCCGCACATTTTGTCCCCCATTGTTTTACGTGTATATTTGATAAAAGGAAGCAACTCGGCAAATCAATGTATTTAGACTCATTGTAAATCATGTGGTTGACATTTTTTCTAGAAATTACATAATAATAACTCTACAATTTTGTTAAAGCAAATGGGCCAGTCCTTTTGAAAGTAGAAGGGAATATTTTCTTTAGAACCTTTATTTTATGAAGGCATACTCGTGATATCGGCCCCACAACTGTTGTAATCGATTATACTTTTGTACGTGGCTTCGTACATCAACCAACTCACTACTAGTATATACTCTTCGTAGAGGCCCCGCTCCAAGTATTTGGGGGCGTTTCGAGGTTTAATGAAGGAGTTAAATGGGAAATAAAAGTGATTAAAAATAGGGTTGAAAGTGAGTGGGGGAGGCTAGAGTATTTAAGATAAGGTAGAGCGTAGCACAAATTGGCGGATGCCCCGGGGGTAGGGGCATTTAATTACGGTCAGATGAGCATATTTTAATACCTTATTCATGACACTGGCAGGTCACTACTTGGCGTATGGTCCAAGGGGCGGAGTCCCCGGAAGCGCAGGGGTTTTAGGCATTAAAATTAAGGTCAGATTAGCATCCAGGGGCCAGCCTTAGGTCCCAAGGTGGGGTCCAGGGGGCAGAGCCCCCGGAAGCTCAGGGGTATGGGCATTTAATTACGGTCACATGACACATTAATTTCTTCAACTGCTTAAAATTAAGGCTACAAATGCTTTGTTACTGTAGAGCTGTAGTGTGAACAGGCTACTTAGTAATTCATATTTATAGATTGGTGCACATCATTATGCTTGATCATCCTCTCCTATCTGTTTGTTGTCATTCTTCTGTTAGTCATCCTTTATTTGCTACCTATGATATTTGAATATTCATGATTTCCTTTTATTATATAAATAAACATGTAAATACCTATATATGCAAAATAAACCCTGGAGGTTTAAAGTTGTAAAGCCCAGGGCAGTTCAACACACGCAATCATGAAATAAGGGTGTCTTTATCGAAGTGTCACTGTAAATTTAGAAGCACGCCCTGTGCCTACTCGCTCAGGCCACCCTACATTCAGGGGCGTCGCTAAAGGGGGGGGGGTGTCAGGTTGAAGCCGGTGGGATTTTTTTTTATGTCGGTCGGCCAGCAATTTTTTTCCCTTCGAACTGTCACTTTTTATCGGACAAAGAAACATTTTTGAAAATGAAGACAATGATTTAGAGTCGGTACAATGAATCGTCTTCTTTTCATAATAATTTAATGAAACGTCGAAGCTCCCGCGCTTCGCGCGAGAGGGGGAAAACTGAATTCAGACAATTAGGGTTAAGAGTAGAGAACGGTATACAACAAATCGTCTTCTTTCTTTAATAATTTAATGAAACGTCTAAGCTTCCGCGCTTCGCGTGGGACGGGGAAACTGAATTCAGACAAGGATTAAGAGTCGAGAACGGTACAACAAATCGTCTTCTTTTCATAATAATTTAATGTAACGTCGAAGCTCCCGCGCTTCGCGCGAGAGGGGGAAAACTGAATTCAGACAATTAGGGTTAAGAGTAGAGAACGGTATACAACAAATCGTCTTCTTTCTTTAATAATTTAATGAAACGTCTAAGCTTCCGCGCTTCGCGTGGGACGGGGAAACTGAATTCAGACAAGGATTAAGAGTCGAGAACGGTACAACAAATCGTCTTCTTTTCATAATAATTTAATGAAACGTCTAAGCTACCGCGCTTTGCGCGGGAGGCCTTTCACCCACCCCCTACCCCACCTAGGGAGCGCTTTGCGTGCTCTTTAAGCGATTCGCTTGCTCAATACCGCCCCTCCCTTAAATAAGATCCTACCTACGCGCCTGCATTAAAATATATAGCTATGATGCTTACTAAGTTCTCGAAATAATTTGTATATTTATGTCGTCGACGAAAATAGGGTTACATTTGTAGATATTTGGACATTTAAATTCGTCGATAATTGGTGGCTCGTTTTGTCGGTAATCGTTGGCCTCTATACCCCCCCCCCCCCCCCCACTGAAAAGGTGTAGCGACGCCCCTGACGACACATCAGGCCTATACTTGCGTTTTGTGAGAGGCTCAAGTATCCGGGCCAGCTATTTATAGTTGAGTAATTTTTGAAGAAAAACAAACGAGCACTCGCTCTCCAATCGTATAGATTATTTTGGAATTTCGAATTTAATCAAATATGTTTTTTTCCTTTTAACACAATGATTGTTTTTGTGACTCAATTCAGGCCTGACTAAATATAATTTTTTTCGTAAGGCAACAGACAAGTAATTTAGTCATGTACCTGATTAACATTTGAAGATTTCCTACACTAATGACCAGTGGCGGATCCAGGGGGGGCCCGGGGGGCCCGGCCCCCCCCCCCTTGAGAAAAAAATCATGCAAAATCACGCGATTTTTACCTTTTTTGGGGTTGGGCTTTTTCGAGGACCAAAAAAAAAATTGTGCTAACTACCCCCCCCCCCCCCCTCCTCCACTGAGCGACTTTTCGGTTGGCTGAGTCGTTGCGATTTTTTTGGGGGGACTCCAAGAAAAAAAAAAAAAAAAAAATTCCGCTTACCCCCCCCCCCCCCCCCCCCCCAATGACCATCAATATACACATTTTGCTATCTCATTTTCATAATACATACATGTATATACGAAGTAAATAAGACAACCGTATATGAGACAAGAATAAATTGAATTCTCGCTCATACGGCTTCATCTTATCTTATATTCAGTTAATGTATTCCCATGTTTTTGTTTAATTTATTTTGTAGTTGATTTTTATTATTATCTAAACCATGCATATATTGTGTTAAATGTTTAATAATCCGATATTGTACAGTTCTAATTGTAATTTATGTAATTTTTTAATTTGTGCTGTTTTTATAATCAGGGCTCTGTGGAAGACCAGGTTTTTATTTTTGTATACTGAACAGACTACCCTGAATAAAGAAGTGAAATAAATAAATAAATAAATAAATAAAATCAGGAATTGATGAATTTATTCAATTTGTTCAATCAACAGCATCATAGAAATGCAGTGCGCCAAATGCAAAGACGCAGCGTCAAAAAGCAACGAGCTAAATGTTAAGCGCGAAGCGAAAAAATAACAATCTGCAATGCACATCAGACAATCCTGGACAGTGTAAACATAGATGAACTCTGGGACGATTTCGTGATGAGATCGGAGACAAGGAGAAAGATTTTCGGACATTAGTATGACTTATAAAATAGTTCTCTAGTTGTTATGTTGTTTCCGTTCACCCTTTTCAAAATTCACGTCATTGTATCTTTATTTTTGTTTTTTTCACTCATTTTATTTCCTGATATTTCCTAAAAGTTTTTCATTTTTGGAGAAAGATTATTATGTCACAATTTATTTGTAACACAAATTATTTTCAGTGGGGAAACTGAATTCAGACAAGGATTAATATAGAGAACAGTACAACGAATCGTCTTCTTTCTCTAATAATTCAGTGAAAAGGGCAAAGCTGTTGGCAGTTGGGGGGCAACTGAATTCAGACGTGGATTAAGCGTAATGATCAAATGAAACGTCAAAGTACACGATACAACGAAGCGTCTTCTTTTACGAATAATTTAATGAAACGTAAAAGCTTCCGCGCTAAGCGCGGAATGGGCGAAAATGAATACAGACAAGGATTAAGATTAATAATTTATTGAAACGTTAAAGCTTTCGCGCTTCGCGCGGTAGGGGAGAAACTGAGTTCATGAAGGACACGATACAACAAATCGTCTTCTTTCACTAATGTGAAAGCTTCCGCGCTTCGTGCAGGAATGGGCGAAAATGAATTCAGACAAGGATTAAGAGACGAGAATGGTACATAGGATCGTCTTCTTTCTTTAATCATCTAATGAAACACCAGAGCTTCCGCGCTACGCGCGGGGAAGGGGGAATTTGATTAAAACATTAAGGATTAAGAGTCGAGAATGGTACATCGAATCGTCTTCTTTCTTTAATAATCTGATGAAACGTCAGAGCTTCCGCGCTACGCGCGGAGGAAGGGGAACTTGATTCAAACAAGGATTTAGAGTCGAGAACGGTCCAACGAATCGTCTTCGTTCTCTTATAATTTAGTAAGGGTACAAATCGGGACAAATTGCAACTGATCTCCCCTACCTTTCTTCTTCCTCCCCCCTTTCCCTTCCCTTACTTTGCTCTCTCTCTCTCATTTAAGTTTGCTGAGGGAGGCAGGGGCCTTTCGCCCCCTCCCCCTCTCCCCGATCCACACGATGTTGGTGGGATTAATCGCAACCGATCTCTGCCTCTTTTCACCCTTTTCTTTTCTTCTTTCTCTTTTGTATTCCATTTTGGCTCTCCTCTTTCCCTTTCCATTCTTTCTCTCTTTTTTGGCGGGGAGGGTGTGGGGGTGGTCGGGGAGGGGGGGGGGGCAGAGGCAAAGGTCTTTCTCCGCGATCCACATCTTGTTTGCAGGAAAATTGCAACTGATATCCCTTCTTTTCTTTTCTTCTTTTGTTTCTTTCCCTTTCCTTCCTTCTCTCTTGTTTTTGCGGGGGGGGGGGGAGGCAACAGCATGGGCGGCAAGGCCCTGTCGGACCCCTTTTTCTTTTCTTCTTCCTTTCCTCTTCTCTCTTCTTTCCCTTTCCCTTCTTTTCCTTCCTTCTCTCTCTCTCTCTCTCTCTCTCTCTCTCTCTCTCTATTTGTTTGCTGAGGGGCCAGGGGAGGGCAGGCGAAGGCCTTTCGCCCCCGATCCACACCGCGTTGGTGGGAAAAATCACAATTGATCTCCGTACCTTTCTTTTCTTTCCATTCCCCTTCTCTTCTTTTCTCTCTCTTTTAAATTTGCTGTTGAAGGGGGGAGACAAGGGCCATTTGCCCCCCCCCCCCCCCCGATCCCCAACTTGTTGGCGGGAAAACTGCAACTGATATCCCCCTTCTTTTCTTTTCTTCCCTTTATCTCGTCTTTTCCCTTTTTTCTTTCCCTTCTCTTCCTTCTCTCTTTCTTTTTTGCTGGGGGGGGGGGGCAACAGCCTGGGAGGTAAAGCCCTTTCGCCCCCCCCTCCCGATCTTCTTCTTTTCCCTTTTTCTTCTTCTTCTTCCTTTCCCTTTGTCTCTTCTTTCCCTTTCCCTTATTTTCCTTCCTTCTCTCTCTCTCTCTCTCTCTCTCTCTCTCTCTCTCTCTCTCTCTCTTTTGCTGGGGGGGGGGGGGGGGTGGCGAAGGCCTTTCGCCCCCGATCTCCTTTGTTCCCCCTTTTCTTTTCTTCTTCCTCTTCTTCCTTTCCCTTACTCTCCGCTTTACCTTCTCTCTCTCTCTCTCTCTCTCTCTCTCTCTCTCTCTCTCTCATTTTTTGTTGGCGGTTGGGGGTCAAGGCCCTCCCCCCCCCCCTTGATCCGCGCTGGGAAGACCTGTAGTGTCATCTGGCAAAGCTAAATATCGGTTATCCAGTCGTTTCATTCATTAAGTATATTTATACTTGTAATAAATATGTATACGTGTGGACTAGAGTACGGACATTCGGTGCGGCAGGCGGACTATTGGTGCGAGACCTCTTCCGCACAGATTGTCCGTCGGACATTTGAGGCGCGCACGGAATGTCCGACACGGACATTCTGCGCGGATAAAATCCGCACCGATCGTCCGCTCTCGATCGATCTCTAATAGGCGGACGATCGGTGCAGGTAACATTCTACGCGGTCACACCCTCTCTATGGAGATGGGGATCATGACAGAAGAGGTGATTATGGTTTAGGCAAGGAGAGAAAATGTAATCAATTTACTCTCCTGTGTAATGTTGTATTTTGCAATTAGAGAGCATTTTCACAGATTTCGTGATTGGTTGTATGTAACATGTCAATATGAGCGAGCGATGACTGTCTAAACTTGTATTATGAGGGGTCTGGGTTTACAATGTATTATTGTAAAAATGTCTGTGTCAATATCATCAGTGAAAAATATTTGTATACAAAATAAATTACCTAATCTAGTTAGTTGTGCACTAATCAGAGCCTGGCAGAAGTAGAGCTTCGGGATACTTAATTTATTTATTTATTTATTCCGTTTTATTTTAACAGGGTAGCCCCGTCAGTAATCAAAGTACTGTTTTCCAGGGGGCCCTGTAATATTGGAGATACTGCTCCAATACTAGACAAAAACAGTTTTACATTTTCTCAATTCGATTTTCAATTTACTTGCAACAGAGAGAAATCTTTCTTCTTATTTGAATCAGAAACTGAAAGGGATATTATTTGCGGTTCTAGGACCCCTGGACATTCATCCCCGGATAACAACCCCAGTCAACTACCGCCTTAGTCGGTTTGTGGGGATCGCGCAATCACTAAGGATCGCGCCATCACTCGGCTTAACGTTTATAGTATAAAAAAATATCAATATAGGGTCCAGAACTAGACTACTACCGCCTTGGACAACTACCCCCTAGGGCAACCACCCGCTACGACGAATACCTCCCCCCCCCCCCCTGGGACAACTATCCTAGACATCTACCCCCTAGGACTACTACCCCCTAAGACAACCACCCGGACAACTACCCCCAGAAAACTACCCCTAGGACAACTACCCCCGGACAACTACCCCTCAGACAACTACCCCCTATGACACCCGGACAACTATCCTAGGGGGTAGTTGTCCTAGGGGGTAGTCGTCCCATGGGGTAGTCGTCCTAGAGGGCGGTTGCTCTAGGGGGTAGTTGTCCTAAGGGGTAGTTGGCTGGGGGTGGTTATCCGGGAGGGTGGATGTTAAGGGGTTAGGTGTCCGGATACGATTATTCGCATATACATTACATCAGTCTTACTTGTACGCCTGAATACTTGGTCTAATAATTTTGCCCATACAAATCAGTAGTAATCAAAATCTCTTAAAAATATAAGCTTGATGATTACCCTTTCACATTTCAGAATGGGGTTTTTCAACTTGATGTATAACTTTAGTACATCCCAACATAATACTACACAGATTAATAAATATATAATATTCACTCAATATCCTATTGAAAACAAGAATTCAATATCCTATTTCATCTTGTATCTACACAAGTACATATACATCCGTATTTTAACGTATGAATATAAGATTTGCTTCGTTTATGTAGCCTTAAATTGACGTTGATTTTATGCGGGGGCTCCAAGAAAGAATAGACCGGCGTTATTATGTTTAGATAGTGTAAGGCGAGTCAGGTCAAATCAATCCAATCTATTAAATCATATTATGTTATATAAAATCAAATCAGATCAAATCAGAACAAATCAAATCAAATCAAATCAAATTACATTAACTCAATGGAAGTTAAATTAAGGATGCACAGGAAAACTACAGCAAACTCTGATAATCCTTATACTTCGAACATTAATTGACTTACTGAGTAACAAAAGCTGTCTTGAAGGTAGTCGTTTGTTGTTCCTAACTCGTTATTGTCTCCCTGGATACATCCCAAGACAGCATCTTCAAAGCTCTGCTGGACATTACTCATCTTATAGATACAAAGGGCAGATGAACTCTCCCTTGTGAATACAGCATACAGAAGGTCATCGGTACTCTCAATACTGAATGAGTCAGCTAGCTGGGATCCTGCTGGTCCGATATGAGCAGACTGGATCACATTGTGAGATCCACACTGTAGTTCTATCTCTGTGTAGGATGCGAAACTACTATCTAATGAATTACGACACAGTCGCCCCAAGTATACAGAATCTCCCCTTGAAATGAAATAGTAGAGATATTCCATGTAAGTGATCAAATGTTTACAAATGTTCTGTGTGGTAGAAGATTCCGGTGTTAATGTCTGTTGTACAATTCCCAGGTCCACAAGACTGCGCTTTGAGACAGATCGTAAGCTCAGAGATGCATCACTGATCCCTGTAAATAAGTACAATCCACCATCTACAGTACCCTCGCCATTCCTTACAAAGTCAGCACCTAAAACAACAGCTCCAACAGTGGGTACATCTGATGTTGTCACAACAAGCTGATTAGTGGAAGGCTCATGTCTCACTACATCATGTGATATATTAGTCAGGCTTCTTGTCTCACAGAAACCATCACAGCCACCGCATGTGATGAGCTTATCCTTAGGTGATGGAGCTACAAGAAGAAGTTTGATATTATTTATATTATCTTCATTTGGTAAAGGGCATTGTCCAGTATCCACAGAGTATTTGAGAGTCAGGTCTGAGTTGAGTTGATAGAGTCTCTGCCGTGCTCCTATATAGACATCTCCAGTGATGTTGTTGATGGTGATGTGGTTGAATGGTAGGGTGGGGTCAGGACTGGTAAAGGATGATACCAGGTAGGAGGAGAGAGGAGCTGAGTAGATCGATGGAATGATAAGAAGCAAGCAGAAGAGCACGGCGCCCAGCTTCAAAACATCTACTGGTGGCATGATCGTCTCTTTTATTCGATCCTTGGTAGTTCGAGATGATGAACCTAAGAGATGTTAAATGGAAGATTACCAGATGATGAGTTTTATTTCAAAGTTACATTGACTTAGAGCGCGTATTTAAGAGTTTTATTGAGTTTATATTTGAGTGTATATCAAAGAGTTAATTATGATATTTGTGAGTGGTATGATGTTTAATGATAAGTTGTGTAAGGATGGAGATTGAAAAACGAACATTATCGTAAAACTTTTGAAAATAATTTAAGTCAATTTCAATATATAGCCTCATCCGCCATCATCTTTTGAAACGTGCGAACTTTACAATGGCACATTGCAAATTCCGAACTTGATTTCCATAGGATATAGATGTACAATGGGGTATTGAAAATCCCTTGAGTTGATTTTTCGAAAGAAGTCGCTAGCGCGTGTGCAATGTTATTTTGCCAAAATATTCTTATGTAAACCTACCAATAATAACTTTAATCAACAATAAAACATCAAATCAAGAATAAATAAATATAAAACCCCATAAACATGTTCCTTACCTAATAAGTATCCGATGCCGTTTGTTGTGAATGTAATATACTCTATAGTGTATAGGATTATATCGAACAAGGAAGTAATGTGTCCAAACAATTTTTGTCGGAAATTATTGCAATAGAATTGCAAGCTTCGTTGCACCCTTAGTAAACACAATGGCACAGTTCAAAGGTTCGATGTTTAAATAAATATTGAGGTGGGTTTAAACTTGAACAACTGGAGCAGTAATAACGAATTAAAAAATGGAGAATACATCTTGTAATTACTCACGTAATCACATTCACGTTTTGAGTGCTTTACCTCTTCATTGCCGTTTGTTGTGAATGTAATGTACTTTATAAACTTTCTTTATAATAAAATGTAATGCTAATATAATTTTTTTAAATAATTTCACAGTTCATGATTGCATTATGTGAATGACCTTTGATAGTTTTATCGATTTTCTGCATTTCTGAATGTTTCTTGTCATCTCCCCTCAACTGTATAATAATAAGGACCCCCTTTTCTGTCTCTTACTCTCTTTCCCCCTACATCTCTCTGTCTCTCTCTCTCGTTCTTTCTTTCTCTCTTTCTCTCTCTTTCTCATCACTCTAACTCTCCCTCTCTACACCTCTCCCTTTCTCTTTTTTTTTAAACAAAAATTTGAATTTGATCAATGAATTTTTATGAAATGTCTTTATGTTTGATTTTTGATTTATGTCATATTTTGTGTCATTTGAATTTGAATTCCAATATATCTTTGTGAAATGGATCACAATTGAGCCTTTTGCTGCGATGATCTTTTTTTGATAACCCATTTCTTTCCATACAGTGTACAGAAATATACCGAACGAGGAAGTATTATTTTTTTTAAATTGTCAGAAAACTTCCCGTTAACATTATTGTTGCGAGTACTTTACCTCTTCGATGTCGTTTGTTGTGAATGTAATGTACTATACAGTGTGTAGAAATATATCGAACGAGGAAGTATTAAAAAAAAATTTTGTCGGAAAACTTTCTGAAGCATTATTGCATTAATATTGCAAGCTTCATTGCACGCTTAGTAAACACTATGGCACAGGTCAAAGGTTCGATAATTCAATTAATGTTGAGGAGGGATCAAACTTGAACAAATCGAGCAGTGATAACGAATTTAAAAAAAGAAAGAATACAGTTTGTAAGACAGCTTGTAGTCACTCACGTAATTATGTTGTGCGTACTTTAAATGCGTGCTTAGCCTATCTTATCTACAAAGTGGAGGGTTGGCAAGTGGCGGATCCAGGGGGAGGGGGTGTAAAAACACGTAATTTTTACCTTTTTCGGAGATCGGGGGGGGGGGAGGTGCGATTTTCCAAATTTTCGAGGGCCAAACAAAAAATTAGTGCTCACTACGGTACCCCACAGCACAACGCACTTTTGCTATTTTCCCGGTGTTCTTCTTCTTCACCATTTCCAGGCAATATACGTGTTTTCTTAAATAAAGATCTACTTATGCTTCCCTACATACGGAAAGTGCCCTTCGATCAACTCTTTGGAAACATTTTATTTTTTCCATACAATGGACAAAGAAATGTACGAAATAATAGGAATGAGTGTTTTTTAAACAAAGTGAATATAGTTCAGAGACCTATGATTCAAGGCTAATCATGTGATGTCACGAAAATTTATTAGCTATCACTTTCGTGTCTTATCGGAGTAATATATATCCCACCGAAATCTTTGGTAATACGAACAGAAATCGGAAGCAGACGTCTGAATGGCGAGTCAAATTTGTAGGAATGTCGTATAAGTAAGGATCGCATATGATTCCGATATGTTCATTTGAGCCAAACTCATGACCCCATACCAAAACTTTGTATTACCTCTAATGTTATCACCCATGAGTGATCTTCACCTGCGCCACTGAAATTTACACTGATGTAATCCCAATACAATATCGGCCTAGTATATGGTTATGATTAATGGTACTTAAAACGGGTTTACAGAAGTGCAGGTTCATGCATGGATGCAAATTAAATGCCATTCCATCTGTATCATTCAGACAAGATGGTCTCCTCGTACTTTAGTAGTATGCTTCCCCGCACAATCTCAAAACCAAATCGTTCTGTAAATGACACTTTATAGTTATCTTTCATATTCTTCAAATGACTCAAAATCAGAGTTCATGCCAAAGGAGTCATACATGGATGTATACGTGTCCCAGAAAAGAACGAACCACGAAAACAAACGAAAATTATCAGGAAATAATGAGCTGTGTGAAATAGTTTGTTGCTCTAATTCATAAAGTAGTAGTGATATGCTTTTAAATGAAACTTTGATTGATTTAGTCCATGCCCGCTTCACAAAGCAACATTCTTTTGAAAATGCATATCAAAATCCACTAGTGCCAGATTTTGGCCAGTGAAAATGTCAGTATCACTTGCAAATATGACTTGCAAAAGGGGCTTAGTAACATTGTTCAGATGAGAGAACATGGTGCTAAGGTAGTGAGTTCAATGCTAGATGTACAATCTGATAACTTTTTGTTAGTGAAAACAGGCCATTAATAATTGTTAATGATACAAATTGGGAAAAAATGATCTGATCGATTCCTAAATTCTCCCATCCACATGTTTATAATTAAATTAAATTTTAGGCGAATATATATCGTCACAAAGCAATGAATTTGCTCTATATACTATTCCAAACGTGTTGAAGGATTTTAAAAAGCCTGCTTTATTTCTTATTTTAATGGAGAAAAAAATGGTTGCTAAAATTCAAAAATGGTCGAGAGAATTTACTATCAGAGAGTGTCGCACATTGACGCCTTCAAAGAAAGCCATAAATATCTTTGTGGTTTGAGATTTTTTTTTCTCAGGATTTTTAAGGGCTTGTAGAGTAAAAGGAATATAATAAGTAACGGTTCATTAAAAAATTAGGCAGTTTTTTTTATCAACCTTCAACGATGTTACCGGGTCACTTCAAGTGATGATTATGCAAGAATTCCATTGAATGACGATTTGTAGTAAAATAAGCAGTAACAGAAAATAGGGGCAAATACTTATTTCGGACAGGGGCGTACACCCTCAGATTTCTCGCAAATTATTGAATAACCCTCGAGCACAGATCTATCCCCTTCTTTTTCCTCACATGTCAATACCTTTACTATCTTTAATTTTCTGCTGGCATTATTTTTGCCCTCGTTATTAAAAGAAACACATGAAAACAATATTCTCATTGTACTTAAAATTGTGCGTTATGTTCGGTCATGATCGCCGTCATGTTTTTTTTTTAAATAAAAATCGTTTTCTTTTCTAATAAGAAATTTGTATTGTTAAACATAATTGGATTATTCTTTTCTTCAAAATTCCTACAACCTTCCAACTCTTCCCAAGCTTTTGTCATTTTAAATGCAATCTCGGGTACGTGTACCACCCCATAGTCCTCCCTCCCCACACACACACAAACACCAAACACACATCCAGTTTACCTCCTCACAATCATATTCATTTCTAATTCCGCGCATTTATGTATTCGACAACCTGTTTAGCATCTTTTCCTGCTCTATAACATCCGTATTGGTTGTCTGTAATATCCTCCTTGGTATCTTTAATAGCTTGACTTTTTTTCTATGAACACAGTGAAAATTTACGTTTAAGTGTGTAAAGTATATAAGCTAGGCAAGAGTTTGAGTCGACAACACATGGAACAATGAGTACCCATAAACAATCACCTGGAATCTCTTGAATAAAGAGAGGTTGAGTTGGTTCAACAAACCCAGAAACCAAATTAAGAACATATTATCATCAAGTACACATAATACTTCGTACACAAAAGCAAGAAAAGTGATTAGACATGGAATTTATTCAATAGCAATGCGTAGCAGAATCTCACTTTAAAAAAAAATATATGTCTTCAATAAAAAAAAAAAATAATTACATACAAAAATTGATATTTACAACTCGAATACTAACCATTGAAGATTATTCAGCAGGGAAAAAATGTTGTTTTTCTTTAAAATGATCAATCAAAATAGTACATGTAATGTAATTTTTCAATAGTACTTAGAAAGTTGTATACAAACATATTTGTCTTGAATGCATAGGAAGTCCTTTTCAAATAGAAAGTAAGATAATGTCCTTATCAGAAAGTGCATAAATGATTACAATTGACAATAAATCCTTTTTCTTTTCTGAACCTACCGGGAAATGAATATTCACATTTACAGAATTAGCCATTTTCTGTTAAAAAATATCCCATGTTATTGATACAATGTAGAGTTTAAGGGAAATCCAACCTTGATATCAAACAACTAAAGATAAGAGGAGAGGAGAAAAATAGACTGGTGAAAGTTTGAATGAAATCAGACATAAAATGGTGATTTTTTTAAAGATGTCATCAGTATAAGTATAGACTTTTCAAATAAGATGAATCAGTAACGTCTCTGTAATGTATAGTGGCAGACAACTTTACCCCTTTGTTCCAACAAACAAAATGTGTAAGATTTCATTCTTTTTCAAAAATGTATGACTCAGGAGGTTATTTCTCTTCAGGGGACCTATAATAATATGCTATCGATAATATATTTTGGGTAATGCTCCAAGGTTAAAGGCACTCAGGACAAAAACTAAAATTAATGACATTTTTTAACACTACACGGGAGAATTAACCACAAAGCAAATTGCTAATTTGCGATTCGTAGAGACTTTGTGTTCTCATACATTTATAACTTTCTTATTATTGGTCAGATTCATTTCAAACTTTCGCCATTCTGTTTATCTTATTATTCTGCTTTCACACAATTGAATTTATTACAAGGGTTAGATTGTCGTTTGAAGGAATGGGTAATGCAATGCACATTTTCTAGACTCAACAATTGCTACATGAAGTGAAAATGAACATTATTTGATTTATACTACAATCTATATTCACATTTCAATCCTACCACGACTCTGCTTTCTTTCTTATCCTTTACAAAACATGATAGGTCGAATTATCTTTAGCTCACAGTAAAAAAAAAGTGTTTATGATTACAAATAATAGGGATCGTAAAGAAACGACATTTAAGACAGACTACATCTTTAATATTCACTAGGTTCATAGACATAATAGTGTATGTGGACATGAAAATATATATATCATCCTTTAAGGTGTTTTCCAAGTTTCTAACTATTCCAAATTAAAAGGTACTACTTTAAATGAATTCATTGCTGCATATGATATCATGGACAAATTTGGCATCATTTATAGTTGACAATAGCTTCATACATTAATAAGCAATACAGAATAATGTCATGTTTATTCAAGGAAAGATACCAGATTCATATATAATATTCTGAGTACACAATGTTACTGATTATAATGAGCATCACCTTATGGTGCATATACCACCCAGCCTAAAAGATCAAGGTGCCTACAACTTATCCCTCATGTGCAGAAAGAGCAGCTACTCTATATAAAGAAACATTAGAATCAGGGGCTGTATCTCACACAATCCTGTACTGAACGCACAATTCAAAGCAAATATATTATGTGAGTTTTTGTTATAATGTGAGTATATGGAGCAATTGCAGGATAACATTAAAAATCACTTTTTCATCACCATACAATGTAGACAGTATATTGAAATTTCTGTGATAGATTATTCGTGTTCTTAGGTGATCTGAAGAATAAAAAAGATAGCGATGCATATGACAGATATACTTGTACATCATGATTCTAGAAAATTAGTCAGAATTTCACAACTGAGATAAACTGAGACATACACAAAACATTGCGCAAAAAAAACCTAAATTTCCAAGTTTGACAAGTAAGTTACATGTAAACATATACACTATTTCTTTTCGTTTGTTTGTTTTTACCAGACAATATTTGACACTGAGAATAAGAAAGATTGACTTTACATCTAAATGCATGCAATATTTTTTGCCAAGATGCTTCTTAATGACACAAAGAGAATAAAACAAGCAACACAAAAGCTGTAACCACGTACATGCAGTAACTTAGATCAATTCAAGCAACACATGTAATGAATTAATTTGTAATAATGTTTTTTTTTTGGAAAAACGAACATGGATGTCCATATACACATACTACATTTTTACCTTTATATCTTTGTATCAAAAATTGTACAGTACCGTTTCATCACAATTAATTAAAATCTTAGTGGAAGCTTAACATGTTTTATTCATTAAACTGAATTAATACATAAAATATTGACAAAGAAGACATAGGAATCCTAACATATAAAGTAAACTCATACAGTATTCAACGAGTTAGCGCAACATATTCTTTTGTGTTACAGTTTAAAGATGGATGCATTATTTATAACAAACGCATAATTCATTTATTTGTATGTTAGAGGATATTTCAGATTGATTTCGATTCATAACATATTAACAGCATTCAAGTTTTCCCTATCAGGCTTTAATAATCCTGAGAACAAATTTTGAGCAAACGTCTATAATTAATGAGATTTTTACATAATTCAATTCAATTCAAATGAGGTTTTATTCAAGACCTGTCAAAAAGTCCAAAGACTAAAAATGCAAGTTTACATCAAACATATAATCATATAAAAAAGCGTTCAAAAACATATATATATATATATATATATATATAGAGAGAGAGAGAGAGAGAGAGAGAGAGAGAGAGAGAAAAAACATAGCAAATGAGAACAAATATATAAAAATGAATAAATGTTTACATCAAAACATCAAAGCAATAATGCGAAAAATCTGGAATTTAAATATTTTTTTCTTGGTAAGATTTGTCAAAGGGAAAAAGCATGCCCCTTTTCAAATGAGATAATCCATATATACATGTATTATCAAAATCGTGCCTTATAGGCATTTTTCCATTTAGCTCACTTTTTGTGTGTTAATACAAGTGATGAACAACAGCAGCTGAACACTTGAAATAAGCTGCATATGGTTCTGCTCACATCATCTCTGTGATTGAATCAAGCTGTGGAACATGAAAGAAGGAAAAATGTTATCAACATTATAGACGGATCCATATTTATGGAAGTATTGAACAGGTATGTGTCTTTGAAAGATTTAAATAGGAAACTCCTTGATAGTTTACACTTAAATGTAATTAAAAGATTGAATTATTATTCATTTATACACAATACACAGATGGAAGTTTTCTGTGAAAATGGGAACAACGGCTATTTATGTAGCACCTTCATCGATGTAGGAGCAATTATTTAAAATTGTACAAAGTGGGACCTCTTCATGTTTTGAAGATCTGTGAATATTCAGGGTCATGTGGGACATGTGCTAACCATGAACTGGTCGGTTAAAATGAATTTATTCACTTACTAAGCCGGCAGTGTCGTGATGGGTGAAGTCATAGAGCAATTTCAGGGTTCCAACACGGCTGAAAAGACCAGAGAATTCCTGGAAAAAATGAATAGAAAGGAATTGAATTGTTACATGTATGTTCATGACCTGTAATAATTCATGGCTCTTAAGCAAAATGATACTTATAAACATAGATATAACAACAAGTTCTCTTTCAATTGTTGAAAATTTGAAAGTAAACAACAATAGAGGAATTGGAAAACTTTTTAGTGAAAATCTATGGATGGCTAATCATAATAATATGATAGCTTGAAGATGGTGCTCTTAATTTGGAATACCAAGACTGAAAGTGAGAAATGTCTTTCCTCCTCTCCTAAATGAGGATTACAAATGCATCTTGAACTTATAATGATCAAGTTATAATTCATGCCACAAACTAATGTTAGCATTCTTTTTTCAACATGAAAGCGCAAGGCAACTATGTTCCCAGGGGATCTCAAACTTTTTTCTTTACGGTCCAGATGTGATTTCCATGTAAGCTAAACAGTCCGAAGTAATGGGCAAATCTAGTTTGCTAAGTAAATTATTTCCATTCATATAAGTTTGTGATATTATACATACTAGTCTCTACACGTACCTTAATTTCAAGAGTTAAGACGGTCAAATATAGAAGATTTGGTATGCATGTATTGTAGGGTATATCAGTGGGAAAAGTGGCATTGTGTCCCGGTAATAAAGCTCCTTAAACCAGTTAACGTACGCACAGATGGAGCATTAATGCAACTCTTCAGACAATCTACTACTAGGATTTATACAGTTTAACCTTAAAAAGACCAGATTATTTTGAGGGGTGGGGAGGGGTTGTGTCCCCTTGGAATCTCAGCCATGAAATGACAACAAATTCTTAAACTTAGCATATTGATAGTGTTTCATAAAGATTTATGTCCATGAAGTTTCATATCTATGTCTCAAATGGTTTTTGAACGATTACTAACTCTTCACATATTCACGAAGTGACAATTCTGTATTGTGTACAGTACATAATTTATGGTAGAATGTTCATTTTTGCCACGCACAGTGCCGAAATTTTTCCCACTATGCAGTACTTCAACTGCGGTCCAGACTTTAAAAAGCACTGCTTTACTGAAATGAGTCCTTTAAAAATGTTTAAGTCATGTGCTCACAAATGAGATCTATGGAGAACCGGTAAATGTAGGTGTGAAATTATGAGGTAATCGTATTTCCTTAATACACATGAACCTTAACATCCTAGAGACCTAGAGAAGTCACACAGACCTACCTGTCCAAGCCTATTGAATTCTCCCTGCAGCTCGATATGTGTTGGTTCTGGACGGGAAGCCAGGTTCTTATAGTAATCACTGATAGTTCTGATGTACCTTGGTAGATCCTTGACAAACAACACTCGATTCAGGGACGAGTCCTGCATAGGAGATCATGTCATAAGAAAACATCATTAACGAGGGAGGGGTCTAGAGAAAAAACACTTGATGATCACTAAGCCCATCGATAAAGATTTTTTCTACTTGGTTTCGAAAGTGATTCTGTTGATACCTGTTTAAATACATGTTTCATAGAGAATCAAAGCAGATTAAAGGAGGTAACCTTATTTTTTAAATGATTGTAACATCTGTTAATGATGATTTTGAATTGATTTTGAATTTGCTCCAGAAAATGTTAAAGCAATTCAAAATCATCATTAACAGATTTATAATCATTTAAAAAAATAGTAAAGTCATTTAATACTTTTCGAATTCTTGATTTTGATTGAGGTTATACATTAGATAAATCTAAAATCATGGTTCATGATAGAAGGTTCATCCAAACGTAGCTAATGTATTATCAACAAATTACTTGTACATATTACTTGCAAATCCAATTCAATATCTGTTCATATTCATGTTTGATGCTATCTATTGGTATATATCACTGTGCAGATAACTTACTTGATTTTTTTCTGGGATGATCTTCTTACAGGCATTGTCAAGCATGTTAGCCAGGACAGACACGCTCTGATCAGCAGAACGTGATTGACGCATGTCAAAGATGTACGATGGGTGAGTCAGAGTGGTTACCCAGTAATGCTGAGGAAGGCTACAGTACCGTGATACAGAATGGGGAAATAAGATTTAGTAGTCTGAACAGAAATCAGAAACATATTCAAGAACATGCAATGAATGCCTTTCTACAAATCTAATCTGACTATATCAACAAAAATACAAATGAGATACCACAAGCTTTCAAATATTTTGACATACATATACATGTACACAGATTCACTTCTTCTAATGCTGATGCTTTCAATAAGCATAGAATTCTGGAGGGTTTTACCCCATTGACCTTGGACTTTCTACAAAAGTACATTATATAGTTCATATGGATATCATACGTGATAATACACGCTAGGTCTTGATGTTATGGTAGATTCACTACTTGACGATATACATGTACGTAAAGTTTCTAACATAAATCTTGAATTGATTTTCCCATATGCTTTTGACAGATTTTCGCTACATTTACTTGTACATACCTGCAAAAGAATCACTTGTTACGCACATTGTTAAGTCATTATAGAGCAGCTGATCTCAAATGTAATAATAAGAAAAACTCTGTGAATGTACACTGTCGCTCATAAATGTGGAATATTTGTTTTTATCCCAATATTTGGAATTATTTTTAAAATTATTTAAAAATCATAGATCTAGATAATAGTATACATTCTCAGATTTTATTGAATAATAATTTGCCAATATGTGTTTTGCGTGACTGCTAAAGCATGTGTATGCTACTATGCTTATCAACTAGGGGACCTATGCCCTTAAGTCATAAATGACAGTAATGAGGATTAATGCCCCACAAAAGGGCACTAATATAGCACATCGACACGGTTTTGATCCTGGGGCCTCACAGTTATGAGGCAATTGCTTTGTCACTGAACCCTGACTGTACGCAGCGGGGGCTAGGGTAGTGGGCAGTTTCCATAAATAAAAAAAACACAGAAAATGCAATCAATTTTCAATAATTAATTGCATTTTACACCGGTTCCCAACATAAACAAATCTTCTGTGTGCTCATGCCTTGAGCCATATGCATGGCCGCCCAGAGGATTTTTTTTATGTTCGGGACCGGGGTAAAATGCAATAAATTATTGAAAATTGATTGTATTTTTTGTGTTTTTTTTTAAATTATGGAAACTGCCCCCTACCCTAGCCCCCGCTGCGTACAGTCATGGTTCAGTGACAAATCAATGGCCTTGTAACTGTGAGGCCCCAGGATCAAAACCGTGTCGATGTGCTATATTAGTGCCCTTTTGTGGGGCATTATTCCTCATTACTGTCATTTATGACTTGAGGGCGTAGGTCCCCTATTTAATAAGCATAGTAGCCTACGCATGCTTTAGCAGTCCCGCAAAACACATATTGGCAAATTATTATTCAATAAAATCTGAGAATGTATACTATTATCTAGATCTATTATTTTTAAATAATTTTTAAATAATTCCATAAATTGGGATAAAACTAAAATATTCCACCTTTATGAGCGACAGTGTATGTATGACATTTAACATGATCATTATCACAATTTCTAGTATAACAATTCGACCCAATGGTGAGAAAATTTGAATGATTTTACTGTAATATTTGGGGAAATCAGGAATTTCAAACACCTCACCTGTTACTCTTCCAGGCTTCCGAATAGTCTTGTGGGTGATTAGGGCAGTATTTAGAAGCCATTCCATCGTAGAAATCAAAGAAATTCTTAATGGTAACAGGTGTAAGGTCTGGATTCTCAAACACTGCTGCCAGGAACTGGTTCAGGAATGGCTCAATGGTTTTCTGTTATACCATAGAAAGAAAAGGAAATTATCATATTGTCAGTTTATAAAATTACATGGCTTTTGTGATTAGAATCCTTTTTTTTTAAGCATATGAAAAATTACAATACTAACTTTAAGATATTTAAACGTATGCATAATTTGAAAAACAATAAATAAGTATTTAATCAATTTTATGAGTCAGTTAAAGGTAATACAAAGTTTTGGGAAATTTTGAAAATTGGGTGGATAGTGATTCTTTTCAATTGTGATATATTTGGATGCCCCTGTGGATGTATTATAAGCTCTAGAAAAATTAGCCCCTAAACTACTTCTGCTTTCGAGAAAAATTGAATATAAAAATTTACCGGTGCTCCCGGTAAATTTTGATAAATTTCAAATCACGCCTACAGCCGTACAATGGTAGCGGCGACCATGAACATCTCAGAATATGTAGTTGTGATATATAATTTCCGAACGGGAATAACTAATCGGTAGATTTTAGTCAAGAAACATTGTATTATAGCTCAATTTATATCTGGACCTTGAGAGGGAACTATACAACATAAAGAGTTTATTATTTACAATTTCATAACTTTAGACTCGATTTCAACCGCGACAACGATCACTGAATATTGTAGGACCGCATAAGCATCCAATATGTTCATTTGAACCAAATTCATTACCCCATACCAAAAATTTGTATTACCTTTAATGTTTTCATATTTTATATAGTTTTATATAACTGTGTGCAATTTTGCATTTTGCGTCACATTTTTTAGTGAAATTATTACACAAATAAATGATTACAAATACTATTATGCAAACCTTTGTAACTAGCAAATGTGGCGCTGAGAATTCCTTATCTAGCTTGGTCTTTGATGGATCACCATTGGCCTGCAGGTGATCTTCTGGAAGCTATCAACAACAAAAACATCAAAAATTATTCCATTAAACATCTCATACACACTGTACATCAAAATTCAGTGAGAATTTATCCTGGATTTTGTATTTATTGATTGTGATGCAAACTTAAAAAGTTATTTAAGAGAAAAACGGTTCTAAAATATTTTAAATTAATTTGATACCATGAAAGGCATTCAACTAATGTCCAAATGAGAATAGCAGAAAATAAAAGGGTGAACGAAAAAAAGAAGAAGAAAATCTTGTTTCCATCCTGAAATCTGTTATCTTACTCTTTTTCAAGTGGCACACAATGCCATTGGTTTGGTATTAAAGCAGAATATAACAAACAGAAAACAACAGTTTGATCAGAACCCCCCCCCCCCCCCAAGATTTGATAATACTTGCACTGTACTAGTTAATTAAAAAATAAACACAAAAAAAGCATTTACCAGATGACAGTGTTGGAAGCCTTCTCTCTGTGTCTGTATCCTAGTGTAGTCTCTATCTCTCACATCAGTATTTCCTTGCTGCTCATCTGGAATCATCAAAGTTAAATAGAAACAGCAATTAACTAGACAGTTCAGAAACAGTTACAAGAGTATATGATACATGCAAAATAGCCGAGATAGTATATAAATTGAAACTGAAAATGAAGTGATTTATTGATAAAAACATATCAAAAATAGCAATTATAATACCTTGAACTTCATTAAAGTCAGCTTAGCAAAATATAGTGGCACAAAAATACACATCTAGAACACAAAATGCATTGTATAGTTAGTGATGTTTTTCAATTGAAATATCCTCTTTCAATTATCTGAATACAAATTTAGCTAACACCAATCCTCATCGAGATGGTATATCCATATACTAGCTCCATACCCCAACCATGAAGTTCTACCTCTGTATGATCAAATTTTGATTTTCATAAATTTTGATTGGATGTGACTTTTCGTACCACTACATTTTGCTAAGCTAAGCCTCAGATAGGAGTTACGGCCCTTCCAGCTTAATAAGATAGGCTTAAACTCAGTCTCAGATATGAGTTACAGCCCTTCCAGCTTAGCAAGATAGGCTTAAACTCAGTCTCAGATATGAGTTACAGCCCTTCCAGCTCAGCAAGATAGGCTTAAACTCAGTCTCAGATAGGAGTTACGGCCCTTCCAGCTTAGCAAGATAGGCTTAAACTCTGTCTCAGATAGGAGTTACGGCCCTTCCAGCTTAGCAAGATAGGCTTAAACTCAGTCTCAGATAGGAGTTATGGCCCTTCCAGCTTAGCAAGATAGGCTTAAACTCTGTTACAGATGTGAGTTACGGCCCTTCCAGCTCAGCAAAATAGGCTTAAATTCTGTCTCAGATATAAGTTACAGCCCTTCCAGCTTAGCAAGATAGGCTTAAACTCTGTCTCAGATAGGAGTTACGGCCCTTCCAGCTTAGCAAGATAGGCTTAAACTCAGTCTCAGATAGGAGTTACGGCCCTTCCAGCTCAGCCAGATAGGCTTAAACTCTGTCTCAGATAGGAGTTACGGCCCTTCCAGCTCAGCAAGATAGGCTTAAACTCTGTCTCAGATAGGAGTTACGGCCCTTCCAGCTTAGCCAGATAGGCTTAAACTCAGTCTCAGATAGGAGTTACGGCCCTTCCAGCTTAGCAAGATAGGCTTAAACTCTGTTACAGATGTGAGTTACAGCCCTTCCAGCTCAGCAAAATAGGCTTAAACTCTGTCTCAGATATAAGTTACAGCCCTTCCAGCTCAGCAAAATAGGCTGTAACTCTGTTACAGATGTGAGTTACAGCCCTTCCAGCTCAGCAAAATAGGCTTAAACTCTGTCTCAGATAGGAGTTACGGCCCTTCCAGCTCAGCCAGATAGGCTTAAACTCTGTCTCAGATAGGAGTTACGGCCCTTCCAGCTCAGCAAGATAGGCTTAAACTCTGTCTCAGATAGGAGTTACGGCCCTTCCAGCTTAGCCAGATAGGCTTAAACTCAGTCTCAGATAGGAGTTACGGCCCTTCCAGCTTAGCAAGATAGGCTTAAACTCTGTTACAGATGTGAGTTACAGCCCTTCCAGCTCAGCAAAATAGGCTTAAACTCTGTCTCAGATATAAGTTACAGCCCTTCCAGCTCAGCAAAATAGGCTGTAACTCTGTTACAGATGTGAGTTACAGCCCTTCCAGCTCAGCAAAATAGGCTTAAACTCTGTCTCAGATAGGAGTTACGGCCCTTCCAGCTTAGCAAGATAGGCTTAAACTCTGTTACAGATGTGAGTTACAGCCCTTCCAGCTCAGCAAAATAGGCTTAAACTCTGTCTCAGATATAAGTTACAGCCCTTCCAGCTCAGCAAAATAGGCTGTAACTCTGTTACAGATGTGAGTTACAGCCCTTCCAGCTCAGCAAAATAGGCTTAAACTCTGTCTCAGATATAAGTTACAGCCCTTCCAGCTCACCAAGAGAGGCTTAAACTCTGTCTCAGATGTGAGTTTCAGCCCTTCCAGCTCAGAAAATAGACTTTAACACAGTCTCAGATATAAGTTACAGCCCTTCCAGCTCAGCAAAATAGACTTTAACTCTGTCTCAGATATGAGTTACAGCCCTTCCAGCTCAGAAAATAGACTTTAACTCAGTCTCAGATATGAGTTACAGCCCTTCCAGCTCAGTAAAATAGGCTGTAACTCTGTTACAGATGTGAGTTACAGCCCTTCCAGCTCAGCAAAATAGGCTTAAACTCTGTCTCAGATATAAGTTACAGCCCTTCCAGCTCACCAAGAGAGGCTTAAACTCTGTCTCAGATGTGAGTTTCAGCCCTTCCAGCTCAGAAAATAGACTTTAACACAGTCTCAGATATAAGTTACAGCCCTTCCAGCTCAGCAAAATAGACTTTAACTCTGTCTCAGATATGAGTTACAGCCCTTCCAGCTCAGAAAATAGACTTTAACTCAGTCTCAGATATGAGTTACAACCCTTCCAGCTCATCAAAATAGGCTTAAACTCTGTCTCAGATATGAGTTTCAGCCCTTCCAGCTCAGAAAAATAGTCTTTAACTCTGTCTAAGATATGGGTTACAGCCCTTCCAGCTCTAAGCAAATGAATTTCATGCAATTTTAATTAGGCTTTCATTCACTTGATCCCATACGTATATACTGAACATATGTAATTTTCAAAATCAAAGTTGGCAAAACAGAAATGAATTTGACAATCCAGTTTCTGAATCGCTACTTACAAATGTAGAACGACTTTGCTCCAGGTGAGACTGGTGTATAGCTTCCAGTATGGCCTTCAAGATTACCAACTTTATTGATCATCGCCATCCGACAATCAGTTGTCACCTGTGTACAACAAGGATACATGTTTACTGTTTAAAAGACATCCAGGTACATATAATGTGAACCAAATTCAATGTAAACATACACATATGAGTTAACTTTACTAAAATATAAGGTAAGGGCTACACTGTAGGATTATAGTAAACTGTGACTGAACTACATCTAGCTTCACGCACTGTATGATTTGCTCTATCACACATGTATATACATGAAATTATTGTGGCACAGAACACAATTGTAGGGGTGCATTTTAGTTTTGTTTATATAAGGTATTAAGCTGCATTGGGTTTTAATAGAGGGGGAAATACCCCTGCTAGAGACAGTGGCATGCTGAGATTATAAGCAGAATGCACTAACGAGGTTTTCACATATAACTTGACCTGTTACCTCGTTCAAATCATTAGAAATTCATGATGCGTTGCTAGGATGAAATAGCAAAGTTAGAATTAGCATGTTCTTTTCCCTACACATTAACTCTCAGGTATTTTGAATATGCAGTTTTGCACACAATTTCTGTGCCCAAGAGAGGCCTGCGCAATATAAATAGACCTAAGTTGTGTCTTTATTTTAGACAATAAAAAAAAAACTGTGATGACTCTAGCTTACCCCGACACTCCTGAGTGTATTTACTTGTACAGCCATAGATGTATCTGTTGGTGTGTTGTATTCATCTTGATCACGTAAGATCCTCTGCTCTCCACCAGGATGGTACCACACTGAGAAAGAAAACAATAGAAAATTGTACAATTCCTGCTACCGTAGTTAATTTTATCACGGCAGACCCTTTTCCCAAGTTTGGCCAATTTTTGTAACATGCATCATAATAAAATAAACAGGCAGTCAATACAATCAGTTACCCTGTACAAAAAGTGAATAGCCATCATAAACAAAATCATCTTGATTATGTGTGCATCATAATAAATCACAATACAGTCAAACCTGCTTTAGTGACCACCTGTCCACAAAGGCCACATTTGTTGTGTCCCTTGAAAATGGTTTCTCATTGAAACATGCACTGAAGGAACCTGTCTACAAAGACCACCTGTCTACAAAGACCACTTTTTGTGTTTCCCTTGGGCGGTCGCTATAGACAGGTTTGACTGTACTTATTAAAACAGGCTCATAACCCTTTAACAATATTTGTTGTTAAAGAGGCTCCATAGCATCAAAACTTGTTTTAAATCTCACTTGTCAGGTTTAAATTTTTAGCTTCCACTTGCTACGTCGGTCATCAAATATTTATAATATATTTATGTGCACTCTGGAAACTCTCGCCAAAAACAAAAACAAAACATCTGAGGATTTAATAATAGATTGAATAATAGATTTCTAACTCACAGAGATCCAACTCATGAGCTCTACTCTGCTTGACAAAATGCTGTCTTCTGTAAGCTGCATCCAGTATCTTCTGCTTAGTTTGAGAGATGCAGTCAGAGCTGAGGACAGTAACATAGTACTCATGCTGCCCATCAGCACCAACTACAGACAACGACTGTGTTTAGACAAAAACAGAAAGTTTGTCTGAATCTCACTATAAACATGTTCACATCTCACATGGTGCACCCGCAATCCTACTGTATAGGTTATTCTAAGTTCTCCATTTCTCTTTTACCAATTACTTGTAGAGATAATCCCGATGGCAGCTATCATACAGCTAAAATGTGTTCATGTAATGAACATGTTTTGAGCAATTAATTCTCTATTAGTTCTAAAACACAAAAGCTTCAAACTTTCAACTGATCTCTGAAAAGAAACTTATTTGCCTCTGTATTACAACTCTGCTAAACACATCAATGCAACAATTAAAAAGGGGATCTTTAATTGACATTGCTATGCTCAAAGGGTGGGGGCAATGACAGACCCCTCCACCCCCATCCCCTCCCCACCTACATGGTAGACTACATGTACCTGTATACATCAAAACAATTTCCATTTTGGGATTGAATATCACATTACTGTACATTTTTTAATAAATCATGGTGGAAACTTCATATTTTTAGCCCAAATTCCACATGTGAAAAAGTATCCTGAAATGAGGTACAATAACAAGGAACAGATCCCCCTCCCTCGCCCTTTTAGAGTTTATCAATCCCGGTATCTCATGTAAGGATTAAACTGTAAGGTACCATTTCTTCATAAGGAACATCCTCCTCTATGAGACAATCAAAGTTGAGTGAGAAGTAAGACTGTCCAGTGATGATATCAATGGGTCCCTTCTCAACTTGAATCTTGATAGATTGGTATAACAGGTACAGTGACTTGGCAACATGTTTCTGGCAATAAAATAAAGAAAAGAAAATTGTATGATAAGAACAAACTGATAGGCAATGTAAATACAAGAATTTTGTCTGAAAGAGTACAATAATATAAAATGTTTTAAAATGAAAAGTGTGTGCATGTAACTATCAAAAAGTCATGTTATTTACCAAATGAAACTATACACTTCAATTTGTTTGAAGCAATATACATGTAGAAGCAATATAAAGGCAAATTCTACATGTACGGCTCTACAAGTATTACAATGTGATTTGATCAGACATTTTATATATATATATATATATATATATATATATATATATGTAATATCTTCATGAACTTGGTTGGTAATAAACAGTGTTCAAAGATCAAATAGCACACATTTATGAGGTACATATAGCCACTGCTCTTATCTTCACCATGTATCAATTAGATACTAATTTACCATTAGTCTAAAATAACACATTAAGTACATGAAGCATTATTAAAATGAAATATGTAGATAACAAAACATACCTTAAGATAATGGTACATGCAGAGAGAAAACCAGTTGGCCAGCAGCTTTTCAACAATTGTTTCAGTTCTGTGACAAAAAAAAACACAAAAAAAGATGGTATAAATATGTCCAATGTACTTATGATTGAAGATATTAGATGCCAAGTTGGAGCAAATAACATTAACAATTCTTCTCTTTAAATATCTGAATGATAAAGTTGGAAGAAAATGGAGATAAAATATTGCCCGGTGTAAAACATGATATAACTCAATAAAATGCATCTATACAAAAATTCAAATACTTCAAGAGCAGAATGCACATTTCTAGTAATATTTCAGAACGTTAAAAAGTGAGATCACTAAGAAATAAAAATGTATGACTTTAACAAATTGAGCCATACATCTAACACAGTGATATGATCAGCCTAGCAGGCCTGTGCCCTTTAGCATCTATTTGACAATGCTAGCTAAAGTAGTAATTAGGTTACAAAAGTTCAAGAAATGGGTTTAGCATCTTACCTTCGGAAGAGAGACTTGAGTTGTCTTCCAGTATCTGATGCATCACTGATCTGATCTTCCAATAATCTTTTGAGGATCCTTCAGAGGGAAAAAAGTAGATGTAAACCAGTTTAGCAATAAAAACAACATGTAGAATGTTTTTTAGGCTCCAGCAAAGCCAAATTCTATGTGTGCAGACTTGTATTCCTATTCATTGCAATGTTTAAAAATGGTGGATTAACAGGGAATTCTTAAGTTGGTTTTTGTTATTTTTACTATTTGGATAAATGCCAAGTACTTCATGAAACACTTCAAACATGCTACAATGTGCCAACAGGGAAATGAGTAAAATGTTGTGGTCGAGTGGTTTAAGCGCTTGAATGGAGATGCGAAGGTCGAGGGTTCGAGGGTTCGAGTCCCGACACGGCACTAATATCCTTTGGCAAGATATTAACCTGCACTTGCTACTCTCCACCCAGGTGTTAAATGGGTACCCGGTAGGATGCGACCGTCATTGTTGGTCAAACAGTTTTGAGCGTTAATTTACGCCTGGCTGGAATGCTCCCCAGGGAGTGGAGATTGTGCACACATTGTGGGCGGGCAAGTATTGAACCAATGGCCAGGGTAATAATATACCTGTAAAGCGCTTAGAGACGTCATTGATGTATTAAGCGCTATATAAAAGCGGAGTTATTATTGTTATTATTATTATTAAACATAAATTAATCATTCCGGTCACATACAATATATATGTGATGATGCACTTCCATTGTAAATAATTAAAATCCCCTTCTTTAATACATGTAATAATAATAATAGTCAAATTTGTATAGCTCTTAATACTAGATTTCTAAGCGTTTTACATTGAAATTAGTACCCCTGTCACCGGATTCAATATCCAATTGGAACATGATAATGCACGCTCCCCACTCTCTGGGGAATATTCTGGCCACGCTCCATTTTACAAGCATACTACATAACGTTCACATCCTACCGGGTACCCTTTTAACACCTGGGTAAAGAGTGACAAATGCAGATTATCTCATGCCAAAGGACATGCTGCGGCAGGACTCAAATCTTTTAATTGGATTTTTTTTTTCTCCGATAAACTACATAATAAAAAATAAACTACACAATAAACAAATAAAAGGGGGGGGGTAATTGAATAATATATACTTTCAAAATGGGAGTGCCAGCACAACAGAAATTCTAGTGTACTGTGCTTTTCAATCTGGGTATGCCGGGCAGTCTAAAGGTTTTACACTTGTACATATATATCAAATATAAGGTAAACTTATAAATATCACAGTGCAAAATGAGAATGAAATGAACATACATCCATATGATTAATGACCATCAATGATATCAATACTTACTCAGTGAAGTAGTCAAAGTTCCCTTCTGATACCAGAATAACTGTAATAAGTGATGCGATGTTGACTCTGAAAATAACAAGAACGTCAGTTTATCCACTTATCAGGCCACATTCCACTGCAGGAGAATATAATCAGAGTCTCTTCTATGGTGCTTTATTTAATTGTACTGATATACATGTACATTGCAATGAGACCTACATAACACAATGGCCCGAATTCACAAAGGAGGTGTGTAGACAAACCTATGTTTATGTGGATCATGTGATGCGTTTTGAAGCGTTTCAGACCAAGGTTTGTCTGAACTTTGGTCTGAAACACATCAAACGCGTCATATGCCGCACATAAACCTAGGTATGTCGACAAACCTCCTTTGTGAATTCGGGCCGATATGTTTGTCTTTGTTAGTCTCATAAAACTCCTTTGAAGTAACAACAATTTTCCCAGTATTTATCAATTTTGCTCCGATTCATGAGATTCCATTTGCCGCTATTATTAGATATTTTTCATTGATGACATAACCAATACACAAAATCAAAGGAAACATCAGGAACAAGTTGATCAGCGTACAGTCAAACACCTCCTACATGATACACAGTGCAGTCAAGTTTGTTATTGTTATTGTGAAATGACAGGTGTAATGGAGAGGGACACAGCTAGATGAAAGAAGTGTATATTTACCGGTCTCTCCTCTGAGATTTCCTCCTCTCTTCCAACTCTTGAATGTACTTGACGAGGAAGTCAGGGTTATTCAGCTGTCTCGAGAATGTGATCATTGCTCGCTCTAGATCTGCATCCAAGTACTATACATGTACAGTAAATCATTATACATGTATAGTATAAATGAAGAAATACAGAAATGTTTGTAGCTCTTAATCTACTGACATTAGATAAAAGTTGCATAATTTACATGTGCATGTGCATGAACATGTTTCGCTTCTTTTTTCTTAATATTAATGTGCATCTAAAAATATTAGCTTCTTCGTTTGACACTAGAAAGCATAATCTTATTTGTAGAAGGATAGTCGTCTTGTGACTAATAATTCTGCTACACTTTGAAACAATTCTTCTGCAAATTCTACAATATATTTTGCATAAAAGAAAATCCATTCTACTATAGTACTTTTGCCATAGAACAAAACGTTCTATTTGTACAATGTCAGAATGCTATTCCTGCATGTAGCAGGTGTCAATCATGTTTGTGAAATCACACAGCAACCACTGAATGTAAGACAATCAAACCTATCTATGGAGGCCACCTAAGGGAAACAGAGAAAGGGGCCACTGTAGAAAAGTGGCCTTTTTTAGACAGGTCCTGCAACATTTCTTTCTTGAGGAATACAAACACGGCCACTCTATGGCCTTCAAAGAGAGGTGAGCACTAATAGAGATGTGATACATACTGACCTCTGGATCAGCGGTAGCAGGGAGGATATCCAGACCTGAGAAGAGCATGTTTCGGGCATAGTCCTGGGTGTTTACAAACGGAATACCAAGACCTTTCACCTGGTTTTCAACTTCTGTCATGTCAACCTGCAAGTTGTGGTAAGCTGAAGGGAAGTAAAAAAACACATCATAAAAAAGATGGTTGAGCAATTGTGCAACAGAAATCTTCAAGAAATATTTAAAGTAGGATACAATCAATGTAGCAAGAATAATGATACAATAGATTTCTTTTAATCGACTGTAAGAGGATTTAGATATGACAGGTCCTATGCTGTAAGGTAGTGCCTGTAAATAGTTTAAGTGTACAAATCACCTGCAAATAAAGATTTGAGTACAGCAAGATTGTATACAGTCAATCTAAAAACATTTTACTTGAGTTAACAGTTAAAGAGTATAGTGACAAAAGTTAAAGATAACATAAAATCTCTGTATAAGGAACCTATAAAGTCAAACTTGGATTCAATGTGCTACTGACTTCTGTGCAGGTATGTAGGGTACATCAACTAGTCTTCTTGTAGGTTGCTTTCATGATCATTGAGAACATACATGTACAAGTTAGTAGTATTGTGACATTACATTCCTGTCATACAGAGCTGGTGATATTTACCTTCTTCTGCACGATTCTGAATCTTTTTTTCAAGAAGTTCCAACTCATCCACCTGTTGATCAATAGCTTTCTGTCTACGTTTGACCAAGAACCTTCCAGCAAGACCCATGACAATGATGATTACCACTAGAGCACCAACAGTAGGTCCAACTATGAGCCCAATCGAGGGTTCAGTAGTGGTTGAATATTGAACAAATCCAGGGTAAAACCAAAGATTTCCATGCTTCACCTGAATGAAAAGAAAAATTATATTACATCAAGAGGAAAATATACAGAATATACATAGTTTTTCAATTATTTTAGAATTACAAATACATGAGGGAACATAACTAAACGGTAGTGCAAATCCACATGACATCAAAATATAATCAGAGGTTGGTTTTAACTTGATCCACTAGTAACGTGACCAAGATTTCTACTTGGAAAAGTAATGATTCTAACATCACTTTACGTGTTTGCTGAATACATCTCCCAGTTTACAATAACATTTATAGATAACCTCCAAATTTTGTTGAACAATTTGACAGGTGATATTATAGAGTACCAATTACCTAAAGAATTTTTTAAAAAACTTTTGAGCAGCTAGAATGTATAAAATCAATCTAAAAAAATGTACTTGGCATTCTATATTATGTTAATGGTTATAGAGCAAAAAGATAACAAACATAGTATCCTGCGCACGGAACCAAAATTGGGCTTGGGTTCCGTGGGAGCGTGTATGTGTGTGTCTACTAACAAATCTATTTTATTTCTACCGTATTTAAACTGCAATAGCTCTTAGTAGAATTAGTATTTGCAGCTCCTATTTTGAATACAGTATAGCGACGTGGAACCCCTCATATCAAAAATAACTTACTGTCACAGCTGGAAGATTCTTTGCATCTCCCTGACCTAGTGTTCCATTCAAGCTTCCTGCTTGAGGCTGGTCATCTGGTAACTGACAACGCAGGACATTCATTCCAAGATCATCAACAGTGCATTCTCCATCAGGTCCTAACAAAACTAGTACATCGTCTTCTGTACTTGCCAAGGTTAAATCCATTCCCTAGAAAAACATAAAAGCAAAATTTACAATTTTAGCTTCAACCAATTTACTCATAGCATGTGCAGTCAAGCCTGTGAATAGAAACAATCAAAGCCCTTTAATATGCCACTGAACTTAAAAATGTTCAGTGTAAATTAATTTCCTTATTTGAGATAACTAATAACCATAACATTACTATACAAAAAATAATAATAATAATAAGTTACTCAAAATATTTCAATACACTTTGCATTAGACACAATAATAATTCAATAATAATACATAATTATGAAATACATTTGACATATATCAGATAGCAAACACATTGCATTGATTTTATAGCTATAAACAAATACTTCACAAATAGTATTGTATTATATTACACTAAAATTATATATAAGATGTACTCTTCTTTAAAGGCAGATATCATGACAAAATACAAAGAATATTGAATTAAATATAGTAATCCACAACTATAACATTAAATTTTAACTTTCAAGTGTCTTTTAAGCCAGCATTTATATTGGATTTTAAGCGTATATAAAGCATATGGCTCTTTCTTCAATATGTGAAAAAGAAAAGAAGGCAAATTTCTCCTGCGAATTTACATAGAATCATGACAGACATTAATTCAGTATCAAGAATAGGCTAGAGGCATTACTGCAATATTTCTATTACATGGCAGAATCTAACCGTCAATAACAACGTCTATTATTAAAGCAATTCAAATTTCAATTGAAAAAATTTAATAAAAAAACGATCATTTACGGAAACAAAAACGTGTCTGCAAATACAGAGTAATGATGACAACATTTTTCGAAATGATTAATCAATACAGGCTAAATGACTTATTTCATGAACAGAAATTTGGTGTTGCAGTGTGTTTGAAGAAAACTCCTAAACTCACTGTAATCTCGAGTCGTTTATTAGCACTCTTATAAATTCTGCTGTTCCCACTGAAGTTTACATACACAGGGTCTGGGAAATATTCAATTGTGCCTCGATCAATCACATATCCATCAAAGTCAAAGGATAAATTCGCAATCATTGCATCATCTGTTGCTCGTCTTCTTCTAGCAGGGATAGCATCATCAGGAAAATTTGGTGTTGGACATGTGAGAATGGTTTCTGTTCCATTGCAGAGCTTTAGGACATAAATGTCAAAGCATTGATAAAGAATAAAGAACAAAAGATATAAAAAGTATTAAAATTTCATTTCCATTTCATGTAATTGCACTATGATCACACGTTTGAATGTTCCAATCTATAAGATCCAATAATTTATGAACACAACCAATTGTGATTTCATAGAGAAAATTTGGGAATTTAAATGTGTATGCATGGAAGAACAATTCATTTATTTTTTATATAAAACTGACAACATACATGTACATGTACAAGCAAATACAAAGTATGCTAAGCAGCAGTGTGTAAAATATATTCATCTAAATGTTACTAAATATAATGTACAAGTGTATGCCTGAAAGAACATACAGGTAGTATTCCAATCTTTCACAATCTACATGTAAGGGCTATTAAACAATTAAGGGTATGGAAGAAATAAAGGATAACATAATACCCTACACAAGGACTAGTACCTCATACAATGCACATGTACTATTAGAGCATGTACAGGAAAATCAAATAATCTTCTCACAAGTCGCTTCTATGTTTAATGGGTGTATTTAAAATTGCCACATCTCTTTGTAAAAGTAATATTTGAAGCTCGTTTTTTTTCAATATACTATAACCTGATAAATTCCCTTACATACAGAGCAAAATATATTTTGATAATCCGATACCTATTACTGGTAATAGGACTTGAATGAAATATAGAGAATGCATATCATACATCAGATTTGCTAGCATCAGTTGTGAGAGAACTAACAACAATCCTGGGTTCTTGGATCAGATCAAATCTAACGCCAGTTAGTGTGATATCAAGACCTCCTCTGTTGAAATAAAAATAGATTCAAGGTAAGCTTCAAATAACATCTAAATATAAGAAAACAGTCATATGTGAAAAGCACAGACAGGGAATACTTCATAATATTAGATAGCTAAGAGATGTAATTGGTCCAGAGCTCGTCACGTGATGTCTATTGCGAGGATCGTAATTGTTATATTTTCCTGGCTGGTCACTTTCCAGTGTTATATTAATCAGCTGATGAAATGAATGTATTTTTAATCAATGCATGTCGCCCTCTTGAGTACTGTATGTCACCAATTACACCAATACCGGGTCCAATTTTTTTTCTTCAAATTTTGTTTTCCCTTGTACCAGTAATTGTTTTTCCACAATTTTTTCCTTCCCCAAAAAAGCCCCAAAATGTTTTTGAAGAATTTTTTTCTTCCCTTAAAATTATTTTGTCAAAATATTTTTTTCTCAATAAAAAAAAAAAATTGGGGCAACAAAAAATGGACCCCCCCCCCTAAATCTTCAAACCAAGGCTATCTAATATAAGATATTGACTGTCAAGGGGTAGATAACATTCTTCGGACGTGAAGGGAATTATATTTTCCCTCAGCGCTGTGCGCTTCAGGAAAATATAACCACTTGGGAAAATATAACTCCCTTCAGCGGTCCAAAGAATGTTATATTACACCTTCTGCCAGTCAATATCTGTATAACATTTGGTCAATTGCAAAAAGAAGAAAAAATTAACAAATTGTCAATTTACATATTCTTATAGAATATAGTATCTATGAAAAATAATTATACACTTTATCATTTACATGTTAAGATGTTTGCTTGGGCCAAAGCATACAAAATTAGAGACACAGATCAATACAAGCTTCAGAGGAATAGAACAAAGAAAAAGTTGGTTAGATTTTTTTTCACTGTTGAACTCACTCCTTATATGAAAAATCTAGTGAAGCAATAATGATGTATTATGTCATGCCATGGAGAACTTTACAAATTGTTTTATACATAGTGCAAAGTAGTAATATAACCCCTCTTTTCAAAGCTTTTGGTGGAACAGACACATGTGAAATTATATTACCCATGCTGCTTCTTGAATTAAAAAATATATTCATCAATAAAATGAACAGGGATATTTTCAATGATTTCTTAACAAAAGGTAGAGTTCTCTTTATACATAACATTACACACTACATTGCCAATGGCTAATTTTTAATACCACTTGTTATCTCCACTTTCACAAATACCAGAATTCCATTTTTTTCTTCTGAAACTTACAAGAATGTGTTTCTATCCGAGTCATAATTCTATGATAAAGTAATTCCCCCAAATGCTTATTATGACTGGGTAAACCATGGTGATTTATCACAGTGATTCTTTTTAAACAAGTAACTTACGACATGATAGATGTTGTCCTATCAATATCTTCAATCTCTGGATTTGGCATGTAGGTGAAGTCGTAACCGCTGAATTGTCTCTCTTCTCCATCAAATGTCATGGCCAGGGTTACGGAATCCTGTGCATTCTCCGGTATGCTGCTTGTGATGCAGGTTGCGATTTCATCTTGAACAGAACTTCAAAATAACAAATAATACCCACTTACATATTTAATGTACTTCTATTCTCTCAATCTCTGCCTATTTGTTTTAATTTATGAAGCCTTTCATGAATGGATATGATGGAGTTCACATATTTAATTACAAAATATTCGAAAATGGCATCAATGAAGAAATGTGTACACTGAAACATTTCTCAAGGCCCATTAGCTACACAAATTCTTCTCAATATTCAATTGCGCTACATTACTTTTAAGAACAATTAAGGTTTAAACAACAAAGACTTATGGTGGACTTTCAAAACAATGACATCAAGCATTGAATGTAAAACACATTACTTACATCTCTAGGCAATCTGCATCTCTGAATCTTGCAGTAATGTCCCTTCCAGTGTCCAAGTACATGCCATCGATAGTGATATTTGTACCCCCTGCCATGGGTCCTTCTCTAGGACTAAACCCTGTGATCACAGGATCCTATCAGAGACAACATACTTGTATATCAAGGATATGAAATGAAATGTATGTCCAAACAAATCAATACATATATCTGTTTACATCTTGATCTAACAACTGTTGACAATGAACTTTGGATCAAATTGACTTCCCTCCCATGAAAGAAGTAAAATATTTTTTAGAATATACATGAACATGTACTACAAGCTTATATCGGTGCAATTATAAGAAGTATGAAAACATGTCCATCGTATGTTATATTTCCATAATTTGTTTCACTCAACAATCATATCCCGATACTTTGGCTACATGTATAATAATCAATATTAAAGTCTTCATTCAGACTTTTATAACATCATGATTTTATTTCAGCTGTTGTTGTTTTGTTTAATAGTTATATAAACTTTTTCATTCAATTCAATTAAATTTTAACACAAACCACATTAAAAATAAATGACGCCTCTTCCACCACAGTTGCAGACGGATAAAAACTAGACAGGATTTTGTCTTACTCACCCTATACTGAAATTTCTTAGTGCTCTGTCCTGTCTTATTTCCTTCCCCTGACGCCACCGTGATTTCAATGCCTCCCGATATTACTTCAGTAGATATCGCTGTCATACAACTTACACTGCAAAACAAAATCAAACAAGACAAATGCGACTGCGTCTCCTACATGCCTCCGCCCTAAATTCAGCATACAAAATGCATGGAATTATTTGTGCGATCATAATGAAAACAAAAAGCCTATCTTTTTTATTTCTTTATATATCACAAAAGCAAGGCTAAAACCTGTTATTTCAGAAATTGACCTCTGTGACCTTTGAAATTGGAACCCCAAATCTGATCAGATCATCTTCCTATGTTGATGCATACTATCCCCCAAGTTTGAGCCTCATATCACAATTGCTTCTTGAGATATCACGATAACGAGGCCAATACCAAGAATTTAATAAGTTGACCTCTGTGACCTTTGACCTAGTAAATCCAAAATCTAATCAGATTGTCTTCCTATGGTGATACATACTTTCATCAAGTTTGAGCCTCCTATCTCTATTGGTTCTTGAAATATGGTGTTAACAAGAAAGCGGGATGGACGGACAATCCGAAAACATAATGCCTCCGGCACAACCAACGGTGTAACACTATTACTTGCAATTGTATAACTGATGAAATGCATTTTACTTATTCCATATTCTATAAACAATTAATTACACATTTAACATGTTTGGCAAAACATTGTCATTATAAACATGTACCGGTATGTACAATTGTACAAATTTAACAAAAAATACATTGTGAAAATATGTTACATACATCAGTCAGAGAAAAAGAAATGTAAGTCATAAAGAAGAGTAAATATGAGATTTACCTCTGTCCTGGCTGGTAATATTCGACCATGTTGTTCAAATCGCACTCCAAATCTTGAATAAGAATTTGAAGTACATCATCAAATACCACTCCAATGTCGGTTCCGATGATTTCTAATCTTGTATGGCCATTGATAGGCCCTGACAAGGGGTTAAACTTCGGAAAAAGAAAAAAGAAATTATAAATTGATCCCATCAAATCTCTTGATATCATATACTACTTCAGTATATCACTAAAAGATAACTAAAAGATAACACTTAAAGATAAAGTTGAGTTCTGGTCATGTGATTGCATTGTGAAAGAAACGGTGTGGAATCTATCAGAAAAGGTTGATCATCTAGTATATAAGTATTCGTGTGTATTGCAAGGTTCTGGAATCATCAAAATGATGAGACAGTTGGCCAAAGCTTGGCAAAGTTACAAGCACTGTACACAGAATGATGTATATGGGACTACACGAGCACATGGCGAAAAAAACCTACCCCCCGATTTTTACGTATTTTATGTCATATTTAGAATATGAAGGCATTTGAAGAGCCATGCTTTTCAAGGAACATGTTTAATCTGATGTTCTTCCACCCTTGCATAATAACAATGATAACGCTCACAAATTATTTTTTACCTCTTCCCAGAACTCAACCTTCTCTTTAATCACAATTATTATTAATAAATGACACATATTTGTAAAGCTTAGAGCCTCCTCTTTCATTTCATGCAACTCATATGATGCATATTTCACGCATGAGTGAAGGAAACCAAAAGTCATTTGGCAGGCGGTATCTGAATTTCGTAGGAAAATTCACATTTCTGGAAAGTTCAGTTTCTGCCCTTTCATATGACACCTTAATCAGGAAAAATGAGCAAGGAATGACAAAGTTCTGTTTGTTCAAAGTAGTGCTTGCATCTCCATAATTTTATTGAACAAATTCGTTTTCACCGGCTGCCTGCAGTAGTAACAAGCAGAATTGACAAAAGACTTAACTCCGTTTCCTTGACAATCAGCCATGCATGAAGTCTTTCGTATATGGCTGATTGTCAACGAAACGGAGTTAAATCTTTTGTTAATTCCGTTTCTTGCTACGGCAGGCAGCCAGTGAAAAAGACTTCTTTTGATAATTTTCGCTTTTAAACAAAATAAGACGCCATTGTATATTCAGCTGCACACACCGCGGTATGTTCGTCGTTTCAAGAGGGAACAAATGCCGTCCTTAATATTATTCCGGGGAGTTTTCAATTTGAAAGTCTGGTTTCTTTGATTGTTAATTAACCCCTATCCTGTGTATTTACAAGCAAAAGATTTTAGTTATCAGAATCGGGTCATATCCCCTTTTGAATGGTTTGACATGCCATTACATTTATATACACTAAACTCGTTATAATTTGACAAATAATAGCTTTGCAATTATGTTTATTCTTTATGGGATGTCGTCTGCTTGGGCAGTATTGGTCCATATAGTGACGTCATTAAGACATCGTTATTTTTCCGGCGAATCTCTCGTATATCCCAGCTGCTATGGAGGTGGTTGTATTTGTATTTTTTATAAATCACCCGATATGTAGTTGACCTAAGACGTGTAAGATGGCCATCTGTTAGCTTACCAGTTTCTAGTGATACATTAGTTGAGATATTTGTGATTTTCTTTGAATTTCACTTTTAATAATAATTGTGATTAAGTTATGATAAAACAACGATAATTCTCGGTTTCGTTTTTTCTGGGACGCACTGTATAATACCAATAATGAATACCAATTATATGTACATGTATATGAAATAATTTTAAACATTAAAGTTGATACTCTAAGCAAATAAATGTCCCTTAATTTGTTACCTACGGCAAGTATATGTTATTTTTAAGTTTTTCAATTACTTAGTATATCACAAAAAAATTCTGTCTACTCGAAATCCTCAATTGAAATGTCTAAAATATCCGCCTCTCTTTGCATAGAAAATCAGTCACGACGCTGGTCTACTATTTATGACCTCACGTCCGGAAGAGAGTATATTCACGTACCCGGATGTTCCATAGCAAACATGTGCAGAGTGATACGATTTTCTGCATATTTTTGTTTCAAAGGCTGAAAAGTCTAATAAATCATAATTCTATGTACAATTCTTTACCTTCCCCTAGTACTTCATAGTATTAATATCAATTCCCCTTTTAAAAATTATGACATATACATGCCAACGATGTGCTATTAGTCGATATTTTCACCATGTAATTTTTGTTTTGGTGTTGAAATCGGCCCAGGCACGGAGTGAACAGTAGCTGTCTACCCATGCACAGTTCATTACCATACACTACAGTGACCTCCCGATGGTTTCTTCTTCCTTTTTCCCATGTCTTTCGCCTTCCTTGGCCCTGAACATCCTTCATCTACCAATTCTGACACCGGTAGTCAGGAGCAAGTCTTTGTTAGTTGTTTTTCTTAGCTGACAACGTCGCTTTCATTCTCTTGCAATTGCCGATAAACATATAACTAGCGCACGTACGTTCCATCACAAGCAAGCAGCGCCTAGAGCAGCGGCTTGGTCTTACCTCCCGATTCTGCTCGCTCCACGAACGTTCATGCTAGAGCCGCGTAACTCGCCAAAATATTATAGAGTAAGCGCGCTTGCATGATCTCGTTCAAGTTTGATATTTTACAACATAAATGTTTAACTGGTACTGTATCCTTTTTTGAGGCAGTCACACACATCTATGATAAGTACTATCATAGTTCTAGACCTATTCGTTTTTACAAAACTGCTCATGTACATCTGATGACAATATAATGCATCCGCCTATTCATAAGTGCACGATTTAACTTTAATTCCTAAGCAGTGAACTCGTCTTAAATCTCTACCAAAGAGGTGAATATGAGGATATAAAAAGAAATCAGCGACTGGAAAATGTTGCTTCGTTATTCTTCATTCAAATGAAAACAGAAAATCCATCAAATATACTCCTTAACAACAACAAATCTAAGCTCTGACAGGATAGCATTTACGTAGGGATATCACTGCCATTCACTCTCACTGAGCCCATGACTCCCGTTCGTGACGTCACGGATTGAGGCCCGACTCTACGTGCACTTCCGGGTTTCAGACTTAGATATTTTGGTAGAGTTTACTCGAATAAATTCATTATTCTAAACTTGTTTTGTTCGGGTGTACACCATTTGGTGTTATTATGGGGGTTAAAAGCTTTCTATTTAATATGTAATTATCTCAGTATTTGGGATTCTTAGAGTATCAACTTTAACAACTGTTCTAAATTTAAAAGGCTTGTTGATATATGTCTATGAATGACAACTGCGCGCAACAAAGGTCATATAAATATTCACTTTATAAGCTCTGCATGTGAAGCATTTTACACTTGCTTTATCATAAAAAAAGAGTGATCAAGGTTTACCATCGATATTCGAAAGACTTAATAGTTTGGATTTATATCCTTTATGAACAAATTTTCTCTTACATCAGTGATAACTGGTGCTGAACATTTCTGCGTCTCATTCTGATGGAGAAACAGGTTGTTCTGACAAACTTCACTTTGAATGACATTGCAGTCATCACCACACCAACCACACTTCAAGATGGATGGAGTTGCATCTCGGGAAAGGCATCGACTGCAACTTCCACTGTTAACTGAACACTTGTAAAGGGTGACTGCAATTCAACAAAACAAGATATCCATTAAATGCAGCTCAGAAGTCACTCTTTATTCAGACTAGTTTTGTTAAACTGATTTTCTTAATGACATTTTTGGAAAGACTTTTTAAACATGCAAGAGCATTCACAAGAATACTGCTGTCATGTAACTGGTGCCAGACTTCATACCCATACTTCCCCTTATTGTAAGAATTTCAAAACTGAATGTGGTTCATAATTAATCCTTAAGTCTGACTATATACTACAGTGATAAAGAGTAGACATAATATCACTCCTCAGAGAAGGAACACAAACAATAGGTTATCAATACAGAAGACATAAATTCATCCCGTGCCAAGAACTACATGCACAGGTCTACATGTATGTGACACATTCTAATGGTTTTAAATTCCAATTAAAGAAATGAGAATGGTAAAAAATATTCTAATGAAAATTTAGCTCAGAATTAACATCTGAGCTTGCCTCACTTTTTTCACTTTTGTCTAGCTGGTTTACTCACAATCTCCTTTTTAGAGTGCAAATTCAAGATTACATTATGTAATATCTTTAAAAATGTAATATCTGAAGCAGAAAGTTTTGAATACATATTTTGATCAACTCTTTTTACTAGGAAAATCCAATATCACCTGTCTAAAATGAAAATTAAATAAAGTACCATTGACTCCTTGTATTGCGATTATATGTCAAACATCTATGGGCTTACCATGCGTTTCTGACAGGTCATCTATGCTGTTCTGTCCATTCCACTGTACAGAGACACTGACATTCTTCTCAAGAAAATTTCCATTGTACATGTACTGAAAACGAACAATAAAACACAATATGAAAAAGAAGGGAATAATCTGTAAACATGTTTGTTCTCGCTTTGGTCACTTAGTGGAACAAACGGGGGGGGGGGGGGGGGGGGGGGGGGGGGACACCAGTTTACTTTGGCACAAGTAACATGTAGCTGTATCATAATATACAAAAACAATGTGGCGATCTCAGGGTTTCATTCCATAGCAAATAAAGATATTAGAAATATTTATATCATAGACTTTGGATAAAAAAGTAGTTTACCAGACTGAGTAAGAATATCAGTGAATGGATACATACTGAAGCTTTTTGTCTCCCTCTCATCGGGGTAAACCATAATAAGGAACGGAAAGCCGTAATCAGGCAACATGAATGGAAACTAAAGGAACAACGCGCACAACGAATGTCTTTATTCACTGATATTATTTGATGTTGTAGTATCAATAATCTCTTCTCTAATTTTACCAGTAATGAAATAGTAGTAGAAAATAGAAGGAATGATTTCTGTTAACTCAGTATACTAATCTTTAATCTTCTATAAATGTAGGCAAGTGAGAGCACACAAAAGAAATAGATGCACACAACCAAGGCCCTTAGAAGAGTATACTTTAAATGACAAAATAAATAAAAACATTCTTTTACTGTAAATTTAATTTGCCAAACCATTGATGCTAAATATAAATGTAAACACTTTTAGAGTCAACTTCATGACCATCCATGAATACTTGCACAATAAGTCATTAATTTCATGTTATTTTACTGTAAACTGTAAAGTTGTAATAATGCTGGATAAGCATAACTCAAGATTTTACCCTTGTATCATTGCAGAGAATGTAGGTTTCATTAAAAGTGGTACTGGGTACTCTCACTTCTTCTCCTTCAATGTCAAGGATGCACTCATATGTTATTGGGCCCTGGAAATATACAAAAAGTCATGTTATTTCAAAGATATGTTTAGCAATTCGGTCTAATCAGCACCTGTATATGCGAGGGAGATTTATGAACATGCCAAACATACAGAATAATTTGGGTCACAGTTGGGAATATAGTATGTTCTCTAATTGTTAATCTATGTCAGTGGCGGATCCAGGGGGGGGGGCCTGGGGGGCCTGGGCCCCCCCCCTTGAGAAAAAAATCATGTAAAATCACGTGATTTTTACCTTTTTTGGGGGTTGGGCCCCCCCCTGGCGCTCAAGGGGGGGGTGCAAATTGAAATTTTTTTGAGGATCAAAAAAAAAAAAATGTGCTCACTACCCCCCCCCCCCAAAACCCCCCCCCCCCCCCAAATGAGCGAATTTTTGGCCGGCGCGTTTTTCAAATTTTCGGGAGCAAAAAAAAAAAAAAAAAATTGTGCTCTGTACCCCCCCCCCCCCCCCCCCCCCCCACTGAGCGACTTTTCGGCCGGCGCGATTTTCAAATTTTTGGGAGCAAAAAAAAATAAAAGTTGGGCCCCCTCCCCTAAGAAATCCTGGATCCGCGCCTGATCTATGTTGTGCTTGTGTGAAGTGAATTTCAAGTTTAAAGCTTAATATCCAAACAAAAAGTACATCAATATAACAATCATACGTGAATGTTTAACATTAAAAGGACAAATGGGACTAGAAAAAAGCATTAAATGCTAATCGTGTCTATATGGTACCACTAACACACAAAAGTATCACAACAATGAATGAGAACGTAATGAATAAATATGAATAAAATTGACTACATACTTTAAGCTACAAGCTACCGTATTCTACATCTAGGCTAAAATATGTTCTGTGATTAAATACAAAGCTTTGGTATTTTACACTAAACAAAAAGATAAAGAATTATAATGATAATAATAATAATTAAACCTAGGCTTCTATAGCGCATTTCATCTTCAGAGAAAATAACAATGCGCTTTACAATATTAAAACAACTAAATTACACATACCGGTAACTACTTATTCATGAACTAAAAGAAGTATCAAAATACGAACAAGATTAATAATAATCAATCATTATAAACATCAATTACAGAGAAATGAAAGCAAGTTATGTAAAAACACAGTAATCTAATTAAATTTTGATGAACACAATAATGCAGTTTAAATGACATTAGAAAGCGTTTTTAAACAAGTAGGTTTTCAGTTGAGATTTAAAGAAAGTTACATGTAAGTCTGTGATGGTTCGGAAGGTTTATAGCATAATGTTTACAAAAAGGCAAGAACTTTGGCTCAATGTTCAGAACAATTATTCTATTTGAATTTGTGATATTAGTGTTCTACGAAAGCAGGACAGACACTAATGCTTTAATTTCTCCCGTACAGATAGTGGTAGATCATTCCAAAAGCATGTGCCTCTGAATGATACTGAAAATTTACCCTGCATTGTCCTTACTTCAGGCACAAACAACTTCTTACTTTCTCATTGTCTAGTCTCATAGTGATGCTCTATGAAACAGCAATACTGAATTAGGGACTGCAGCAATTTATCATTCAATAATTGATACATAAAAACACAAATAGATAGTTTATGGAATTGATACACATTCAATAATTAGAAATACTAAAGAAACTGAGGTCTTTTCACAAGAGAAAATTGAACAAATGTAATGTACATTACTTCAATCCAAATGTACTAGCCTGAAGTTTAAGATAAATGTACCTGTAAATGCTATATACTGTTCATACGGGCATATTGAAGTCAAGTCTTGTTCATAATCTGATCATGACTTAACCTGTTTAGCAGTGGTGTAATGTAAGTCCACTTCCACTATACTTGAATTTCCAGAAATTATATATAAATTGCCTGTATGCACTAGTTGATGGATCTCTTGTTGGCCTACCAGCTTGATAATAATATAATTACCTTTAACTGATCTATAGGAAGGTTCTTTGCAGATAGTGAGAAGCCAGAAGAAATACTGACTGGTATGAGAAATGATTCTGTTGCTCCGAGCAGCTGAGGGCAAAACCCTGTCCTTTGTTTCCAGAACCATCAGTATTCTATAGAGACAAACAGTCAGGTAACAGGTGAGCACGGAAATCAGTAACATTGAGCACCTTGCTTGGTACATTTGTGTGCTATAATTTTTTTGTATAGTATTGTAACAGAATTGAGTCATCGTAGCAGGCGCATGTCAATGGAGAGTTAGGTGTTGGGCGCCAACATGGAAGGACGTGTTACGGCAAGTTGGAAAGGGCAGAGCAGGATAACACATAGGTAAAAATGGGAGATCAGAGTATTGTTGAAGTGGAATTATACCTTGTTGTTATATAGTTATTTGTGAATAAACCTTTCGATCCTGTAAAGAGACCATGTGTTTTGGTGTATTATTGAGAGTAGCGTGAATGCGTTGATGTTGGAGTGATTGCTTCACTGTCTATGAAAGACAGTCTACACATATGCATTGTAAACAGTTATTCACATAATTAAGGTTGGCTCCCTGATATATGATTTGCAATATAAAGCCCCCCAAATGCAAACAATTCTTGGGCAAATATTCCCCAAAAAAGTTTGGTTAAATTACAATAAAACATAAGGAGATATATCTGTAAATACTATTTGATTGACAGACATTAAACTTTGTGTCAATGAATGTTCATTTTATTCCTTTAGGATGCCAGACAGAATTTATGCGAGGGCATAAAAACTATTTACAATGAGCTATTTTGTATCCTAGGAAAGCTTCAACTATGGCATGAACACATGTTCATAGCCTGAATTCAGGCTTTGCTTGAAAACGAGCATCCCTGCATCACTTGCTTACATTAACTCCAGTAATGACTGTATCTCCTGTCTGACATGTGCGGCTATCATCTGTACACTTGTTGTCATAAACACACCAGTCACATGGGAAGCGGGCCGTAACACAAGATGAACATCTGCATGAAATTGAAAATGACCGTTGTATTAAAACTAATACCAAAACTATTATTATGACTATTCACAATGACGCCAGTTGAACCCTTTCTACAATACTGCCTAAAGTTCTGATTTGATCATTATAAACAACCCCAATACCAACGAGAACAACGAGATAAAACAGCTTGCTGAAGTTTAAGGAATCTAAGAACTTACGATTTAATGAGACTGCAGTCAAAGAAGAAGAAATCTTTGGTCACAAAGTTGACACTCGTTTCAGTTGAGACAACAGACAGAGGCAGGTTCAAAAAGTACACTACCAAACAAATGAAAAGAAATGTTAAACATACTAATCATTTTAATGCAGACAAAATCATGTATCATAAATGAAGGATGAAGAACCACTTTCTGCTTTTTGTCTAATGACAATAATATTTTGAGGGTCAGTGGTAACTGCCAACAAAGAAAATCAAGCAGATTATTAAAGGGCTGCAAGATACTGAGAGAAATACACGGTAATTACATAAGTCCTATACATATACATTACATCATAAACCTCTCGAAAACTTTATACGAGGGAAAGGTCTCAAATCTAGGAGACTGTTCAGCATTCAACTCAATCTACTTCATGGATTCCTGCATGTCTCTTGTGTTTTAATGAGTTGTCGAAAATGTCAACAACAACAAAATAAATGAATACATTAGATAACAAAACATGTACCATATTTCAATGATGTTTTACAAGTATTGGTATTTTAATTACGTATCAATAGTCAGCACATGTTATTTATTCAGATGGATGTAATTAGATTTGCAAAGACAATGTACAATCCGCACTGATACACATTTCATCTTTACATGTACTTACTTCCATCTGGAATTGAAGGTAGGCCGTTTTCAGGAGGAGATATACAGGTAACAGTATTACCGGTAGTTGTAGCAGAGACCGGCTCATAAGAGTTAAATTCACACATGTATTGAAAACTGCTGCTAAGATCTGGGAGCTGTTGGACTGTAATGGTAATCTATAACAAGAATGGGAAAAAAAAGTGTGATTTCTCAACATGACTCACATGCACAGGAAATCTCACATGTCATTCTACATGTTATTGCTTTTACTTTTAATACTGTATTTCATTCCCTGGCAATGGAATTTGAAACGTTATCATGAAAATAGAAAAATAATATAATTTTTGATATTTTTTTAAACATGTAGTACAAACTTTATTTTAATCATCCTTAAAGTGATCAAACCAGCATGGATATGCAGAAGGAAAAAGGAAATGTGAGACAGTGAAATCACAATTGTATTTACTTCTTGTTGTGTCTGATGATAAGGCAGACGGTTTGGCTGGACAGCTGAGATGGATACACACTGTAAGGCATTGTATGGTAACCATCGAGTTGACTCATCACGTTCGGGGCATGCCTCATATCTTGTGCACCTTTACAATGAATGGGAGTATAGAGAACCAATTCATTAGTCTTGATGTGTAGAAACAAGATCATCAATAGATTATTTTTATTTCTATTAAAACTAGACTTTAAATTAGACTTTTTGAGGGTGTAAACTTCACAAATTTCTTGTTATAGGTTGCCTTTTCTCCCTTGCATATGTGACCCGGCACCACAAAACCAACAAAAAGTCGCAACCAGCGATTCTCCGTAATCAGCTAAAATGTCAATTTAGGTGAAAAAAATAGATTTTTGTTTTTTTGCATTTTCTGAAAGAGTGGTCTTTTCTGTACCTAGTATCAAAATTTGGAAGTCTAAAACATAGTAGAAGATGTGTTTTAAACGGTTTTTCTAGACCAGTTTTTTTCGCACAGCCTTCGGTCTCTTCCAAAATTGATCACTTTTCCCGAGCGAAATTATCGTAGTCCGGAAATGGTCGGTCGTTGCTAACGGGTCGTGCTACGCGGGCTGTGATTGGTCCGTTATAACAATCAGTGCGGCGCGCCATTTTGTTTGTATCCGCTTTCACGTCCGAGTTCCAGATTTGCGTTCGTCTTATATTCTCCGTTAACGACTTCGAGTAGCTTGAGTTGTTGCATTTTCAAACTTGTGATAAAGGACGAGAAAGAGTTGTTGCATTTTAAACTTGTGATACAGGATGAGAAAGAGTTGTTGCATTTTTAAACTTGTGATAAAGGATGAGAAAGAGTTGTTGCATTTTAAACTTGTGATACAGGATGAGAAAGAGTTGTTGCATTTTCAAACTTGTGATAAAGGATGAGAAAGAGTTGTTGCATTTTCAAACTTGTGATAAAGGATGAGAGAGAGTTGTTGCATTTTTAAACTTGTGATACAGGATGAGAAAGAGTTGTGACAATCCCTAAATAATTTTGTTTTCATTTCTGTGCTTCCAAATTTATTCTCCCATAAGAGTTTTGAAATCAAGTTCTTATTGTAAACACACATTCACACTCTTGATATCATCATTTTGCTTACAGCTATCATAATTCTCCCCCTTCTTTTCCCTCTCTGTCTGTCTCTCTCTCATTCTTTCTATTTTTCGTTATTCTATGTTGGTGTCTTTACTGTGTGTCTCCTGCCTTCTTTATTTTTATACCACTTTCTGGCTGGTATTTATGAATTGCTTCCATTAATTATCATCAGGATGGCTACTGGAAATGAAAGGGCAAGTCATAGTAAAAATACTTTGAACCTCCTGTGAGAAAGAAAACAGTATGGGAATTAAGTATAAAGCAAGTTCATAATGTGGTTACAAATAATTGCCCAGATGTATACAAAACAAGATAGGTGACAAGCAGTGTTATGTAAGGGGGAACAAAAAGACTCCGGGTCCACCATGAATAGGCATTGTCTAGTGCAGGTGTCTCGGCACTATGTTGCAGTTCACTTAATCTGTCCAATTACAACTCTATACATTTACAACATAATAACTTTTGAAAGACTTAAGTCCACACATTGAAACCTCAGAAACATAATGAACAGACTATGTTTGACCATCAGGCCAAATTTCAGCCTAATCTGAAAATCTCTTCATAGTGGTTGCTATGGCCTTTTGATTCACCCTTCTATTGATTTCCCTGTGGTTTGCTTGCTCCGCATGCTTGAATAGCCCCAAACTTTAAAGCTCTCTTTCTCACAATTTAATACCAGTAACCTCCCTCACCAGCTCTTTTCATTCACTAAATTGAAAGGGTTAGGAAGCTTCAATTTGGACAAGTAATATACCATTTTAATGAGGAGAACTTCTTCTTTCATAATCAGATGAAATCAGGAAAATAATTTTTTGCGACTTTTTGTTGGTTTTGTGGTGCCGGGTCACATATGTTGTTCAGGATCTAGTACTCTTGCACCCCCAATTGGATACAGTTTATAATATACATAGGGTTCAAAATATCTAATCAGTGACAGTCTTGTTGCTTTTTCTCCCTATTATTTGTTATCATCCTCTTGTTTAATATTGCATCCTCAACAATCTGAACTTTTGGTTACCTTACTAAATTCTTGACTATAGTTCTCCTGAAATTTCATTAATTTTGTATCGAGTAGAAGAATTGAACAGAAGATCGCTTACTGATGTTCAAAATACTAAATTTTTCTGTTCAATTGCAAGGAATTTACTACCGTAATTAACGGTGTATAAACCGCACCTTTTTGCCGCCGAAAAAAAATCAAAGTAGGGGGTGCGGTTTATACACGGTACACCAATTTTTTTTCTTCCCAGCTCAGTAATCGGTGTGTTATGACTCACCACTCGGAAACTAAAACAACACTCAAATTTGTCTGTCATCTTGGTTTGAAATTAATCTTTCTGATAGATCTCAATATGTAGTTTATAATAATAATTCCTCCAATTTTTCTTCTATTACATGGTGTACCACAAGGTCCTATCCTAGGTCCTCTACTGTTTTTTTAATTTACATTAATGATCTTACACATTCAGCTGCACCTCGCAGTTAAATGAAAGGCCTTCCCGCGTGGGTTTTTTTAACACGGACCCGGCAAAAAAAGTCGGCAAAAAAGCAACAAAAAAAATAATTTAAAGGGTGAAAAAGAGGGGTGCGGTTAATACACGAGGGCGGTTTATACAACGTTAATTACGGTAATCCAATATTCAGTCCGCCATCACCTGTGGGAAGCGAGGTGCCTCCATATATTTTTGTATCATAAGTAAAGTATTTTGATGAATAATTAAAATCATTTGTTTCTTTTCTTTCTTTTACATTTAGGAACAGGATGGTTAATATTCATCCAGTGGCCTCTGCCCCCCCCCCCCTCCCCCCTCGTGACAATATGTCCATACGCCAATAATGGGTAAAATGTACTAGAGAATGTGTATTAGTGGATTAGAAATGGGAGTCTACAGCTTATTTGTTTCACTCACTCACTTTAACAGTTGATAGTTTGGACAGGGGAGGGGGGAGGTGCTACTGTAAGGCCCAGGTGCAATAATTACCTAGATATGCCATTGCACAATTTCGACAGAATTCATTCTCTATTTTTTGTGTGTCGTGTTTTACACCCATAGTAAGCCTCAACTTAAAAAAAGGTTGAGGAGCTGTTCTAGAGTACACAATCCATAGCAAGAGTCTCCACTATTTCCCCAATTTGTACAAAAGCACCCACCTTGCTTCTAAAGTACACCATCCACAGTAAGGGTCTCCATCATTTCCTCCATTGCCTCCAATGCATTCATTACAGGTCTGGTATTGGGTACAGTTTGTCAAATCCAATGTCAGGATCTACATTTTGTTTGTACAGGTACAACATGAAGATCAAGTTATTTCCTTTACCGGTATGTTGATGATGCTGATACACATATCTATGCTCACCATGTATTGTTTTGTATTTGGTAGAATAAGGAGACCTTTAAACGGACCAACAACAAAAAATATTATTTCAAAACATATCAGTTATCCTCCAGGGCTATATGAGACAGTTAACAATTGAAAATCTAGTGCAAAAAGGGGGGGGGGGAGATTTATATCATAAGAAGGACCAGACAGAACTTATGAGTTCATTTGCATCCACATCAAATTCAAAGCAAGCGCAACAACTTGTCTGCCAACAAGTGCCTTCCCTGTTTTTGTGCACTCAAACTTGCAATATTTATTTACATATCACAGAACTCAGAGTATACAGAGCAAAATAATTTCTCCCTTTTAAATATGTGAATCATTATGTAAGTAGCTATGGTCGAGCACCTTATTATCATGATAGCATACAATCATTAAATTTCAAGTTATGAAACATGGAGAAAGAGTAGAAAAGTCAGAAAAAATCTGCAAACAGAGAGAATACATGTACTTTTTTCTGATTAAAAGATAAATCAGGACATTCAAGTATAAGTCAGTTAATATGTTGTATACAAATTAATCATAATCTGAATCACAGATTGGCATTAAAGTGCTACACTGACAATTTAACACTTCAATCCTTTACCTGGGTAGAAAGAGCAGTTTAATTTCAGTGACAAGGTTGATCAATTGAATTATAGCCTGGCAATTGTGTACCAGGCCAGAAACCGGCATACATGTACATGTACACAAATATACACAGAATTCTATACATTATGATTATATGTGTGTAATAACCAATTTGCATAAAGTACATGGATTGGTCAGTGGCTGTTCTAGAGGGGGCTTGGGGCTCAGGTCCCCCCCCCCCAAAAAAAAAAATAAATAAATAAAAAATAAAACCCCCCAAAATTTTCAATTTTTAATTTAAGCACGGTACATGTATGCTGATGTGTAGAAAATGAATAAAAGAACCCTAAGCCACTCCCCCACTAATTTATCAAGAACCTTGGCACTAGCATACTCACACATTGATACTTGCATAACCTACCTGTGAGCCTTGGTCTGAACTTGTGGCCAATGTTATCTGCTCTGAAGATTCATCAAGAAACGTGTCTTGTAAAACAGATCCACTTCCAACAGGGACAGTCTCATAGACGTAGCCATATGAGCTATTCACAATATTAACCTGGCAAAACAAGCAAATTAGAATGATAAAAAATATCAATAAGCGAGTTCGTAAATAGCTCTGGACCGCATGACCCCAAAATATCCACAGATCTTAGACACGATGGATACTTCCCACCTGTGCATTTTAGAATATTAACTGCCAAAGTGATGGAGGTGCTTCATGAATACCTTTTGTTTGCCTCTTGAGAAGAATACTTCCACCTTTGTATCAGATAAATGTACTGTTGGTGCATAAATGAATACTGATTACATAACTTTCATGAGCACGATCCGAGTATTCGTCTCAATGGTTTTACAATTTGGGTCCGAATGACCGTCATCTGCCCATGCGCAAATCCTAATCACAAACTCGCTTATTAAAACAATATTCTACAAGTGTGCATGCCCATACATCAAGAAAATAATCATATAACAATTATTTTCTTGGGCAGGTCCAAGCTATTTGCTTTGTGACGTACGGGACATTCAGAGACTTTAAACAAGAAATAACAATGGATGACATTATTTATATGGCTATCTTTTGGTATGAGTCTGTGGCTATTATGGGCTAGTTCATTTGTGGAAAGTTTTAGTTCTGATCAATTCATAAATTAATTTTTAATGTAATTAATGTGCTGCCTGACGTACGGGACCAGAGAATTTCTGACTTTTTCAAAAATAAGTTCATCATAAAAGTTCTCTGAATTTATTAAGTTATGAGATTTATGGTAATGATATCTTAATTCATTATGGAATCAAGCATTAATCACAACTATTACCATATTTTTCTGACCTTTCGTTGTTATGTAATATACCAAAACATAAATGTGTGTATGTGACGTACGGGACACGTGACATACGGGACTATGGGAAAATGCATTGAAATGAAGAATTTTCGTCAAAATTGGTTAAATGTGAACAATTTTAACTTAAATCAGTGACAATTAGAGTGTTTTAGAACCCAGTTAGATCCTCTGACCATCACTTAATATCTTCTGTGTTAATTTATGGGGTAAATCAACATAAATATTACTTTAACAAAGAAAACAAATTGAATTAATATATTCATACACACTATATTACCATTTTTATTCCATTTACCCATCTTTCATGTGCAGTCATGCTTCTTTTCTCATTTCTTTTATCCATTCCATTCAACATTGCAAAATTTGTTTAAATAATAATTAATGAAGAAGATGAACTTGAACTTGAAAACTTTTATTTAAACTTGTTTGAAACACAGGGGCACACTCGGCACATCATATTTTGTCAAAGAACATTTCTTATGCTCTAAGTGTTTGTGAACAAAGATACATTAAAACTATGAAGTCTTTTCTTCATAGCTTGTTTGAATTACTTGATAGTAATATCATAGAATTTTGAAGGAATTCAAAGATAATGCTGAACATATTGTCTTTTTTAAATCCTTTTATCACAGATTAGAACATGTATATGTTGCTGTCATATATTCAATAATTTTGATGTACATTAATGTAGCCTACATGTTTGTGAAAGATGGATACAAAAATATAAATCTTGAATGTATTTTGTATTGATTAAAGACATCTTATTAAACACCACCAGATATAAGAAATTAAAACCCTAAAGGTTTGTGTGACCTTGTCCACAATTAAAAAGATTAAAGCAAAATCAACAAAAATGCATGGGTGTAAAAGTGATAAAAATCTTAAGTGGGTGAGAGTGTGAGATACTCAAAAAGGCTATCATTCCTTGTTATGATTTAGTTTTTAGGAGATCAAAATTCCCAAGCTGGCTCCATAACATGTACAGTGTATGCTGTAATCCTTTACCATCATATATGACATTTAAATAGAATATAAAAAAAAACTCACATGGAGAGCTTGATAGCATCATGTGCTAAGATTCTTTAACCTGCAGCATCTATGAGTTGTAAAAGCCAGCTTCTGATGCATCTACTACCATATAATTTCATTAGACTCATTCCAGGAACTAGTACACTATTATGATTTACATATTTAGCATCCTGCCCATGTTGGGGACATCAACTGGCAAAATACCAAAGTTGATAATACCAGGGGTCTGGCTTGAAGACTAATTACATCAAATTCAGTACAAACAAGTAAATTCCTAGAAGGGACCCAGTTTGGAATGTATATATCCCTGTATACAACAAGTTTCCTAACACAGTATATATTCTCCTTTTGGTCATTTCCTTGTTCACATCTTGCATTGGTTTTATATGGGGTTGTCCCGTACGTCACACACTTGTCCCGTACGTCACATTTCTTAATTTGATTATGTAATCAACACAGAATTTTTGTAATTTTTGTTAAACCTATTTTTTGTTAGGTATTCATCTAAATTAGAACTTCCTAGAATATCTTTAAAAAAAAAAAATATTTTCATAATTAAAATTAAACAAATTATGATCAAATTGTGACGTACGGGACATCACACTTTGGAACCTACCTCATTTGCATAATTAATTAATTTTGAAAGTTTTTATATTTTTTTCCTATTTTCTAGTATGATGGTCTACAATTCCTGGGATATTTAATTTTAAACAAATAATTCAAACGAAATACAAAAATAATAATGTTATGTCCCGTACGTCACGCTAATTAATAAAAATCGAAGTTCGTGACCTTGGCACTCTTCGTATTTTGATAATTTTTTTTTTTTTTATCAGATTCATAAAATTCATAGTTTCAGCTTTAAAATGAGGTATAGTTTGTTAAATATATATAAAGATGAAATTTGACCCCCAGAGGGGACAATAGCTTGGACCTGCCCTCTTATCAAAATTCTGTACCGTATTATGCTGGATAAAAAAGGTTAAAAAAGGGTAAATAAATTTGTAAATTTTTACAACTAAAACACAATGTTGTACGTAGTCTATCAATCAACTTAATATCTATTGATAAACAATCAATCCTCGAGGTCTCTTCTAGGTAGTCTTGTCCCGCTATTACTCCGATGAGGATCACAGGAGTGTCTTGAAAGAAGAGTGCCTACATATGCATCCATCTTCATGATGTTGGATGGTATTTTGACCCATTTCAGGTCCCTCCTGTAGTCCCCAATTAGAGCTGGACAATACTAGCCAGAATGTGAGAGACTTTTAATAATACCTGATCTTTTAGATATCGGTAGTTAAATACAAAAGAGGTTCTAAAACGTAGGTAATCTTATTGGTCAAATGACCACCTGACCGTGTATCATTCCTTCTTACCCAGCCTACTGTGCAAAACAGTTCCCATCAAAAAGTGATAACCCACTGCTAAAAGTAATAATGCAAAGCTGGGATGCGGGTATATATATATATATATATATATATATATATATATATATCACTGATGCGCACAAAATTGAGATGTGATGAAATGCATGTAGTTACAAAGGGCAAGGACATCGATGCCCACACTGAGATGCATTTTATGACTATTTGGCTGCGGTTATGTACTGTGATGTCTGTCAAAGCAAATGGTGCCAACCCTTCCCCCCACCCCCCCCCCCCCCCCCCCCCATCCAACTGTGCACTTTGTGACATTTTGATCTGGTTTGTTAACCGTAATATTCATATTGAAGAGAAAAAACAAATAAGCTCATGCATTAGTGATGCACAGAAATGGGTTAAATCACAATTAGCCAGCTAAAGTCTCTTTCACTATTCTATTGTGACCAAACCTGCCTGCAGTACATTCACCATTGTACTCATAACCATGAATTACTTGTATATTAGGTTGTTTCATAGACTACAATGTGTTTTTGCAGTAAGCCTGATAAATTATGTTTCTTTTTTTAATCCAGCAAAAAAGGTAATTTTGTGAGGGAAATTAATGAATACAAAGTTAGATGTAAATGTACATGTAAGCACTAGCTATTACCTTTGGAATTTAAGTCTATATTACAGTACCGGTATATTGTTTTGTGTTAATTGCTCTAGATAATATTTCACTCCTTGTGCCATTTCATCTTATTGTGTTCTCTTTTGTAATTGAGAAGCCAGCTTCTCCTCTTTAAATGTACTCAGTAAAAGGGTAGTGAAAATATTACCTGTGTTCAGATACTTTTCATATTCCCAATCCTATGTAAAGTCAAAACATGGTCTCCTAAATAAAGTTAGAGTGTTGTTATCTGTCCAGTTAATACCTTATCTTTATCCTTCACCTGTATGCATGTGTACACTAACCTTATGTATGTTTCCTTGTGTATCTCCCATGAATGCCACAGTATGTTGTCTCTCTATGGTTGTCACTATGGAGGTGCATGTCACATCAGGAATGGTGATGATGGGTGAGGCAGAGAGGGGAACTGTACCACTGGCATACTGGTATTGAGTCGCAGGAGGTTCATCCCCATCTCTAAAATAAGCTGTACACTGTGCTGTATCTGGTAAAGTGTATGTGTCAGGAAACTGCCAAAAGAACATAAGGAGAGATAATGGCAATTAAAGTGTTACAATGGAGTTTGAAAGATACAAATATTAACTGATGTGTCAGTTTGGAAGAAAGGGTAACCATAAGAGAAGCATTACTCTTCTTCGTAATAGGCTGTACACTGGACTTTAACATCTAGAAAGAAAGCTTGAAATACTGGCCCGCTGTCTTCCTCTGGTAGGTGAGGTGGAGGTTTATGTACCATATCAAGAAAAGTGGTGCTGGGTTAGGCAGAGAGGGGAAGCATTCCACTAGCATACTGGTAGAGATCCATATCAAGCCATCATCTTCATCATAAGCTGTACACTGGACTGAGTCTATCTTGTGAAGTGAATTAAAGCAAACTGACAGAAAAATGGAGAATATTCATAACATAACATTTCATAGCACATAAACTTTATTATCATCTCCATTGAGAGTCATCATCAGTAGTGATGATGGATGAGGGAAAGAGAGAAAATATTCCACTAGCAGATATACCAGTTAAAATGTACCAATCAATGTAATCTTCTATGTAATGTAGTATTTGCAAGATATTATTTTGTTGTATACAACAAGTCAATATAAGCAAGCGATGAATGCCTGGATTAAAAATGTCTGTGTCAATATCATGCAGGAAAAAATTTGTATGCAAATAAATTGCCTGATCTAGTCAGATGTGCACTGATCAGAGCCTGGCAGAGGAAAAGCTTCAGGATTTGGCCCCAAATACTGGTAAAAAATAGGTTTTACACTTTCTCATTCAGCTTGCAACAGAGAGAAATCTTTCTTCTGATTTGAAACCAAGAAAAAAATAAAACAGATTTGATTTGCATATAAAATGAAATTGAATTAAATCTTACTTGTAAAACAATTCATTTGGTAATCCATCTCTTGAAAATGTAAGGTTGAGTGTTACCCTTTCTCATTTCAGAATGATATTTTTCATTTCATGTACAAGTTTAATTCATGAACATCTCATAATAATACTACACAATTTACTACAATTATAACTTTCAGTCAATATTCTATTCTTAAAAAACAAGAAATCAATATCCTGTTCCATCTTGCATCTACACAAGTACAGTGTACATATATATATATGTACACCCGTATATTCAGGTATGTCATCTCAACTACAGTGTGGATCTCACAATGTGATCCAGTCTGCTCATGTTGGACCAGCAAGATCCCATCTAGCTTAATCATTCAGTATTGAGAGTACTGATGGCCTTTTGACTCTCTAAGAGTCTAAAAACTGGGATCCCGCTGGTCGGATATGAGCAGACTGGATCACATTGTGAGATCCACTCTGTAGTAAGATGTGGTTCATGTATGTAATTTTGACTTGATGTTGAGAGAATGGGCTTGATGGGGTTACCATGTTTAGATCATGTCAGGTCAGATCAGATCAGATTAAATCAAATCAATTTAAAATAAATAATCATTTACAATTACAAGAAATCATATAAAAGCAAAGCAAATCAAATAAACCCAACTCAACTCAACTCAATCGAAGTACAATTAGGTGTGCACATCCAAGAACTATAGCAAACTCTGATGATCATGTTAATACATATGCAGATACCTTTTAATTGAATTGACTTACTGATTTACAAAAGCTGTAGTCTCCAAAGTAGTCGTTTGTTGTTCCTAACTCGTTATTGTCTCCCTGGATACATCCCAAGACAGCATCTTCGAACCTCTGCTGGACATCACTCATCTTATAGAAACAAAGGGCAGATGAACTCCCACTTGTGAATATAGCATACAGAAGGTCATCAGTACTCTCTATATTCAAAGAGTCACCTAACTGGGATCCTGCTGGTCCGATATGAGCAGACTGGATCACATTGTCAGATTCACACTGTAGTTCTATCTCTGTGTAGGATGCAAATCTTAAGTCTAATGAATTACGACACAGTCGCCCCAAGTATACAGAATCTCCCCTTGAGATGAAATAGTAGAGATATTCCATATAAGCGATCAAATGATTAATGTTCTGTGGGATAAGGGTTTGAGGTGGTAATACATTTTGTACAGTTGACAGGTCTACAAAGCTGTACTTTGAGACGGATGGAAAACTCAATGTTACATCACTGATCCCTGTGAATAAGTACAATCCATCATCTAGAGTACTCTCGCCATTCGGTACATAGTCAGCACCTAAAACAACAGCTCCAACAGTGGGTGCATCTGATGTAACTGTCACAACAAGCTGACCACTGGAAGTCTCATATCTCACTACATCATGTGATATGTTAGTCAGACTTCTTGTCTCACAGTAACCATCACAGCTGCCACATGTGATGAGCTTGTCCTCAGGTGATGGAGCTACCAGAAGAAGTTTATTGTTGTTTGTATTTCCATTTGGTGAAGGGCATTGTCCAGTATCCACAGTGTGTTTGAGAGTCAGGTCTGAGTTGAGTTGATAGAGTCTCTGCCGGGCTCCTATATATACCTCTCCAGTGATGTTGTTGATGGTGATGTGGTTGAATGGTAGGGTGGGGTCAGGACTGGTAAAGCGTGATACCAGGTAGGAGGAGAGGGGAGCTGAGTAGATGGTCTGGGTCAGGCAGATGAAGAGAACAGTGAGAACAGGCAGCAACCCTCTTATCTTTAAGAAGTACACCCCAGCCATGATTGATGAAGTTTCCAGGAGAGATACTTCTGTTCTGTCAGAGTAAAAAGCAAGAAATAACTGTCAAGGCAGATGTGAATGTAATATGTGCATTTTGTCACTACAGGTGTAAACATGTTCATATAACGACTACTGAAAGCCTTTATAACAGGTATTTGTATAGCTAAGATATGAAAACAAAATTTTATTAGCCATATACAAAAAACCAGGTCAAACAATATATCCCATGTATGAAAACAATATACATCTAGTTCTGTAACAGGATTCAACCAGAACGTCAAATGACGTAGCGCTCATCCGCATCTCACAACAAATATCGTAAATTTTATGTGGTACACTTTTGAACGGGTCAAAAAATAAAAATTTGATGCCCTGAAAGGGACATAATTAAATAGAAACTAAAGGAAATGTAAATAGAAACTAAAGGAAATGGAATTTTTGTTATTTTTGGAATAAATTTGCATAAATTATCATAATTAATTAATGGAGCAAAATCTCAAAATTCTGTGTAGATGTTTAGTGTTCCAAATTTAGCTCTACCAGATAAGGCAAACCAAATCAAAATCGAATAAGAAATGAGGGAGAAGAAGCAATTTTTGTTATTTTTGGAATAAATTTCCATAAATTACCATAATTAATTAATGGAGAACAATTTCAAAATTCTGCGTAAAGGTATAGTGTACCAAAATTAGCTCTATAATATAAAACAAATCAAATCAAAATTGGTCAAAATATGAAGGAGAAGAAACATATGTAATGATTTTTTTTATTATTTTTGGAATAAATTTGCATAGATTACCATAATTAATTGATGGAGAACAACAATTTCAAAATTCTATGTGAAAGTTTAGTGTTTCAAAGTTAGCTCTACCAGATAAAGCAAACCATATCAAAATCGGTCGAGAAATGAAGGAGAAGAAGCATTTTTTGTGATTTCGAATAAATTTGCATAAATTAGCATAGATAATGTTTTCACGATTCTGTGTAGACATTTTAAATCCCCCTCCTCCCCCATTTTGCCCCGACCCCCAACATAACAAAATCTTCCATTAGGGCATGCCTTGAACCACAATGCATGGCCCTACAGAGGAATTTTTCCTGTTGGGGACTGGGGGAAAATGCAATAAATTATTGAAAATTTATTGCATTTTCTTTGTTTTTTTTGTTTTTGTGGGGGCGTCGACGTACCCTAGTGCCCGCTGCGTACAGTCATGATTCATTGGCTAAGCAATGGCCTCGTTACTGTGAGCCCCCAGGATCAAAACCGTGTCGATGTGCTAAATTATGAGGCATTAAGCCCCATTATTGTCAGTTATGACTTAAGGACGTAGGTCCCCTAGTTGATTAGCATAGTAGCACACACATGCTTTAGCAGTCACGCAAAACAAACACTCCCCAATTGTCATTCAATAAAATCTGAGAATGTTTACTATTATCTAGATCTATTAGGAATAAATCATTGTCAAAATCATTCAATAAATTGGGGTAAAAATAATTATTCCACCATTATGACCAACAGTGTATATATATATTCAAAATTCAAATTCAAAGTTTTATTCAATACTCTTCATAAAAACATTTAAAACATACAAATACAGAATGGAGTTATAAATATAAAAAGACACAAGAAAGTGATAACAAATACAATGGCAATTTATAAGAGCATTTGGGATAGGCAGAAAGGAGGGAAGTTCCTTATATAAAAGCATACCCCTAAAAACACACATACAGGAAAACGAGAACAAAAGAACAGAACAAAAGAACAGAACAAAAAAACAAAGAACATATTAAAACTTACTATCATATATATATATATATATATAAACAATAATCCTTCATCACTACAACCAATATTTTTCAAAGTACATACTTCAATCATTTCTAACACACCAGGGTTTCCAAGTTTATCAATTAGACTACAATATAACATACACTGTACATGTATGTAACACGTCATACAGCATGCAGAATGTATATCATACTTTATACATGATTTTATTCGAACACGCATGTAAAAAAGAAAAATCAGTTACTTCAATAACATATCTTAATACAAGACATTTACAATCAATAAATCAATACACTTTTGTCAACATCATGTATAAATTAGTTTTGCCCAGCCCAAAGCATGAAAGTAGGTATAGTCATTGTTTTATCTTATCTCTAAAAATAATTATGATGAAACTATATGTATTACAAACGCAATGACATAGCATTAAAAGTCATTGCAGTAATGTATGGCAGGATTTAAGTGTGTCTGTATAGCGCTTTAAGAAACATTAAGCACAATATAATTCCAGAATACTAGTTTGTGTTATTGATGATGAATATTTAAAACTCACCAATATAGTTTCACTCTCTTGTCTCTTTCTCTGTCCTTCTGCTGTTCAAAATCACCTGATGAAGACATGAGGGGGAAAAAGTAAATGTTGCATTTTAGAAGCTTAATTTATATAGAAGGGTTATCAGGGTGTAATTACAGTATGGAGCACGTACATGTACTCCAATATGTAACATCACACAGTCACAGGCTAAGCTACAAGTACAATGCCAACTTTGTGGAAATAAATCTATGAACAGATCTATTGATATGCATGATATCACTCATGATTGTCAAATATAGAAAAAGGAACTATACAAAGCCAACTAACTGGAATAGAGCAAGTTTCATGAACTATGACTTTTCTGTTTCTACTTTACTATTTGCCCTATATGCAGTCAGGAGGGGTTCTATTTCACAGGGTGACTCCTGAAACAATAGTTAAAGGTACTATGTCCCTTTTGCAGCCAACCTCAAATTATGTAGAACTTTGCAGGAATTATGAATATGTCATGTATGTCCTATCTGTGAAATTTAAACGTTAGCAGTGTCCTCATATTCAAATTATGCAAGGAGACCCGTTTACTTGCTAGACTTCACTGTCAGACACTATTCAGTGACTGACTGGCTTTTTTCTTCTTTGGTAATAACATACATGAAAAGAGTTGTAAAGGGTACATGAGCATTTGTCTACATCAATAACCCACTTCTTGTGATGGCCAAGATTAAACTGATTGAATCTTTGCGCAGCATAAAACGTATGAGCATTCGGTACAATTGTCTGAAAATCAAGACTATTACTTTTGGGCTCTATAGCCCTAAAGTCGATTTGTCAACTAATAGTCGTTATTTTCCCACTTGAAGACATTTTCAAGCCCCACCTTTTTTAGGGAAGTTCTAAATAAGTATTATCTTTCAAATGCAGTTGGAATTTCATTTTTTCATTTTTTTGGCCTGCAAATGGGACATAGTACCTTTAAGTTAAGTCTCAGCTATTTTGTCCCATACCACAGGTCACATCACCACTAAGAATCCAGTATATTTGGGGGTGTTTCATCAAGCCTTTATTTTTTTATTTTTTTTAAATCAAAATTAATTTTAGTTGATGAAACACCCCCTGGTGACTTTATCAAGCTGATAGTTCAACCAGTGCTCGAATTATACTAAAGTCCACTTTAATAACTCCAATTAACATGATGTTACTGACAACTTAATTACGTTGACATTTCCATAGTACCATTCATTGTACTTGGTTACATATTGGGCATTAATAGTAACGTTTAGGGTATACCTTGGATTTTCCCATCAAGAAATGTTGGTATACATGTATGAATTCAAGAGCAGTAGTATACAGTAAAGTTTATGCCATAAGAAATTTCAAAAATGTGTAGTAAATGATATGTCAAATTTCAAATTTGTAATTGAATATATTGACTACTGAATGAGAGTCCCAAAATGTTTGCTCAGTTGCTTTACTCGTTCGCAAATAGCCTACCATTATTATCTGTCACCATACTTCTAATGACGACATCAAACAAAAGAAAAAAAAGTTTAAAAAAACATTCATAGTGTGAATAACACTTGTAAGTAGGAGGGAAGAGGTATTTGAGAAATATAATACTACAATGTATGTGGCTGGCAAAGAAATTTCAAAAACATTTCTTAGTTTCATAGTTTTTCATACTTTAAACAAATCATAACTTCCTTATTAGTCATCCGAATTTTGCTCTGTTTCTTTTGTTTTTCTGCATCTAAAGAAAGAAAATATTTTTTGGAGTGAGCTTAGCCTTTAAGTATCTTCACTGATGATGGTTAATATCTCATTAATTAAGTGCTGAATGATCAAAAGAAAGTTCAATATATCATAAAGTACTGTGGCCTAATTTTCACTACATATTGTATGCACTGAGGGTTAAACAAATACTGAAAGAAGCTTTTCATCAAGAATGGTGCAGTTCCTTTTTCTCCCCCCCCCCCCCCACCCCCAAGACCCCCTTACATTCATGATATTCAAAAAGGAAGTCCAATCCTACATTTAATTTTATTCATGTTGATAAAGTAATAGATTTGTTTCATACAGGGTCAGGTGGTGTGTAAAAACATATATATAATGGTTATATCTCGGGTGCAAGTATGAATAAATATAGTCCTTCTAAAGAAATATTAGAAATTTCTGGATTTCTTTTCAATAAGGAAAGGGGTCAGGTCCTCAAAAGATGGGTCAGGTCCTCAAAAGATACTTCATATAGCTGCTTCTATTAAATCTAATATTCATACCAGTTTTATTAGACTCTCGTTTAACTAGTTTGGTGTTAGTTGACATTTGAACTCCTCAAACTTTGAAAAGGAGTACGCTGTTGCACTTGGACATAGTAATAACTATGTGCTAAATGAGTGCGCATTTAGGATAATCTACCTTACAATATCTTTCATCATATTCTATACAGAGTTATAAATCTTCTTCATGTCACAATGCACAAGACCATGCGTATGTATGAGTCAAAGTGCTTCAATAGACTCATTTTAAATCACATTTTCTCAAAAGTAAATTTAGTTGGGTTGAACCTTCTCTCTCTTATAAATTTGACTGAGTGAGGAAGATCCAATTCTGGTGGTCTTGTTTTCATTAAAGATGAAGTTGAGTTCTGGTCATGCGATTGCATTGTGAAAGAAACAGTGTGGAATCGACCACAAAAGGTTGATCATCTAGCATATAAGAATTTGTGTGTATTGCAAGGTACTGGAATCATCAAAATTATAAGAAATTTGGCCAAGTCTTGGTAAAGTTACAAACACTGTACACAGAAAGATGTATATGGAACTACACCAACATGTAGCGTAAAAATCCTACCCGGATTTTAACGATGTTACATGACATATTTAGAATATGAAGGCATTTGAAGAGCCGTGCTTTTCAGGGAACATGTCTTATCTGATGTTCTTCCACACTTGCATAATAAGAATGATAACGTTCACAAATTATTTTTCACCTCTTCCCAGAACTCAACCTTCTCTTTAAAGCTGACAATCTCTTGATTTGGAATCGGCTCTAAATACTTAAAGCATATCTGGTGACTATTTATTTTGTGGTGCCACAAATGCAATACAGGGTGCATACATAAAATATGTATGTTTTATAACACAGCGCAATCACACTCATATTTAAATTAAATATTACACAACTTGAAAAGACAAGTCACTGTGCTGTGGATTCATTGGTAGGCTGGCAGCAATTCAAAAAATTACAAATGTCGCCTCTTTATATATAAACACTTCTGTGTGCTACCCCCCCCCCCCCCCCTCAAAAAAGCAATTAAGGAGCTTCATATAGTTCCAAGCCTTAGCTACATGTATTAGTAGGAGGAACACTAGCTTATACTCACAGAATATATATTAACTTGAGTCATGAAATGAAAACACTGATCCCACTAGTTAGTGCAGTAGGCCCATAATTATCAAGCATCTCTAAAGACATACAAATGTAGTGTGCACATATATCATGGATTTAGGTTCCAAAGGTCTCATGAACAAATACAAAATGTAGACAGTTTAAAAACTTGTTGACACCCCTCATCTACTCCTCATACATGTAGTACCTTCTTATCACCAGGAACCAACAGAGCACTGTAAGACAAGAAGGGATTTCCCCTGATGTCATCCTGCAGGAACTAGTAGAGAATGGTATAGACTACATGTACATGGCTTTATGCACTGCAGTACTCTGCATTGTATCTGCCGTGGTGCAGAATACTTTGAAAAGAATTCTTTTTCAACTGAGTCACGACTCGCCCATTCACTCAGACAACAAAAGACTCAAGTTACATCAATAGCGATTAAATCAATGGTCAAGGGGATTTCCCACCCCCACACATGTAATATGTATGGATGTATGGGAGTGTCCTGCTCTGATTGTATCACTCTCCAAAATACAACCAGCAGTGCATGCTAACCTGCGACCAAACATATTTGAAAAGTCATGATATATATTGACTTACCTACATGTACAATCCTTACAGTGTAAACCTGTGCATGAAGAAGATTTCACTACAGGCAAATGAGTTCTTACGTTGAGCATTGAGCTAGTACAAATTCACCCTAGCTCGCCGATGACCACAAATCGTCTGCTAGAGAATGGTAGTCTGTGAGTCAACACACTGACTGGGTGATTCCATCACAATCATATCAATTTTGAACGATATACTTCCTCATATCGACCAATCCATTATATTATGGGACAGTAAGTTTCATAAAGCAATTGAGATTAAATTAAAATATATTAATCATACAATCTATAAATTGCCATTTTAATGTTTTCTACCAACATTAAAGAAACAAACTCAATGGTAAACAGGAAGGCGAGGCCCATGAAACATGGAAGGTGATAACAACTTTGAAAAATAATATTGAGCCTCTATAGCTACCTACTTGTAAATAGAATGGTCTGAAAATGTGAACTTTGTGTTATCAAACAAAACAAAGTTTCTGTAATTCGTACAGTGTGAAGTGTACGTGGTAACAGGCTGGAATTGCCACCTAAAGATCCTGTTTCAGAGTGTTTATGTCTACATGTATTATTGCAGAACAGTGCAAAGTACAAAAAACATATTCTGCATCAAAATAATACTTAAACAATACTGACATGATATTTAGGATAATGTCTCTACTACATGTACATGTAGTACCTTGAATAACCTTTAAGGGCCCATGACAACCAAATACAAGTGTATTCCTGTTGGAGTGCAGTCCTGCATACATCTCATATTTTGATATGTTAACTTCTGAATTAGTTTCATAGATTATTAAATATTTTGTTAAATATTTGTTTTTCAAACTTAAAGCTCCACCCCAAAAACCTCCAGATCTCATTCCCCTTGTGACATCATCTGTCAGTCATCAATGAGCTAACTTGAGAAAGTAGTATGTATCTTTGCCGAAGTCGACCACCTGTTACAATACGTAATACACTAGCAACATACAAGTTGCTATGTTAGACATGCTGTAGCATCACCAGGAAGACAAAGGCAATGATGATGTATTGTACATATGTATGTATAAGCATGCAATTCTATTATGAACGTGTGCTAAGCTGGGGGAAATTTAATACATACCATTGTCTATTCTAGAATATTAGTTTAGTCTGACATGTCTGACATAGTATAGTATTAATGACTGCTTTGAGAGAAATAGTTGTTTTTATACGCTCAAGGGAAGGTTAGAATTGCTATTACCTGAGGCGTGCCGAGGGCAAAAGCCCAATTGTAACCTTCCCGGGAGCGTATAAAAACAACTATTTCTCAAATATTAAAGCAATCATTAATACTTTTATATGCCAAAAAAAAATAGACTAAAAAATAAAAAATAAAAAAACTTTTGTCGAAGATGGGATTCGATCTCTTGCGTACAAAAGGTGATGTAACTAAAATCACCGCCTTAAACCGCTCGGCTATCACGCTCTGTTACCATACATAGCAGTTTTTTCTTATATATACATTAAAATGGATTGAAAACGGCTTCGCAGCTGCTCCATTAAACAGGCCCTTCTTTTACTTTTGCAATGCATATTGGCACGAATTTAGATCAAGATCTATCGGCAGATGTTGTTTTTTTTGTTTTTGGAAGTTTATTTTCGTCTTCATGTCAACAATGCAAGATAAAATTGTCGGTAAGATCGATCATGATTCAATTGTATTGAAATTACCGACCAATTCTTCGCACACGTACGGTATCCTCGATCGCTCAGACCATTTTTTAACATGTAAACCTATGGGGTAACCATGGAGACTGAACTATTTTTCCAATAACCATGATTACTGGGATTATAGAACTGTTTTAACCATGGTTACTGGGAATTTTACAGAAATAGTTGAAGTTTATGAATGCAATTTCGACCAATCAGATGGCTGGATTTCTTAAGTGAGGTATATAACAACTTATATGTTGCTATTGTTTGTGGTAATGTAACAGGTGGTCAACTTTGGCAAAGTTACATGCCACTTTCTCAAGTTAGCTCATTGATGACTGACAGATGATGTCACAAGAGAATGAGATCTGGATGTTTTGCGGGTGGAGCTTAGCAAGTTAGAAAAACAAATATTTAAAAAAATATTCAAAAATCTATGAAACAAATTGAGAAGTTTACAAATCAAAATATGAGATGTATGCAGAAGTAACAGGAATACACTCGTATTTCAATGGCATGGGCCCTTTAATATTATCTAAAAATATCATTTAGATATTTCATTTTACAACTGTTTATTCACCATTGAGCCTTCTTTACATTCCGGATGCACGTTTTGTGCCAACACATTTTGCTACACTACCTAACGGATAAAGGAAGTAACACTATTCTTACTTTGTTGGTGACTAAGCATAATAATACTTATTTTGATTTCAGATATTAGTAACTCATTTTATTTGGAACCATCTGCAAAAGGTTCATGTCTTGAATGAAGAAAAAAAAAATCTCTCCAGTTTTAAATGATGAAAGAGTAGTAGAGATTTTTAATCTCTTATCTTTTCCATGTTGAACATGACTCTCCCTGCACCCTAATGTACATGTATGAGTGTATTGGTATCATTAATGACAACAAAACAGTTAGGCATACTTCAAATTCCAAAGACATCAATGACACTAGATGAACCATATGACAGAATAGATCAAATGAAATTGGATGAATACTAAATTAGGTGACCCTATAGTATACAGGGAATCAAAACAATGCTTCCCAGATACTATAGTATAGTAGTCAATATTCATTATTGATGAGATGTCCTTCTTAAGGTATACATAGTTTAACATAATAAAGTGAAATGCTCTTTCTTTTCCTGCAGTAAACTACAGTAGCCCAAATGATTTAGATAGGGAAAGCAAATAATTTGGAAGAAATAATTTGTAAGCCTGCCCCCACAGAACAGACAATTTTCCTTAAAGATTGTGAAATTGAGCTTTAAAAATACAGTGCAATTTTTAGTTTGGGCATTCAACAACAATAATTGCTTCATTCCCTTTAAGTTAGCTTCTGCTATTTTTATACCAACTATATACCACATATCCTGTTTCCTCATGAATGACATTATAAGATAATAACTAAAGATCAAGCTTCCTTTATATAGTACAACCCTTAACCCAATTTCAACATTACACTGAGACTTTTTTTATGTGTGTCACCAAACTGTTCTCACAGTTGATTTCTGGAATACGTTGTAAAAGCTGAACATTCTATAACACTGATTAAAAAAAATGATATAACACAAAAAACATAGATAACACAAGCAAATTTGTTTAAATAGTTTCAATAAAAAATGTTCTTTCTTTTTCATATGAAACAAAATTCAAAATAGAGTAAGAAATATTCATTTGATATTTTATTATTATTACTGATTAATCAATTTATCAATCAATCTATTTTGCCCTAAGTGGTTTGTGACTTCCAATATATTATATCACAGTTTGTTTTCATGCCTCTGGTCATAAGTATGTTGACACTGTTGAACTATGGTGTCAATGTTACCAATGACATATATACAAATGAACCTTGAATCCCTATGCATGTAACAACCTAAGACAAATTTTGTTATCCTTCATTTAGGAAGTGTGACTTTGCACAGCATATATCATTTGGACAGAAAACAAATACATGCTTCAAATACCATAGGCAAATTCAAATGATTGAACACATTCATTCAAAATAACTTCCTTGCATGGGATTTTTGCATAACATACCGGTAGAGTAGGGAACATTTGGTTTATGTTTGGAAAGCATGAAATCAGTACACTTATGTATGAATTGGTACAAATCATGCTCCAAATACTATGAAAGGATTCAGGCAATTGAATACAGTCATTCGCAATGAATTCCTTACATACAAGGAATTTAAGCATAAAACAGACTTCTATTCTTTGTTTTGGAAGTGTTAAATTGGTATAATGAATAATGTGAATTAGTTGAAATCACGCAACAAATAGTATGGAAGGATTCAGGCGATTGAACACATTCCATCACATTTAATTTGTTTATGAAATCTAACATATATGAATGATTCATTTGGATACCAAGGATCAGATTTAGAAAATGAGCAATACAAGGAAAAGAAAAATATAAGCAAAAGGAAATACTGGTGAAGGTCTGTCCTTTAAATTTGATCTAGAGTCTTCATAAACTTCCTTCCTTCCTCATCACGATAATTCTTGATTTAAAAATAAAGCATTAAAAAAGTTGGTGAGAGGGAGGGTGGGATTTTAGAAATGTAAGAAGGTAACTTAATTTTAATATCAAATGATAGCCTTATTCTAATCATGAGTGTTCTTTGATACATGTAAGATGAGTTAGTTCTCTTCTGAGAGAGACACACACAAAGAGAGAGAGAGAGAGAGAGAGAGAGAGAAAGAGGGAGAGAGAGATAGAGGGAGGGAGAGAAAGAGAAAGAGAAAGAGAAAGAGAAAGAGAAAGAGAGAGCAAGAGAGAGGGTGAGTGCATGGGTATGCAAAAACAACATGTGAAAAATTGGTAATGGGTAGTCCAAAAACCTTTTGTTTTCTTTGAAATGAAATGTGTAACCCGATTAATATAAATAAGTCAGTTGACAGACAATCTAACATCTGCAATAAATTCATTTTTATAGAAGCATAAAAATGAGAGAAACTAAAAAGCAAAAGTTTAGAATAAAATGGACCAATAATAAGAAAGGTATTTTGTTTAAATCTATGCAAATCTC